TTGGCTCAGTGGGCAGGCAATGAATTTTCTGCAGAAAGTCGATGCAGTCGTTTCCCAGCGCCGGCTGGTTGTCTTTGTCCGTCCCTTTGAGCACATGCCCGCCAGTTGGAAACACCCATGATCGTATAGAGGTGCAAGCAGGTTGTCGCGCAAAGCTCGCGCATGGGGCACGAACGCAGGCCAGCCTTAGACGATGCTCGCAATGAGCGACCAAGGTTGTTGTTCAGATACTTCTTTGATTAGTCACGTTTCTACCCTCCAGTATAAGCAGAGGTTTCTTTGCTCCCTCCATCTCGTGCTGCAGAAGATCTTCCACCACATATATATATATATACATATTATCTAACTTTGCCTTTGTGTTTGCGTGTGTTTGAAGCCTTATGAAGTCAAGCCACGGCCAATGACGGTCTTCAATTCATTGGTTCGGGGTCTTGCAGTCTTGAGAAGCGAGGAAGATGGAGTCGGAGTTCCGGCCGAAGCAAGAGCTCTTTGGCATCGAGCCGGCCAACTACAAGGAGTTAGACTGGGTGGAGCAGGAGATCGAGAAGCTTACGATGGTCTGGGACATCCGAAACTCTGTTGCCCAGTGGTTTGCTTCCTTTTTCAGCTTTTTTTGGGTAAGGGTCCCGATTCCTTGCAACTCAACAACCTCAAAACGGGTGCCCGTGTTTTTTGCCCATGGCCGGGCATCCGAGGAAATGGCTGGAACAAGGAATGGGACAAGCTGAGATCCGGATCCTTCCAGTCTCTGAGCCTCGGTTGCCTATGGTTTTCCGGCTTTGGTTCATGTTTAGAGGGGGTTTCATGTTTAGAGGGGTCTGAAAAGGTTAACCTTTCTTTTCCAGGTTCTTTGCGCAAGTGAGCTTAGGTCGGAAAGTGGGAGTTGTTTGGGACCATGCCGAATGCGATACTGTGGAATCCTCGAACAAGTGACAAAGTTCTGGCCCAAAATTGGTGTCAGGGTCATTGCCATTTTGCGATAGCAACGCCTTAAATCAAAAAGGCAAGCACCTGGCAAGTGCAGTGTTGTGTTGAACACGTTGCGATCCACTTGTTCAGTAGCACGCTTTGTGCCTTCCTCTTTTTCTACCCAAGTCACTGGGCAGCTGGGTCTTGATTACGAGGAAGTCGCTCCAAGTCCCGCAGTTCGTGCCAAGCTGCATGGGCTTTTATCAAAAATAGATAGACAAGCTGGCGCGCCAGCTTGGTCCGCACTTGTTTCCTCTAGAGCAGGCCCTTTGTCCAACATGGCCGTTGGAGGGAGCGAGTTCCTGCCGTTCTAAGATGTCGCCAGAGCCATCTGCCGCATGAGACGCGGATTGCATCCAAATGCCGAGGAATACCGACGACATGGATGAGCTCGCCATGCAGTTCCTGGGCCGGATGCGCAAGGCCCGTTCTGTCCATGGGATGGTTGGGTTAGGGGGTGGGTTGGGGTAGTCAACAACCCCCTGCTCCGGAGGGCATTGCCAACAGCTATACTTTTCCCATACTGTGGATGGACGAAATCCTGCACCACTTTGAAGCCATGAAAAACCAATGCTGGTTGGCATGTACAGGAGAATCATCAATCCAGTCCCTTTTTAAGTTGTCCTTTGATTGTTTTTTTTGGGCGTCACAACCTGCCACGAGGGAGGGGAGGAAGTTTAAGTCGGTGCGTGCAACCATGCATTGGCTGGCCACCTGATGCACGACGAATTGGCAATGGTCAAGATGGATTATGCGCATTCTAAGACTTGGAGTTTCAGACATGGCAGCAACCAGGGTGGAAGCATATCATGCCGTGGCATGTCGAGCCTGTTCTAGATGGAGCGGTTGTTTGCTCCGCTTCGCGTGCAGGTCCTTGGCAAGGACAAGAACGTTCAGAACTGGCAAGTCTATCAAGACCTGAAGGGCGATCTCGAAGTCTTCCGCAACATGAGCCTCGAACCAACTTGAACGCAATTCAGGTGTGGTTCTGGCGCTTGTTTCTGGTGGTTTTCTTCTGCAGTTGCATGGCATGCCGTTTCACTCTGAAAAATGGATCCCGTGGTTTGCCATATCTATCGAGGTCTGAATTTTATGAACGGAGTGGATTATGAAGGGGAACTAAGCGCTGAGTTTGCCAAGACTCGCATTAGATTTGTGGCAAGTCCACTCTAGTTTGAATGCCCTGAACAGAAGAAAGGGCTTGGGGCAGGATGCGCATGTGCTGCAGTGGACCTGTATCTCGCAGAAATTCCCTGGGTCATTTCGCCCCAAGTTGTACTTGGGTGCATGTTGCTTGGATGTTAGCTTTAGCTTTTTGCAAGCTCATGTTTTGTTTGTTTTTTGCAGGGGAGCAACCAACCAAGTGTATTATAATGAGCAGCACTTTGAGACCAGGGTTCCGGAAAGCGCCGAGGATGCCGGTGATCCAAAACCTCCGCGCGGACGCCATGCGGGAGCGCCACATCAACGCCATTGTGAAGGAGGTCAAGGAGACGAGTGCGGAGTGCGGTGAGAAACCTAGGTGGCTGGTCAAAAAAGGTACCCAGAATGGAACGGTAAATGAAGACATGGTCCAAAACGCGAGGTCCCCTGGTTTAACTTTGACCTATACCCAGGTGAGTCACAATCAAAATTTGGGTAGATGAAGGTTAGTAAGGGGCAATCCCAGCCAGAAATAGTTGCGGCCGCCTTTTTAATTCTTGAAGCATGGTTCTGGGTAGACCATTTAATACCGGGTTTTGATTGTGACTCAAGTGTTTCTGTCAAAATGCCGGCATTTCCTCTATGGTTGGTTTCCCTGTTTCCCTCAACAATTAGGGGGGTCCATCAGTTTGAGAGACGCGTCGTGTTTAAAGAATCAGGGACTTAAAGGGAAGCCAAAAAGGAGGTAGTTTCAACTGTTGTTTACCCAGGGGAGAGCAGTGACTCAAGTTGCCCGGGCCTTGGGCCGGTGTGAATCACCAAAGATATGGGGTTGTCTTTTTTGACCATGTTTATTTTTAAAGGGACACCCAGAGGAAAGCCACCATTTTGGGGGTTCCCCTAAAAAAAGACACATCCATACGAGGTAGCGATGATACTAAATATTGGTCATGACTCAGAGTTTGTGCCTTCGCATTGCCGACTGAGGGCCTGCTGTGACCTCCTATGGCCGAATCCACCAGGGAGCATTGGCATACATTCACCCACTCATGGTGCCTATGTGGGCAAACATGCACTGTAAAATTACAACTACGGCATTTTGGCCTTCAGTTGTGGGGAACTCAGTGCCTGCGTTCTGGCATGGGAATACTAAACTAAAGTCAAGATTCACAGAACAAGCTGAACATCTAGCTTGAAGGTTTTGGCTCAGTCCAGCTTAGGGTATGTGTCAAGGTTTGGGTTCGGAACCCCCGAAAACACGGGTTTGCTGTTGGCCTCGGGGGGGACAAATATTAAAAAAAACAAAATCAAAGCACCGGAAAACAAAAGACACCACACACACAAAAATAAAGAAGAACTGGTTCCCTCCAACGGAAACAAAAGACACCACAGACACAAAACAAATAGAACAAATCAAAAAACGGAAAACAAAAGACACCACACACACACAAATAACAAACAAAAAAAAACAGAAAAACAACTGAAAACAAAAGACACCACACACACACAAAAGAAAGAAAACGGTTCGAACAAAACGGTTCCCTGGACAAGACGAGGAGACCTTCAACCCGAAAGATGCCAGCTTCACGCTGCAGCGCGTCATGGATTTGGGCCTGCAGAACCACGCCGCTCGCTCCGTTCGGACGGGGGGAAAGGGGAAGGTAGGGCGATCGTTTTCGTCTTTTTAAACGTGGGGCTTCTAGTTGTCTAGGTCCCCCAGTAGTGCCCTTTTACCGTTTCTTTTTTGGTTGGGAGGGTTCCCCTAGTAAAATAGACAGAAAAAAGGGTACCCTTATTCTATCCTCTCTACTGGAGGACCTCTAGTTGTCAAAACTGGTGGGTTTCCAGTTGGTTCCCCCCCAACAAATGGTTGGCTTCCCAAGCCCCATCCTGTCTCATCATTTGAGTGTCATCTGAGGTTGCCCTGTAATTGTAAGTGGGGAATCAAAGCATTGTAAGGCTTACTCCTCAGATTGGCAGTCCGGATTGAATCAAAGTCGAGGTTAAAAGACTGGTGTGGGAGTCGGGTCTCGAGGTCAGGTTGAAGATGAGTGATTTGAGAGCTATGCATTGAACTTATAGCGTGCATGTTCCAGAGTATGATGCATCGATGGGGGGTCATTCGGTTGCGGCAAGCTTACGCAAGTCAAATTCAATGCGGATGAGTACGCCAATCCACGGGACCCCGGCTTTTGCAGTTGATTTCTGCGTGCGGGATGGGTGCCGCTGACAGCCCGATGTTTTCTTCTTTGACCGTACAAAGTACCAGAAGTGGTCGTGTCCTTTTGCAGGGCCCTCCCAAAATGGGCGCTTTGTCCTTTGTGTTCCCTTTAAAACCACAACACAAGGGGGTACCCGCATAAAAAAGGCACAGTTGCAGTAACACTTAGCAAGCACAGCTTGACCTGTGCGCGCCGATGCGCCGTTGAGTGTGAACTAGGGAACCATCGCTTTTGGCTTGGTATATGCATGCCATTGGGCATTTTTCAGAAAAGGATATCACATTTGCAACAGCCTTGCTCGTTTGTCCGGTGTTTTGTTTGGCTTGCTGCTTCCGTTTTGCTTGCCAGGGCTGTCATGCTGTTACACCGCACGTTCCTTGCGATGGTGCCCATCTTAGTTGGCTATGATTTTTGATAGGGAACACCTCACAATGGCCTCCACCAAAGCACCCTGAGTTGGATTTTCCACAAATTTCACGCCCGATTGATGTGTTTTGCCGGACTCAGGCGGATCTGATCGCTCGGCTTTGTGACGATGCCAAGAAGGAGGCGAAGATCGAGAACGGCTTGGAAGATATTTCCAGGAGACATGTGCACGGTCAAAGTTTGCTCTTGAAAGTTTGCCACCATTGCCATTTGGCTGTGGTGGTCAAAACCGTTTTGGGATCCCATTTTGCTTCGTAGGTGAATTCACCACCCATTTTAGAACCTACTTTCGTGGGGATTGGGATGTTCATTGGGGGCTAACCGGGCTTTTGACCCATGGCCATTTGTTTTCCCAAAAGGACACCTAGGGTTGCTTGTGTTATCCCTGTTTCCTTAGACCAGTGCCTTCTACAAGCAAACTCGAGGTTGCGTTAAAGACCGGAAAGGACGTGGGACAGGGGTAGATGTCAGAACTCGTTGGACACTTTCGACAGGTTGGCAGTTGGTAGTGTTTTGAGACCCTTTTGCGTCCTGTGTTTGATATACCCGACGACGCATTCGTGTTTGTTGGCGTTGAGATGCTGTGAGGATTTGGTCCACAATGACCATTGACGTGGTGGAGCACAAAGGCGATGCGCTGCTTGGCTGTAGCCGTCTAGCTTAGTCGCATGGGCTCCCGATTTCGAATTTCGGCGGGGGACAACCTCATTTCCACTTTGTGGAATTGGCGTGTGGAATGACATTAGTAAATATAGGCCAGGGCTGGTTAGCTTCCCCCCGAGTTTGTGGCAGCAAAATCTCACGGCTACACCCATGGTGCACTGCTGGAGGGAAGAAGCAAAAAACAGCAGCGGGCAAGGGAAGAATTGAAATAGCCCAAAGCGTGACCGAAGTCATGAATCTGCGAAACATATCGCGATGGGTGTGTGTGTGCTTGTGTGTGTGTGTGGTGTGTGTGTGGGCTTGTGCTTGTGCTTGTGCTTGTGCTTCTGCTTGTGCTTGTGCTTGTGTTTGTGCTTGTGCTTGCGCTTGTGCTGGTGTTGGTGTTGGTGTTGGTGTTGGTGTTTGTGTGTGTGTGTGTTCGTGTTTGTGTTTGTGTTTGTGTTTGTGTCATACGACGCAGTTGCTTAGGCAATAGCTCTTCGTCGGTGCGTCTCTTTTGGGTACATTGCCTGCGTGTGTAGTTGTTTGGTTGGCTTTGATCCCACCCGCATTTAATTGAGTAGTGATAGCGCTTTGCATCGGAATAAACCTCGAGAATCCGCATGTCAGACATGCCTTGGTCGCACCAAAGGGCGACTGCCACAATGTGGGATAACATGCAATGCGGGGGGTGTGGTCGAACCATGTTTTCGCCCAGAATGCAATTTTTCAGTCAGCGTTCAGTCAGCCGGCAGCGATCCAGTTGAGGTTCCTCAAGGGTTTCCTCTTCTAGGTCCCCCAGCTAGGTGCCCTTTTACCGTTTCTTTTTTGGTTGAGAGGGCTCCCCTAAAATAGACGTCCAGAAAACAAACGGGTACCCGTGTATTCTAACCAACCTCTACTGGAGGACTTCTAGTCTTTGTCCAACGCGGCAGCCACCCGCCAATTTTGATTTCTCTCGCCAAGGTTCAAGGTGCGAAGCACGGAGGAGCTGTACCAGGCCGACTTCTTCCATTTGCTTAAGAATACATTTATTTTCCCTTGCTGGTTTTAAACATAATGTTTCACTACTGGACAAACAAAAATCCAGGGGTCTTAACCAAATGGAAGACTTGTTCGCTTTGTTGGGGAAATCTCGCAGCGTTCTGGACGAGTTTTTTTCTCCAATTTTAAGGCTTCCCCACCACTACTCCAAAGACCCGGCATTTTTTGGGGGTGTGATGTCGACCCTCTACTAAAAAAGGAGGTATTTACCATGGAAAACCATGTTTTTCCTAAAAATACCCCTAATAAAAGTGGGTATTTGGAGTAGGGGGTTGTTTCATAGCTATGTATGGATGCCGTCCAAGTTGCATGGATCTGTTGCGGCACTGGCCAGAATAGAGGGATAACAACAACAAAACCCACCGAAACAGCAGGAACTGCCACTCCAAGCCGCCGCCGCTTGGTAGGGACCCGGTGGGCTAACCTGCATCTCACTCCTCAGACTCCTGTCTGCAGAACTGCGAACAACTGGAAAATCAACGGGAAGATATGCACGACCACGCGAAGGTTTCGCGCATAGTGCCCGACAGGACAAGATAGGACCCGAGAGGATCCAATAGGGCCGAATAGCTCCCACTGAGAAAGGATTGCAACACATATTGTGCAATGCAGAATTTACATAACATGCACCTGGCCAGCTACATCACTTAAATCACGATTTGAGTCTCCGGTGGAGGGAGAAATGGGCCCTTGCTGGGCCCAATCTCAATAGGTGCCCAATACGGAAGGCTCAAGAGTGCTCCTTCTTGCTGCAATCGACTTGCTGGTGCGATAGGCAGGGAATGAGAAATGGAATGAACCCAGGAATTGGTCCCCTTCAAGGAAACCACAAGTGAGTTTTTTTGGGGGGCATTCCCACATTCCCTACTTCTCGCACCAGCAAGTCAATGGTGGACAGATTTGCTGGGCCTCCCTTTCCTTGCAGTGCATTCTTGCTCATGAGATATGTCGCCTGAATGTCAGGCCCTTCACTGTGTTCAATCGCATGCGCAGGCACTGGATGAGAACATCCAGGCGCTCTCCTCCTACAAAAGCTCCTCGGGGTGATTCGGGATCTTGACTCATGAAAGGGTTGGCGAAGCGAAGACCATGCGCAGCATTGAGGGACATGTTTTGGGAGCAAAGTCCACATAGCTCATGATGCTTTGTTGCTTGCCTGTTGCCCAATGCCGATACCATGGAATGCGGGTTGCCATTCCGCGATGCAAGCTTTGCGAAACAACGCTGCTTGCTCAGGTTCCAAAGCAGTGTTTAGTTCATGTGTTTGTTTTTGCTTGGCACATCTTGTTTGTAGGGCACGAGTTTGCTTTCCTTCCAACATCAGCCGGTTGAAACATCAGTTTAGCGTGATGTCCTGTCCTTGCATGTCCATGCTCCCCAGAAGTGTTGTGCTTTTGTTTGCCTACACGGATTGCTTGATGGGCGGGCTCGGATGATTTCCGGAATTGCTACCCATTGCGGTTGTTTGGCGGAAGGTTTTGAGACACACTCGAGCACACCTCCGTGCATGGGACAGGCAAGAACATTGCAGAGAGAGAGGATGGATGCCTTCGGGGATAAAGAGTGACATCTGTTTTCCACTCAGCTGCATCATGTTTATGGTATACCAATTGTCCTTCTTGGCCCGAAAGCTTCATACCCTTCGCACGCGATTCGTTGTTAGCAAACTTTTGAAAAGGCAAGGGTTGTCCCTAAGTTTTGGAAAGGGCCACTACAGTTTGCTCACATGATGTTTACCCAGGACTCGGTTTCATGCGCATTTTGCCAGATGGCGTTACCTCTCGCGATACTGAGAGTTGTTTCACTTCAGCTTCGGCCGCTAGTGACTTCGCAACTGTCTTACTGCAAAAACCGCTTCGTTTGTCACTCGCATCCCGGACCTCCAGCAGCCCTTGTCCCTATTTTTTGGTGAGAAGACTTCTAAAATACACTACCAACATCGGGTGTTTTGTTTTTTTCCCATGGCCACTGAAGGGTTGGTCAATCACTACCCATAGTGAAACGCTGATTTGGTCCTTGATCTCGCTAGACATGTGAGCGATCTGTTTGGACATCTATCAAGGGAATCATCCGAGATTGAGCCACTTGTGGCTTTAACATGTGGATTGTTTGCAAGTGTGGGTTTCCGCAAAAAGGCCAACTCTGGCATCGACGGAACACGTGTCTTGTGCTCCGAGGCTCGCCGTTCTACCTGCCCTTTGCCGCCAAGGCCGGAAGAATTGGACGACCCGAACGCGCCAAGGTCAACCCGTTGATTTGATCATTCCGGCGTGCACAGCCATGAGAGCTAGCTGCTAGCTTGGGATGTGACAAGAAAAAACACTGTCTCTGTCGAACTCCAAAGGACTGCCGATTCACCGACTGTAGCTGTTTCGGCAGTAGTCGAGGTGCAGTTTGCCCATCCAAAGTTCGATTTCTGGCCATCAGCTACCTCTGGTGGCTTGCAACTGCAGCACCTGGGGAGTGAGCTTTCGCTCGTTTTGTCTTGTTCAGACAAATAGCTACGGCTCGACTAGCTTTCAGCTGAGGAATATTGTTTGAGGCGGGGAGACCCCCCTTTTAAGGCGGGGGGGGGATGCCCCTCCTGAAAGTTTCCTTCCTTCAATTTGTAGCCCTCACACGCCCGACTTGCGGCGTGGTGAACGCGGCACCCGCCGTTTCGCTCCTGAGGTGGAGCACTGGGAGAAGACCTTGGCGAACATCTCAGAGGCACAAAGTGAGCTGGACGTTGGCCTGAGAAGAGACGCCAAAGGGAGACGGTTTTAGAGCTTTTATTAGAATATGTGTGTGTGAGTGTTTTCAGTTTTTTTTTTTTGTACAACCAACAACAAAAACAAACATGATAATAATAAGCACTCCCAGCACCTTCGGGCTACATATGTAAGAATTACGGGTGCCCTCAGTGCCCGCACCTTTTTGATTCGGGAGGGAGGCCATAAAAAGTGCCTTCTTCCAACTCGCAGGTCACCGAAGCCATCCAGTCGGTGCAGAAGAGCTGGATGCGCCTCAAGCTGCAGCTGACGGGTTGCAGCGGTTGAAGCGGTTGAACCCCACTGGATGGTTTTCAAGGGAGACCAAAGGAAACCGGGTTTTGGCGGTGTGGATGGTTTTTTTTGTAGAAACCTCAAAGGACTACCGAGAATGTTCAGCCATTGCTGTTGCGAGGTTCATCTTACAAGCAGTCAGGTCCTCTAGCCCGTGTCGCCCAATTGCTTGCATCTCAAAGATGTAAACGCTGGACAATTAATTACTGTTCCAGCACCAGCTAAAGTTTTTAATTATGCAGAGGGCCGAAGACCAATTCATGTCATTGCCAGTTGTTCACATCACACAGCCCTCTCAGGTACTTGGAGAACGTCTTTCGTGGCTCTGAGGATATCCGACCACATCTGCCGGATGAGTCCATCATGTTCGACGAAGTGAATGAGGGCTTCATCAACATGATGAGGCACCGAGCAAAATTCCGCTTCTCATTCCGTGTTCGCCCAATGTGTACCAAACACAGAGCTTGAAGCAAGCCGATGCATCTCCTTCTGCGTAAGGTAGCTTGCTCAGCTGCAGGCCAACTCACAATGCAGACGTCTTTCGATGCGTGTTGTTGTTTGGCTGTTGCTCAGCTTTTCCGTCGCTGAAATCCACCCTCTTCTGAATTGGTTTGGTGGGATCCCCACGCCCTTCTTCTACTAGGGTGATTGCACTCAACTAAACTGCAGAGGTTTGCGTTGCGGGCTCCGCGCTGTGCCATTGTTGCTTCCAGGAAGGTCTATCAGGAGCCTTTGGCGACGAAGGCGTGCAACCAGCCGAAGATGCTGGAGCCACTCGGACGGGCAAATTGGGTCCCTGCAAAGGTTTCGTGCTGGTTTCGTGCTGCGCCCACAGCGTCATTGCCCTTTTTGGCAATTTGCGGCTCCTCATGATCAATAATTACTTCTTTTGTTGCTATGTGTTGCTATGGCTCAAAGTTACTGTGATCCGCAGTGGATTCCGCAAATTCCAAGCTGTTGCAGGTGAGCACATTTGACGAGGTCAGTTCAAAGGAGTTCACTTCAGGAAAGGCAACGGCACACTGCAGGCAATGCCGTTTGGAAGTGCGGCCCGATGGCCATGAACACAGACACGGACACTTGCAAGCACACTGATCGGACCACTTGCGAGGAACGCACAGATACCTGCACAGACAACCAGCGCACACACGAACACAGGCACACAAATACACAACACAGAGAGGGAGCGAGACAGAATGCGAGCAGTTCGGCACCCTACCTTAGCGGTTTGGGTTATGTTTATGCCTTATGCGAATTCGGAAAGCGCGTGAATTCGCATGTTTTGAGTTACCTTCTTTTCAGAACCTCTTTGCTTCCAACAGGACCAGCTATGCCGCAATGTCCCGAGGAATCTGAACTCCTTTGAGGCATCCTTGGAGCCTTGGATTGCAAGCGTTGAATTGGCTCGTGCCAGGCAAGGATTGGTTCCCGAAAAACTCAATTCGGTTGAAATGAGAGGTACTCGGAGAAATCCAGAACGGCGTTAGACACTTTGGCCATTTTCTTTTGTACTTCTTGTTTGTTTCCTTGTTAGGTTATGTTTGTGTGTGTGTGTGTTCAGTGGCTCAGTCCTCTCTGGCAGGCAAGCAGTTGACGGAAGGGGCCGACTTTTGGGGCAGGCGCATGGAGTGCATAAGAAACTGGGAAACCAGGCGTTTGCAAGCACAACGCGCTTTGTGTTAGAGAGATGGCAATTTGCCCATGAGAAGCCTGCGGCCTACCATGGCTTGCCGCAGTTTCCGGTCATGCGTTTGTCCATGTTGGGAAGGTCCAACGAGAGTGGCTGTCACTGAAGCGGGCGTTCCAGACCTGCCCTGTCGAGAAAGATGGCCCGCGCATTTCATGTCTGGCGGTTAGCCGTGTGTGAGATTGAGTGAACCAATCATTTATGTACATACATATACGTATACACAATGGTCAACAACTTGATTAAGACACACAAGTCTCGGACATTGCTTCGGCCAGCTTGTTGATTGAACAGCCTTGGAGCTCTTGTCATTTACTTGGAAACATTGGGCCTCTTGTTTGTTTGTTTTTTTTTTTGGGGGGGGGCTATCCCTGGATAAGCCAAGGATAGCTCTGTTTGCCGCCATCATATCCTCATAGAAGAAGCGAGGGTTCCCTGAATTTGGTATTCTTGCGGACGCGTCGGACATTTAGGGTTTACTTGATTAGCAATGCAAATCGCCAAGGAAAACATCCAGAAGAAGCTGAACGACTACCTGGAGAAGAAGCGCAGACACCTCAGAAATCTTTTCTTTTTGGTTGATGTCCATAGGTGGCCAGTGTGTCAAATTGATCAACCATTTGGTTAGTGTCATGCTCGCATGTTTTCTTCCAATGGTCTCAAACAGGGACACGAGGTGTCTCCAGTTGGCTTCCGGACATGGGGCCGATGGGATCCGCTGGTCTGAGGAGGTTTCCCTTCTTTTTTCAGGACGCTACTCCTGGGATCGCACCGCTTGGGGTTCCTTGAACGGCCAGTTGCCTCGAACCTCCCACGGTGATGCCACGTTGAGGGTTTTTGATTCGTAAAAGGGCCTCCTCTGAAGTCGACGTTTTGAGGACACACTGATTTATTTGGAGGCCCTTCGGTCCTTGTCCTTTTACTTCTGGGCCCTTCCCATGTGAGCTTGAAGACCTTGTTATTTTGACACACTTTAGCAAGACACATGCATTTTGGGAAAACTTGAGGGGTTCAATAGTGGCTTAGCATTTGTCGTTAAAGCGCAGACAAAGCAAATATTAAGCAACCAGGAAAGCCTCTTTTCTGGCAGGTTGTTTGACTTGCCGGCTGCAGGGGGGGTACCTTTACTCGGTGGTTTTTTGGAGAGCACCAAAAATGATTGGGTAAGTTTTTGGGGCAAACCTTGTTGGCTCGTTGCTTTAGTACAGGTGGGAATCTGGGGGTGCAAAAGGGGTAACCTTCAATCAAGGGGCTTTACTACTCGTGCACAGCCATGACCCAGGTTCGCCGCTGTTCATGCCATCTCCGCGCTCGGGAAATCGGAACGTGCGTGCCGTCGAAGCGCTCGAGGCCAGTTCTTCCCGCGGTTTTACTTCATCTCCAACGACGATCTGCTGGAGATCTTGGGCCAGGCGCGGCTTTGGAATCTGGGAATCTGGGCATGGCGTTTGGAAGGTTTGGAGCGTACTCAGGTAGATGCAGCTCATGTGTCGCGCTTGTTTCAGCCAGTGGCCTTGTATTGCATCCAACACACACTGGTCAAGGGTATCCCCTGGAGGGACCTGATGGCCCAATCCACTTCTGGGCCCCATATGTCTAGGCTCAAGGTTTCAATATCATGATGTGAGGCACATCCGCGAGCGTGTTTCAATATTGGGCTCCTTTCCGTCAGGGCTGAGCTGCTTCCCGTTTGGCAGAAGGGAAACAAGATAGTCTTTGGGGGTGAAAGCAGATGGCACCGTTGCCGGTTGTGGGCAAGTAAGGGAGACAATGAGACCTAATTTCTAGAATTCGGTTTGGATGCGACTTTTGTGGATCTCACCTGTTCTTCACCCTGTTGGCCCATTTTCGTAATCTTTTAGTGCACTGTTACTTCCTGAGTTCATGGACTTTTTAAACTTTTTGGGAAGACCATTTTAGTGGTAACTGGAAAGTTTGAACCTTTTTTTGTCCAGTCTCAGGAAGCGAGTTTAGCATCCCAGGGATCCACAAAAGCCACATCCAAGCCGCTTCCGATCTCATCGCCCTAGTCTCCTCGGTCTGCCAACCGGTTCCTTAGGTCTGTAGGTTCTTTGGTTTAGTGGGGGGTTCGATTTGACCCACATCCAACTTTTAGCAGGGGATCTGAAAACGGACCCGGTGATTCTCGGGGGTTTTCAGCAAGAAGGGGCAACGGTTTCGGTGCTGGAACGAATGTTCATCGGAGCCCAAGAGGACTGCACGAACGCCTTGATGCCTCAAAACCTTGGCCTTTGAAAGTCGCGAGTGACGTAGGAACGTGTTTTGTTTGGGGGTTTTAGCCTGATTTTATTGATTTTATGTGTTTTTTTTTGGGGGGGGGTTGGCCTGATTTGGTTTATTGGTCTTGTGAGTCTGAACAGGGAATCTGTCGCTGGCCGGCCAAAGCTTGTCTATGAGCTTGAATGGCGAAGCCCTTGATGCTTTGGTGGGCACCAGTCTCCTAATGACGTCCAGCAAAGGGTTTTTTGGAGTTGATACCGGCGTGCACAATATATTTAGTGGATGCATATTTTCTATATGCGGCCGCTCGTTAGCATATCACTGTTCCTTTGTGGCCAGGCGCGAGATCCGGAGCAGGTGCAGAAGCACATCAAGAAGTGCTTTGAAGGCGGGAGCCCCCCTCCTTGCGGTTTTGTTTGTTCCGATCTGTTGCTTAGAAAGGGATGGGCGAGATTGGCTTCAACAACCAGACCCTGGTCCACTTGAACAGAACACAACAGGGAGGGAGTGTTTGAAAAAAAGGTTTAAGACCGGGGTTGGCCCAACACTGCTCGTTAAAGGAATCCATTCAATCCTCACGCTCTGGTTGCCAGTTTGATATGAGGCTATTTTTCGTTGGACGGTGCTTGCAGGGGACCTATCAGGAACGCCGGGATACCATGTCCCCAACTCACATGGAAGTACAGTTTATTTCCGTCTTAGAGGTTTCCGTTGGGTTCCTTCCATTTGCTTACGTAAGACTAGTTGTTATTTTCCCTTGTTGGTTTTAAAATAATTTATCACTACTGGACATATTTTCGCATTTTTTTCCTGGGGTCGAAAAACCAAATGGAAAGTTCCATGTTGGTGGACGGGAGGCAAAAATACAGCGACTTTCCCAACAGGGAAACATTACGTTGCCACCTGAGCTTGAAGCCACGCACGCAGAGTTTCTGGTGTTGAATGCACGTATGTACGCCGACAATATGTATATATATATATATATAGGTATTATTATGTACAGAGTATGTATATACACATGATTTGTCGATCGTCATAATGTGCACCTGTGTATAGAAATATATATATATATATATATATATATACATATATATATATCTGTATATCTACATGTATACACATGACAGTGTCAACTTGAACGTATGCACTGAAGCATACATACGAGTCTATTTCAATCCAACATAATCATGGGCGACTGGTTCATAGGTTCATTTGTTTGTTTCTATGTGTTTACTTGTTTACTGGGTATGTTTCTGTTTTATGCATGGCAGAGCTCGCAAGTGAACTGCCGGCAGCGAAAAGCGAGGCGTGAAGTCCCTCGAGTTGCAGCCGCCGGCGCAGAACCGGCGCTGGGAGGCCGGGTCTTCCGGAAGGCTTTGCCGTTTTCATGGCATGGAGGCGAAGCAAGCGAAAGACAAGATTCGTCGATTTGCTTAAGAATATTTTTTTGTTTTTCCCTCTTGGTTTTAAAGGGAATGTATCACTACTGGAAATAATTATTAATTTCTGTCCGGGGGCTTAAGCAAATGGAAGCATAGATGTGCTTTACTTGGGTATCCCTTAGTTCAGCTGTCGGAGTTGTTGTACACTTTGCAGATGTGTCTGTTACCATAGGGAAAATTGGTTATACCTCCAGACTTTACATGTTGCTTTCTATGGTTCACTGAGTAGTGGCAACTGGAAGCATTTGGATCCGCTTGAACCATGTGGTGGTCATGCAGTCGCAGTCTGGAGATCTCAGTCGCAGTCAGTCGATTGCGGGTAGTCACCCTCAAGCTTGGAAGTTTCAAGCAAACTGACCGCACAGGCACCAATGCCTGGAATTCGGGGAAATACAGCTCTTCCGTTGGCGAGGATGGGGGACGATGGGGCATTGGTGCAATCTAATTACTTTCTCCCAATCCTGGCCAACCACTCCATTTCAGACCCACTCCAAGGTGTTCTATCCCATGGGTGTCTTTTGGATTGGTTCGACTGAAAAGGGATTCCACTTTCTGTTTCTGGGGTTATGTGAGGGCGTGGCACGATTCTCACCTGAGAATAGGCATGCTTCGACCATATTGAAAGGACTCCCATTAAGGCCAGCCATGACGGCCTATGCGAGGAGGTTTGGTCACACTGAAGTCAACGTATGGCTGGCACTTCTGACTGGGCGTGTTCTTCATTCCTTTGGCCTAGCAGAAGTTGTTGCAAGCAGTGCCTGAGGTGTCTGCTAATGCCAGCACTCACGACTTGGTGTAGACATTGGACAAGCGGTCAACGCTTGCCATCTGACTTCGTCGCCCGCCAAAATGAGCTTGGCATGGTTGTTGTTGGGACACATTTCACATTTTTCCTTTTTGTGGTTTCGTTGGAAATCCAACCACTGAACTGAGTAACTGCTGGAATCTGAATGGTTGCTGCCCTTCCAAGGCCAAGTTGGGTGTCCCAGATCACTCTGTACCCGAGGCCTTGGGCCTGAACGCGCCTGACGGGGAGCGGGAGAAGTTGGTGGCGCCCGTCAAGCTGGAAGGTCCTGTGGAGGCTTCTACGGCCGGGGCGTGGCCGTATGGCCGTTGGGCAATTCACCGGGTTTCTCCGAAACCGTTGAGTGTATCTGCTTGGTAACTACATGTCTGGGTGCACCCTTTGGGTTGCATCAAGCAGGTGATGTAAACAATTCCGTTTTGTTTTGCTTTTTGCCCGGAGGACCCTACAGTTGCATTAATCCAAAGTCAACGTTACTCGTGTCCTTTTCCCTTCGCGGGTGACAGCCCATGAAGGTTCGGAGCTTGGGGATCGATCTCTTTTCGGTCGATGGGTTGTACTTCACCATGGCATCCAAAGCATTGGTTGCCGTTCAAGCCAATTGCTTTGGCAATCCCAGTGAGCTCGAGATCCTTTGGCAAACACGGCAGATTTGCAGTTGGACTTCACTTTGAGAGTTTGGAGAAACACGAGAGTTCCTGAAACCCTCAAGATCTCGTGGATTCTCCCACAGAGCATTGGACCAAGCTGCATGTTGTTTCCAGAGCTCGTCGGTGTCAGGTCTGGCTCGGCCTGGTGGAGAGGAGGATGTTTGAGTCCCTCAAGGCGGTCGAATGCTTCGGCGGTGTCCAACACAAAAGGTCCATATATTGTCCACGTGTTTACTTGTTGAACGCATTGTGCCGCACTCAGTAAGTCGGTGTTTGCTCGTTGTTTGCTTGCTTGCTTCCTTGCTTGCTTGCTTGTTTGTTGGTACGTGTGTGTGTGTGCGTGTGTTGTGTGTTTGTCTTTGTGTTTCTGTTGGTTGGTTGCTTTGTTGTATGTGTGCTTATGTTGTTTTCTTGCTTGCTTGTTTGCTTGCTTTCTTGCTTGTTTGTATGTATGTTTGCTTGTGTGTTTTTGTCTGTCGTGTGTGTGATTGTCTTTGTGCTTCTGTTGTTTGATTGCTTGGTTGTGTGTGTGTGTGTTTATGTTGCTTGCTTGCTTGTTTGCTTGCTTTCTTGCTTGTTTATATGTTTTGCTTGTTTGCTTGCTTTCTTGCTTTCTTGCTTGTTTATATGTTTGGTTGTGTGCTTGCTTGTTTGCTTGTGTGCTCGCTTGGTTGGTTGGTTGGCTGGTTGGTTGTTTGGCTGTTTTGGTGTGCTCCTGCTGGTTTGTTTCTTTGTTTGTTTGTTTGTTTTGTTGTTGTTTGTTTGTTTGTTTGCTTGCTTGCTTGCTTGTTTGTTTGTTTGTTTGTTTGTTTGTTTGTTTGTTTGTTATTGTGCTTCCTTCTGCCTGTGTTGGTGTTTGCTGGTTCTTGTTGTGTTGTTGTGGTTGTTGGTATGTTTGTTTGTTGGTTGGTTTGGTCCTTTTGATGTGTTGTTTTCGAGTATGATTGTTGACATACTTGTTTGTTTGGTTGTCAGTTAGTTTGTTAGTGTCAAGTTTGCGCTTGATTGTTTGTGTGCTGTTGTCCTGACTTGTTGTGCAGTATGGTTGTTGTGTTAGTATGTGTTTTACCGTGTTGCTTTGCATGTGTTGTTTTTGTATGTTTTGCGTTTTTTTTGTTTGAGTTGTTCTGTCGTGTTGTGTTTTGTTATTGTGTCTTGTTGTTTTTTGAAGAGAACTGTTTTCGAAGCCGGCAATACCAGATTAGTTGCGTGCGTTCCCCACTTCCGCCTGCTAGTTTTGTTCAGTATGCTTGGGAAGCACTCCAGCATTCGGAGCTCCGCACCGCGCGACAAAGAAGGGTTACAATCTGAGTTGTACTCGATCATAGCGCAGTGTGGATGATACTACGATACCCATCATTTGGGAGGACATAGCGAAGGTGTGCCCAACAATGTCACAATGGCTAGCAACAATCCTTGAAGTTATTCTAGTTCATGTGTACATGTTGTATGCATCTTTGTGAAACAAAAGTATTGGACATTCTCCTCCTTCTCCGCCTTATCTTGCTGGATTCTCAAAAACCTGTTCTCCTGATCTCCTCAAAAGCGGAACACCCTGTTCTCCTCAAAATCTTAACTTTTCATAGCAACCTGTTCTCCTCAAAAGTGAAGATTCCCCTCAAAAGCGGAACACCCCCCATAAATCAACAAGAGGTTGATTTATCCCAGGTTAGTACTTTCAGCAATGTTTGGCTGAAATGGCAAGATAATGTGCCAAACCTACAACCCCTCCTCCCCTCCCAACAGGAAGGTTGTCAGATTTCGATCAGACCACTTTTCAAGGAGTGTCTAAGAGATTTGTTTTTCGCGGGGTGGCTGGGGCCTGTTCTTTTCCTCCGAGATTGCTGAACAGGTTAAATTTGGACTTTGGGACATCCTCCCTAGGGTCTACAACCCATCCGCAAACCACTATTTTTGGTTTTGGGACCTCCTTCGAACTTGGGCAGGCACACTTGGTGAAGTGCCACAACATGAACATCAACCCCAAGGCAGGGCCGCTGCAAATGCAAACACGTGCCGCTCAGTCTTCCGAGCTTTCTTCCTGTGGTTTTCTTTGCATCGTTTTTGCAGTGGCTTGAGTTCCCTTTGCGTTCACATGCGACGAGTGCGTGGAGTCATGCTTGCCAGGCGTGTGAATGTGTATGTACCGGTTTGCCTATGCCGCACACGTGTTCAGAAAGCTCATGTTCAACTGTTCAACAGATAGATCGCCACTGTCAATATTGCTTCAAGCTAGCCTGCTAGAGAGCACCAAGAGCCATGGGAAGACCAATCCAGTTAAGTTTTGATTTGACCAGGTTTCTCAAGAGTTGGAACCCCCTCAAAACTGGTTGGTGGACATGAACATATGAGCGCTCATATGTATTTGTGATGTCCACCAAAGGGTCCCCCACTTGTAGTATATCAGGCGGTGAGAAAGCATGTCGAATGTGAGTTGTTCCTCAACTTATCCTTGCCTTATGTAATTATATGTCCACCATAGGGTCCAGCCGAGGCGATGAAGAAGGAGAAGTGGGTGAAGGAGTTCTTAGGCCAACTGCTGTGCCTTGGCAGGGCTCGTGTTGTGGGGGGAAGCTCCAAACATGGGCATTGATCTCCGAATTTCTCAGGCAAACGCAGAAACTGTACTATTTGGCGAACAACCACAAAAGTGCACCATGTCGGGTCTTGAAAGACCACCACCCTCTGGAAAAGGCCTGTTGATCACTTCCTTGGTCCAGAAAAAGAGATGGTCGCGAGAGAACGAACGTGTCCTTGGTGCCGACAGATTACAAACACAGTCGTTGAATTGCAAAAACAACTCGGATATCACACCATGGGGATCAGCTTGCCTTTGCGGAATCTATGGCTGGGATCTCTTGGGTTTGCAAGAGGACCCTGAGAATCTGAGATGCGTTTGGCTTCAAGGGGTCTTGAGAAACATCTTGATTTCACTGCCATGACACGCAACACAGCATCCATGCCGCAACCTAGATGTGGGTCATGTTCGGAAAGCCAAGAGCAACACATTGCCCACTTTCCAGGCAATGGAATTTCTGTGGCAAATGCCTGGGGAAGATCCCGATCTCTTTCTCACGGATCTCTTTATTCAGGGAGTCTTTGTGGATAGCCACCCCTCCTTGTGTGCTTTGAAGGGAAAGCAGAGGTAAACCGGACCGAAGCCCTCTTTGTGTGTTGCCCTCTTTGTGGCTAGCCACCCCTTCTTGGGTGTGTTTTAAAGGGAAAGCAGAGGTGCCACTTTATGTGTTGCCTTAATCTGAGGATCACCTCCGGGCAGATTGCTTGGACCACCGACTGCGCCTTGGCCCTGTCGAAGGTGGAGAAGGGTCAGAAGAACGCGCTCAGGACGCGGTCGCGAAATGAAAGATCCCGATTTCGGAAGTTGGCTAGGTCCCCCAGCGATTGGTGCCCTTTTACCGTTTCTTTTTTTGGGGAGGGTTCCCCTACTAAAATAGACTACAGAGAAAATGGTACCCTTATTCGAACCTCTCTACTGGAGGACCTAGTTGGTGTGCTGATCTGTCTCCTTTGTGTTGATTGGTGTGTTGCTTGCCTGCTGCCTGCCTGCCTGCTCGCTTGCTCGATTCATGACTGGCTTGCTTGATGGCCTTTCCTATGCTCAACAACCATCTACATCTTTCAAAGTCAGCTGTCAGTTTGTGGGGACTCAAGTACTTGGGACCAGTGAATCACGATGTCTTCTCATCAGCAAGCCCCCGGACCTCGTCATCAAAGTCATTTGCCGATTTGTTCGTCGTACCCCCTGCAGGATGCTGAAGCGGACCCAGAGCAAGTACATCAGCAAGCTATGCGAGATGATCCGGAAGCCTCTCACCAAGAGCCTTTTGCAGCACCGGAGAGAGCGAGAGATATGCAAAGAAGTTAAGCTTCCCCTGGGCAAAAACCAGATCCTCCTGTACAGACCAGTTGGAACATATTCGAGCGACTGTTGCCTCGTAGGCCAGGAGAAGCAATACAGCCAGTGGAATTGCCGACAACAACATCCATGCATGTGTATATATGTGTATGCATGCATTGCACGTAGAAAGGCGTGCGTGGGCAAGTTTGCATCCCACGCGTATACATGCAGGCATGCAGACATGCACACAGTCATACGTCCACACCTGGCAATGCATTCCGCTTCGTAAGTTGAATGACTTCACTCCTATAGCTTTGCATTTTGATGTGTGCCGGAAGATATACATACATGCATGCCTGCACATGCAAACACACACACACACACACATGCGTGCAGGTCCATGCATCCATCCTTCCATCCATCCCTCCATCCATCGATCCATCGATCCCTTTACTCCTCCATCCCTCCATCCCTCCATTCCTCCATTCCTCCATCCCTCCGTCCCGCCATCTCTCCATCCCAGCGTGCATGCATGCCGGAATTGTTTCCATCCAGTCATTTCTTCGTTGAAAGGTTGTTGTACCATGATGACGTCTCTTGCGTCGGCCTGAAGCAGCGAGCTCGCCCTAGGATCGAGCGCAACAAGCTGGTGGCACTGATCACCATCGAGGTGCACGCGCGAGACGTGCAGGATCGCATGATTGCAGCCCGGCAGAAACCGCGGGGCCCATGGAAGGACAGGGCTTGAGGTGCTTTGAAGTGGCCTTAAGGGCATGTTACTGTGTCTCTGTTTTTCTTGGGCCACGATGGCCACGGAACTAGGTGGGATTAGCATGCAGAACGTGCGACATGGGACTCAACTCGCCGGAAGCGGCAAGGTGGCTCTACCCGAGCCGCGAATGGGAGTGTCTGCTGCGTCAAGAAGTCCAAATCGCCCCCAAACTGAAGCCAAACACTGGGACCGGGGAGCATCCCTGATTTTGGGGGGCCCACTCAAAACTCGAAACGCGAAGCTGTCACCCCACCAAGCCTCTCTCTCAATCTGCTTGTTCCCCAAGAGAAACGCACAGAAACCGCGGCTTGCACTGCTTGCGGTCCCAGACGCTGAAGACGGAGTCCCCCTCCAACTTCAACTGGACCTCCCAGCTCCGCTTCGAGCTGCGGGATAGCCAGGAGGAGTCTCGATTTGGGAAGAAGCTCGCGATCGGCTTTCACTTTTGGAGGGCGGGGAACATGTCTGAAAGTCGGATGTTTTAGGAGAGGTTGTTGTTTCAAACCCAAAAGTTGGCCATTTAGAAAAGTCCTGAACTTAACATTTGGCTTTTAAAGGTCGACTCCTGGGTGGTGGGCCGCCAGTTTACAGGTGGTGAGTGAGGATTCAAAACGCAAACTTCAGGTCAGCAAGTGTTGGAGGCATTCACAAGCCCAAGACCTTACTTGCTGATATGATATCCACTGATATGTGCATACCAGCGTTTCCTGTGGCAAAAGCCGGGGTCTTGATGGACAAGCTTGAACTCTGCAGAAAGGTCTCATTGCAGCTAGAAACAGTTTTCTTTGCTGATTTTTGCGTGCACATGGGCTCTTCATGAAGACGCGATTGCTGGCCGGGGGCTGGTGGAACTTCAGAGTTTTGGTTCCCAAAATTCTCACTACTGGGCAAGTCCAAAGAAAGGAGCCAGTTTGAGCACATGCGAGGAGCTCTGAGTTCACATCACTCAAAGCCCCTTGACCAGGGACGTAGCGGGAAGTGATTTGAGCCCGAAGCGACGAACGAGATATCGCGCCTGCTTTGTCATGTGGGACTTGCAATGATTGCACCAGAAGAAGTAGATATGAATCATGGCTATTGCATTTGGGGCTAGTGCAAGGCGACATGAAGCTGCTGTTTATTGGTTTGACTCACCACGGAAGTCCGTTAGTGCTGAGGTTCTGTTTGGGGTTTGTCACAAGCTGGTTCACTTGGTCAGGAAAAGGAGTTATGATGTATCCTCTCACCTTTTGTACATGGAACCTCACAGGGGTCCTGCTTTGGACCATTTGTCGTCGGAGCCTCAGGTTGCATGTGAGGGTCGCCTTCCTGGTGCCAGGAGCCGGGGGCGGTTCAGGCCTGCTTCGTGCTGCAGACCAACACCACAGCCCCTTACGGCCGCTCAGCTGGGAATCTGGGAAGATGGGCAGCAGGGTTGGGATTCGCAGTAGCCAGGTGAGGGGTCCCTTGTGCTGCTGTATTCGGAAAGGTTGCGCTTTGACACCAGCCAGCAAGCAAAGGGGCAAGTGGTTTGTCCTGGGAAGCCGCTAGGAAAGCAGGTCTTCCTTTTACCATACCTCTGGCATTCCTCCGACCAGGTGTAAATTTTCGATAAAAGGCCGTGACTGAAAACGAAATGCCGCGGCGCGTTGATCCCGAGAGTTCGGGAGGTGCAATAAGTCGCTTGAGAGCGAAGCTCACCACGAAGCCTGCATGTTGATGATGAGCGGGAGTTGTTTTACACAGTCTTACATTTGGGGCACTGCCGTTTGTGGAAATGACTTTGCAGAAAGGCCAATTGCCAATGGCCATCGTCAAAAAGAACCAACAGCTTCTGAGCTCATGCAGTCCAAACGGTGTGTTTCAAAAAAGTCCAAAAGCACTTGCGAAAGCAGTTCTAAAGAAAACGAAGCCCGCGAAGGCAAAACATGGGGTCGCAAAACCATCGCGAAATGGCTTGCAAAAGCAAGCTCATAGTTACTTTGACACAGTACTCGGCACGGCTCACGAGCTTTGACCCGGGCGCTGGGCCTTTTTGGTGCAATTCGTCCCCTGAAGTTTTGTTTTGCATTGAAGGGCTGCGTAATGTATCCCTTTGACCGTCGCAAGCCATCGCTCGCGGGGAGTGTCATTCTGGATGTCAACGCTCACTTGGGAAGGGCTTCGGAGCCGATGTGTAGACTTCAGAATGGGAGGATCAGTGGGAGGAATCTTATTGAATATACCGCTAATGGAACCCAGCCGTTGACATGATCTTGCCGGTTCTCAGCAGGGAATGAGGGAATGACCCCCATCAACCATCCAACTGGTGGAATCCTTTATTCGGGAATCCCCAAAACCGGTTCATTCCCAACAACAAGTTAACCTTTGCCACTACCTGTTCAACCATCTCTCTACTGCTAACTGCTATTGGGTGGAATCTTTAGACTTTAACTTTGTGGATTCCCCTCATATTTCCCTGTAACCAACAATTTATTTTAACTTTTGCTGGGGGATCTACAGCACCCAAGATCTACCAACGATCGTGGTTCGGTAAAGATCACCCTTCATTCTTCGCCGAAAGCTCTTGGAAGGCTACGAGTACCAGGGGAACAATGGACGGCTGGTGGTCACACCTATGACGGACCGATGCTACATGACGCTGACGACAGCCACTCGTCATATGGCCTTGTAGAACAAAGCATGGTAGCATGGATATCTGCTTTTTTTTGTATGCTTTGTATTTGAGTGCACCATGTGGTGTCATGCATTGACTTGGGTTTGTGTCTTCGGATTGGTTTTCCTCAAGCTGAGTGAGCTCGCATCCTCGTGTTCAATGGGAGTCGCCAAAGGGCCTTGTCGATTGTCCCAGATCTGCTTCAGTCGAGGCCCCTGGAAATTATGAGGTGCTTCGCGGATGAAGACCTTAGGTGCTGATTGAAGGTGATATCCTCTTTGAGGGCGAATGCTCATCTTGAACCAAGAAAAGGCACGAAGAGTACTGAGCACTGGGTGTGTCCTGTTCATCTATGTTTTCTATGTTTATATATATACATATATATATATATCATGTACTTGTGGAAGAATAGACGAAAACCAGTCACTCACTTTCGTGAGCGAATGTTGTTGGCATCAGATATGTTTCTCATTCAGCAACAAAAAGCGTTCAGTAGAGACAGTCTGTGCATGATGCGCGAATGTGTCTTCAGAGAGATGAGTTGGGAGAATGTCAGCAGCCTTCCCAGCGTCGTTGCAACGTCTTCCATGATGAAGGTTCTTGGCGGGCCTTATTTCAGGTTGGAGAATGAATGTATTCTTATTCGTTTGTGCTAACGACGTTTGAGAATATTCTGCTGTCCATAACCTTTGACTTGCCGGTGTTTTCTCTGAGATCGAAGCCTGCATTGTGGAGACTTTCCCTCGACATACATGCGGAAGAAAGTTACTCCCAACTAGTTAGTAAAGACCCGCTTAGTTGTTTCCCATGACGGTTTTTTGCCATCTGAGTGCCTTTTGCGGTTGCCCTGTGCGAAAATGGCGTCTGGACCGAACACTTGACTGCCAGTAGGTTGAATCTTTAGACTTCAACTTTTTGGGATATCAAGGGGGTTTCCACTAAACCCACAAACAGTTAAATTGTTTGTAGAGGGGTCAACAGCAACCAAGTTTACAGCAACTGTGTGTGGTGGATGCCTCATTATCAGCATCCCTTGTGAACTTTTGCAAGCAGGGTGCACCATTTGGCCATCAAGTTACAGGTACTTGTCAAAAGTTGATGAGCCCCCACAATGCTGGCTTTTCCTTGTAGTGTCCCTTGATGCCAACCTGACTCGGTTAGCATATATATATATATATGAGGATCGACCAAAAAAAACCCTATGGCATGTTTTTGTAAGGACTGAATACGAAAGCATATTCGGTGTTACGGCGCTGTGGTCGCGGAAGACCGCGGAAGGTTATGTGTTATCATGGGATGACGCTTTACTCGTGTACTACACGAGTACTGAAAAGTTGTGCTGCTTGAGCTGGGGCAGCTCGTACTCTGCTAGTACTTGAAAGCTGCGATGTTTCAGCTTGGCTGTCAAAGTCAAAGTGTGCTTCATGTGTTGAATTGTTCTGAGATGAAAACGATACCCCGAACAATACCTGCGCAATTCCGAAACGATACCGCGCAGTGCCTGGGGCCAACTGAGCTACCAAAGCAGTTTGGCATCACATTGTCGCCTTGCCGGGGCTGGCCCATTCGTCTCGTCTTTAAGCGTGAGATATCACTTGTGTCTGCTGTCCGGCGCTGCTGCTCATTCTCTCGCCCAGGAGCTGCGTGCTGGCGCTCCAAACGATGCCCAAAACGACGCCAAAGCGAAGCCCCCGGAACTGTGGCTGTCGCCGTGCGCGGGGGGGTGGCTGGCCAGGTGCTTTACGTAGCGTAGCTTGTCGCTTGTTGCCGCGTTCCTCGTTCCTTTTCTTTCTCCGGTGTTTTGCTGCTCCGTTTCCTACGTTTGCTTGTCCTCCTCCGTCCTTTTGCTCGTTCCTCGCTCCAATCCTAGTCTACTTCTTGCTTTCTGCACTAGCGCTTCCTCTTGGCTTGCTTTACTTTTACTTTTAGGAATTTACTTATGTTCAGACATCAGAACGTGTGGTTGTACCTGCATCGCGGAAGTTCGCGGAAGATTCGCGGAAGGGCGAGGCGGAAGGCGATTTTTGGAGCAAGGAATATTGGACAACCCTCATATACATATATATATATATATATATATTTATTTATTTATTTATACGTGCGCATGGATATATCGTAGGGCATCTTCCGGCTCCGTGCCGGAGCTTGTGAATTCGGTTTTGGCCAACATGTTACAGGGCTCCTTAAAAGATACATGTTGCAACCATTTGACACATGTTGCTTTTTCAACACCAAAATAAAGTCGGAAACCGCCAGAAAACAAGCTGCAATGTTCAGTGTGTCACTGTAAGGATCCCTGTCAGACATGTTTCCGCCTCTGGCGGAATTGAGGCCATGCACCTGAAGCGCGGCGGCGCGCCGGCGGGCCCTGCGGGCACCGGCAAGACGGAGTCGGCGTTTCGGATGGACCCGGCGGGTGGGGGGGCGGGGGGCTGGGGGTATGGCTGCACCTACGTTTGACACATGGGGGGGGGAGTGACCGGTGGCGGTGGGTTGCAGAGCTGGAAGTCACGCTCAAGAACCACGCGTGTGCAATCTCACCTGGAGATGGTTTGTGGCTGCTGTGCGGAGTTACATCAGGCAGATTCCATGCCGCGAACCCACATCGGACAACTTTACTGAAGCTTCCTAACTATTGAGATAGATCGCACACCCAAAGACCCATTCTGTCTGTGGATGTTGCAGATGCTTCGGCCGAATTGGGTTTGGCGAAAGTTGCCGGACGGCATGACGCCATGGCCGGAGAACCCATACCCAACATGCGACGTTTTGTTTCTCCGCCAGTCTAAGGGGACCGTGCCAGCTCTGCTGTTTGCCCCGGGTGTAGGAGTGTATCTCTTGGAGCCTTCCAAAGCTGTGTTGCAACGTGGCACTTGATGGCAGCTGCTTGGGGGTTCTGAAATGGCTATGGAAACTGGCTGAGGGTTGAAGCAAAGCACCTGAGGCAGGTTTGGACGAATCACGGCCTTGCTGTCACTGGAGGCCCTCCCGTGCTTTAGCTGAGGTTAAGGACTTGGGCAAGGGCATGGCCATGCTCTCCGGCAATGAGCAGTTCGGGAGTTGGGCTTTGGCTGGGTTGGCCGGGTTGCAGTGGTTTGTTTGGTTGCGGTTTTTTGGGCAATTTGTGTTCAGTTTGGGGGCTTCTTGGGTGGTTCGGGGTGTTGGTCGAGCCTGGTTTGTTTTGTTGCTGGTGTGTGGAAACAAAACCGCCTGAATGGCAGAGGGCGTTTATGTTTGTCCGGATGCCAGTGGTCACCTCCAAATCGAAGGATTGCTCTTGTTCATTCCGCCAGGGGACACGGAGCAAGAAGTGGGCTTGGAAGAGTTGTTCGTAATGGTTATGGGCAGGGCTGGCAGTACCTGGGTGACAATTCACAATTCCAGGAGTGGCATCGGGATGAGATAAGGTGTTGTTCACTGGGTAAGCACCAACCTTCATGAGACACCAACTTGAGTTGAGACTCCTTGAAGAATCATTGAAGAGTACGCCACAAGTCAACAGACATCACCGTGTGGTCTGAAGATGAAGCCACAAATCAGCAAACCAGTTGCTTGTTTTTGGGGTGTCCATGCGAATCGCTAGCCGGGAGCCAGTTCTGAGCCAGCGACAGGTATGTCATCGTCTTCAACTGCTCCGATGGCCTGGACTACAAGTCTTTGGGGCGGATGTTCTCAGGGCTTGCGCAGTGCTCCAGACGCAAACCAACTTGGCCGGTGGGAGTTCGGCAGGGAATTCTGTCAGCTGTTGCAAAGGTAACCTGCCAGTTGCGCAAGTCATCTAATTAGGCCGCTAGATACATTAAGCTACTGCATGGGGACCAGAGCTGACCAGGGCTTGCCACTTGTAAGTGTCATGTCTGTTCCACTTGCTTCACCTGCAGTGGAACTGCAATCACTGGGTAAAGTAAACTCATCCCGCAGCGGCTATGTGTGCGGCACCTTTGGTTTTGTGGGACCCTTCTGAAAGCCCAAAACAGAGGGGCTGTGATGAAAGCACTGAGCACATTCCACTGCATGCCTTTGCTCGACTCGCAAGGGTGGTTCGGTCCGGCATGAGGCCTTTGCTTGTTGCTTGAGTCAGTTAGATCACCGTCAGCTCCAGAGGGAACCCACCAGATGTATCAAGGATGGGTGCTAAATAGCACAAACTGTTCAAGTTTCCCAAGGCAAAGCCAAATGGACGGGCATTTGCCTAATTTGTCCAGGTCCCCTACTCAACACTCAGGGGAAACGCAGAGGATGTTTAAACTTCGAGTCACCGGTCGGCCAGCATTTTGAGCACTTCAGACAGCTCGCTGCTTTTGGGAATTTCGATTTGTCAGCACATCTAGGTCCCCCAGTGGTGCCCTTTCTCACCCCCTTTTTGCGGGGAGGGTTCCCCTACTAGAATAGACTACAGAAAAAGGGGTAATTACCCGTATTCTAACCTCTCTACTGGAGGACCTAGACATGATGCTTGCCAACAGAAATGGAATTGCTTGCTGCTAGTGACATGCAGCATCTTCAAGTTCCCCCATTAATCAGTGAGTGTATATGTATGTGTTTGTGTTTGCTGCTTTTCACCAAACCAGAAACTAAGTGTCAACAAGGTATGCAGGTTGCGTCGGGAATTGGCATCCTTGAATGGTGTGTCACACTGACGCCATTGGAGACTGACAAACAGCAAGCGAGATACATCCGGAGACAGGAGCAGATGGAGACATGTTTTTGGGATTCAGACACGCAATCACAACGACACATCGACGTTCGCAACCACACGCACAATACAATAGATTGACATATCACATTTCCGTGAACATGACAGCACCGTTGCGGTTCTTGAATGCCTTGGAATATTTCGAGCTGTGGTCAGATATCATCCTAGGTGCGGATGCTGGGGCTGCTTCGATGAGTTCAACCGAATCGATGTCTCTGTGCTGCCACTGGCCAGAGTTGGGCCATGCGGGGATGGGGGGATGGGGTGGGGCCCAGGGGACAGGTGGGTGACACTCCCAAAAGCAAATTTGGATGGAAACCCAAAAGCATATTTCTCCAAACTCGTTGGACTTTTGGGTTCCTTGTTTTTTTTTTTTTTTTTTTTTTTTTTTTTCGGGTGTACTGTAAGTAGCCCGGCTTGTCCAATCCTCTAGATTGAGCCAGTTCTTCTTTCGGACCTTATGCCGGGTTCCATGTTCAAGCGTCTATGCAATTTGAGATATTTGTATGAGGTTGGTTCTATTAGATTGGGAGGAAGTATGGTGGGTAGGTGTGCCGACATCATTCCAATCTCACAGTGCTTTGTTGGAACCTGAAGCGACCATGAAAGGGTGTTGAAAGGCGTCTTTCTGACAGCACAATGGCGCCAGGATGGGTGCAAACACACACACACAGACACACACCACACAATCGGGGCTGCCATATTGTGGCCATGAATGCTTCCTGCACGGGCGGTTGCGGAAAGGACCATGTTTCTGGGCAAAGTGCGACAGGCTCGGGAATTGTGAACTGTGCAAGTAGGGATTGTAGATTCCATTTGCCGATTGTGTTTATGTGGCGTTCGAGTCATGGCGGCTTCCGGCGATGTTTCTCATCCCACTGAGGTCTGTTGTGGCAGTCCAGATCATGACGATTCAAGCGGCGCTGAGGGAAGAGAAGGAGAAGTTCATGTTTGAGGAGCCGAAACTTGTGACGCCTAACTTGGAGCTTTGAAAGGGCCTTTGTGAACTGGATGAGAGATATTGGCCTAGGACGCGTGCAGATCCAAGCGCAGGGAGGTGGTTTGGCTTGAACTTGACATCCTGCCAAACAGAGGGTCACAAGTCTTAGCGCCCGCATGAAGCACAACAGCAAGCCATTGTTCTTGAAAAGACAAACACATATTTTGGGGGCGGTATGGCTTTATCAGCCCTTGAGCGATGATTCTTAGGGGATTGCTCCGCTAACATGGAGCCCACGCCCTTTTTGAGGGACATGGTCTTCTATCCCCAGTCAGGCTCCATGCTCTGTGACTCAAGGGCTTGCAGGATCCATGTGCGAGCTTGAATTCGGCTCCCAGCGGAATCTGATCGGAAAGCCCCTTAGCCCTGGCCTCAGGGTGAAGGCCATGGTCTGCCCCATCTTTGGAAGTCGAAAAATCCCCCGGTCCTTTCGCCCGAGGAGATCCTCATCAACTTGAAGCCGACCTGCGCGGTGCCTTGAGCTGAAGGAGCAAAAGCCACAGCCGGGTTTGCCGCACACGGGGTGGGTGCGTGTGCCGCACCACGGCTATGTGCCGATGTGGAGACAAGGTGTTGAAGCCTTCGGGGATAGGATGTTGCAGCAAGTCTGGCTGTGTGTTCTTGAGGGCAGGAACAACTTTGCTATGGGGTATGAAGGAGACTATACAGATCACAAGTAGGGGTGCAAGAGGATCAGATGTAGGGAGCTGTTTTTGAGCTTTTGCTCACAACTTGCTCCTGGATTCCGGTTGGCAACCCGCTCAGCCTTGGAAGGGCACGTCTGAGCAGAGCTCACCTAGAGCTTACCTCCGCCCTTCTCTCAGCTGAGAACCTCGCAGGAGTATTTCAAGGGGACAGCTTACTAAGACCCAGCCTGAAGCCACACACTTCAGTTGAAATGAGAGCAAAGCACTCAGCTCGAATTGGCCAAAGCAACTTTCCACTCAGCTCGAATTGGCCAAAGCAACTTTCCAGCGCTGACTCCACTTCCACGGTCAAAGCGCTTGAGGTTGATTGGTCCAATCCTGCGCGGTGACTGCCCAACCATTGGAAAGAGCTCCTGTCAAGTGCCAGTGAGTTTGTTAGAGGAGCCGCTCGAGTCATGTATGGCAAAAATATGTCATGCATATACTTTGTTCGTGTGTGTTTGCGTGTTTTGGGAGTTGTCGCGCCTGCCTCTCTACAAGTCACTGGCCCAATTTCTGTTGTAAGGATTCGCCCCAGCTTGAGGTTTCAACGTGTCGCAGTTCCGCTGGTTCTTTGACGGATTTCGCACGGCTACGCCTTTGCTGTTGTTGTGTGGCGCATGTTTGAGCTCGAAGGCAATCAAAGGGTAACAGATTCACACACACACACACACATAAACACACACACACAAACATATACGAATACACCGTAGCACGCGTATTCATGCGTGGTGCGCCGTGTCTTGAAGGCTGTCAGTTGTTACACTGTAGTACACACATTCATGGATTGCTGGCTGGTGCGCCGTGTTTTTCTTCAGGGCTGTCTCAGTTTTGGTTTCTTTCACTTCGCCCAGGTCTTCATCACCATGAACCCAGGCTACGCGGGGCGCTCGGAGCTGCCGGACAACCTGAAGGCGCTCTTCCGGCCCGTGGCCATGATGGTGCCGGACCTGGCGATGATCATGGACCCTTCCGCGAGCATTTTTTTCCCCGGGGGAGGACCATGGACCACAGGGGTCCCTATATTTCCCTTTTTGATGGTTTTAAACATCACCTTTTTGGTCCATGAGTATCCCTTGTTGGGGGTGATGTTTTTAGGGGAAATATAGGGAGCCCTCCAATGGACCTGTTCCGAACAAACACTGGAAGGGACACCTTTTTGTTCTGGTTTCGGTGGCTCTGGAAAGACCAATTGGCCAAATTGACGGGGCATGAAGATTGCATGTTTCGACACAAAATCGGAAGGAACACGAGCCAACCCCCCATCCCCCCCCCCCTCGGCCCGGGTTTTGGCAAAAGGAAGAAAAGCAGCACTTTTTGATGCTCAAGCAAACACACAGGTAATCCTCCCCTGAACTTCAGTGTTCCATCAAGTGTGACAAGCCATTTAAGGAATCGAGTCTATGTGTCACCCTTTGCGCGAAGCCTCGGACGGAACAATTGGGTCGGGTTCGATTTAAGTTTTGGAAGCTCTTTTGAAAAGCGCCCCTCCATGAGCGAATATGTGGGTTTTTAAGTTGGGGTCCGGCACTGAGTTCCTCATCCCGAGTGTTCAGGGGCGAAGCGGTCAGAGACCACAACTTGCCAATGGGCCATAGATCTCATGGATCCAATTTGGAAGGAACCTTTCAGGGAAGCGATGGCCTGGACGCCTTTTGAGGGAAACTGACGCCAGGCTTCGGGTCCAACTGGCTGTCACTGCCCTCTGAGCTCCTTTCAATTGTGTGACAGGCCGTTGCTCCGGACTATGTGGTGGCACCCTAGTTTCCCTAACACCCCGTGAGGTGTTGCTGCCTCACAGGCATAGTTGAGCTTGTGCACATTACGTCAAAGTACTGGGGAAGCTTGCACGTATAGTCTGTTTGGTAAAGGTTATGACTTTCCCGTCAATAGCAGCACCCTGCAAATGATTGTATGAACGTGGAACCTCTTCTAACGTGCCCTGTAATGCCTTCAAAACGACTTGTTTTGAGCCCGGACAATATACTAAGTGTTCAATTGCGAGCATGTGTGTTTGCAACAACTCTCTAATATGATATCTCTATCTCTCTATACATATGTTACATATTATATCAATATTCGTACATATTTATGTGTGTGTGTGTGAGCTTCTTGAACGAGTGCTTCCAGTGGGCGCACACATACATATACATATACACTCCGCATACATGGATATTAGTATATATATATATACACATGCCTTTATGATGTGTGGCGTGTGGATTGAGGAAATCATGCTGGTCTCCGAAGGCCCGGGACCTTGCCGAGCCATGAGGCTGCTTCCTTTTTTTGAGGTAGCTGCTGGGATCTTCCAACATGCACGTTCAATCGTTGAGGCCGGTTCAAGCTTGGTGATTCTCTGTTGGAGCTCGAGGGCTTCTTTGAGAAGACAAGTCCTTTTGGTACATGATATGCTGAACAATATGTTCCCAGGTGAAGCTTCTTCGTAAGACTCGGCCAGATTAATCTTGTGAACTCCCGCGACATGCAGGAAGTATCCAGTGTTGCGGCGCGTGATGTTCAAGACGGAAGCTGTGTGCCACGTTTTTTTTTTTTCCCCGAGGCGTGCCAGATAGCCCATAGGCAATAATTTTGGGATGGCCCCAAAAGGAAGCCAAACGTGGATATGTGTTTCTGTCCATTGAGCGCCCAGAGAGATTCTTCAGCTGGCAGATTGGGAACCTGGCTCAACTCATCACACTTGCGCGTTTTGTTTGGTCGAGTTGACAAGAGACCCGACTAGCAGCTAGCAGAACAGCCCCGGCAGCTCCAGGTCTTTGTTGGTTGCCCACGGATTGGGGATGTCCCGGGGCATCGAGTTGTATTTGTTGTAATTCTGGATGAGTTTGAGATACTATTGGAGAGGTTTTGCAGTTGGGCGCTCATGCCAGGAGCATCCATTCAAGGCTTGTTGCTCCTATGGTGTCATTGCCGGTTGCCAGGCTTTAAGGACTTTAAGATGCTGGCCAAGAAGAAGTTCACCCTCTACCAGATGATGCTGCAGCAGATGTGGAAGCCTCAGTGATTGGGTGAGTCGCAATCAAAGCGGCGTCGCCGTAGTATGTCAGGATTTTGAGGTGTGGTGTTGGCACACCACATGTTTCTTGATGCCAATGCTTTGCGGGCAAGACCCCCGCCTTGGACGCGTCCGCAGGCAAACTCGTGTCATCCAGTGCAGTGACAGTGTGCGTAGCATTTGGTGAGAGTCGTTCGAAATCCAGCTAACAGATAGCACACGCTCAGATTCCGTGCAGCTGTTTGGGCTAAAGCTCCTCTCACACTTTACTTGGCCGTGGCAGGGTTCTTGTTTTGAGGAGGCGCGGAACAAGAAAGAGGGTGGTCAGTCCACTTGGGTGGTGGCGTTCAGCCGCTCCCTTCGCATCACGCAAGTGCAAGGAACAGACTCACACACGGTCTGGTGTAGCACCGTTTTTTTTTTTTTTTTTTTTTTTTTTCCGCTGAGGTCCAAGCAGCATCACTACGACTTCGGCCTGCGCAACATCAAGTCCGTGCTGGGCTGCGCAGGCGCGCTGAAGCGCAAGGACGGGGGAGCGGCGAGTGCTGCTTGTCAAATCAACAAGATGCTCAATGGCAGTCACCACATCGAGGTATACAATAGTGGGTTGCAAGAGAAGCTCTGATTCAACCAGGGTGAAGACGTTCAGAGCTTCCAATTTGCCTGCCACCAGCTTGTTTTGACGAGTGGAAGAATCTGCGTCAGTTCTGCCTGCGGTTTTGCCGCCCCAGAGACTGCGGTCGAATCGGTCGCAGGAGCCAGACATGCCCGAGCAGATCCTGCTGATGCGCGCTATTAACGATGCCTGGCAAGAAGAGGGTCCATAGGATACCCCGTGAATGACATAGTTGCATCCAATATTTGCCAGCGGCTAGAATTTTTTTTATTCATGGATCTGTTGTGAGGCTGCATGTTCGGGTGATCTGCATTACCTGCAAAATGGCCTGTGGGCAGCGTTCTTTCGCACCACTAGAGAGGGGAGGTTAGCCGTTCACTGCTTGGCAGGGCTCAGCTTGAGCAAGCAAATTCCATGAGACGGTGCTTTTGGAGCAGACTTCGAAATTGGGGGCCAGGCTGCTTCTTTCAGGCCATAGCCTTCCAGGCAAGTTATTGCGAGGTCACCAGGTACTGTAAACAAAACAAACTGGATGAGGAACGTTCCTAACTGGGCCCCGGTTCCCTTTGTTTCCGATTTTTGCCATGTATCTTCAAGCTCGCTTGAGTGGTGTGCACCCAGCTGAAAAAGCCAGCGAGTGCTAGCTGATGGCACCAACCTGTCCAACTGCTGCAAGCGTCCTGCACATAACCGGTTCTTGGGTCATGAGCGGGGCGCTTTGTACGTGTGTGCTCTTTTGCTCCAATCAGGTGACTCGGTCCTGCTTTGGCTTCAGTGAGAATTCTTCATTCGCCACGTTGAAAGACGTAGTGAGAGCCAACTTAATCCAGTCCACCCTGTTGTGCCAAGAATGCCATTCACCAAGCATCAAGCGACACTGATTTTCTCACGGCTGATGCAATAAATGCGGTGCACTTGTTGGTTTCTCTGCGAGAAACACATCTTGCAGCCTGTGAAGGAAGTGATTTTAGCCATGTTTGCTTAGCATGAATCGAGTGAGTTGGATGGATTGTGCACTTGCTGGTTTATACAAGCAACACTACTAACGTTTACACTGCCTGAAACTTTAGTTTATGTTTCCAATTTAAGGGGCACTGGGGCCCTAGTCTATTGTCCGCAAGAAACCCGAAACAAGCTCGCCTCAGGGCAGTTTGCAACAAGTACTTGCAAGCGAAGGCTTTTGTTTGTTGTGTGTGTAAGTTTGTGTGACACGTGCACGAAGGGAGTTAGTTCTTGAAACTGGCCCCATTTGCGAGCAAAAGGGATGGTGTTCCAGGTTTGTTCCTCTCCTCAGAACGGACCTTCTCCGCTCAAGTTTGTTGCTTTCATGCAGAAGTCAGACTGACATCCTCCATCCATAGTGTTTCCTCGCCAGAAGCACACATTCCATGCATGCAGACATGGAAAAGTTTGTTTTTCCCTGTCTTGAACGACAAAGGTAGCGTTTCTTAGGGAGGGGGTAGCCCCTCGACCATGCTTGGACAAGGCTTGTCGAACACTCCCAAAGAAAACATGTGAACATCACCTTCCGAAGCTCGCGCTCCGACATCTCGGCTGAGGACATGAACGCTCCCAAGTGGGTCTCCCAAGATGTGCCCCTCTACAACGCGCTTCTCAGCGATATCTTCCCAGGTCGGGGCTGTGGGAGAGTAGGAGAACCGTGCAGCAAGCAACCAGCTCCTGCCTGAGCAAATGCAACGTTTTTTGGTTGAAACTGCGTCGGTTTTGAGTCCGTTTCCCCGGTAGTTGAGGATCGGGTTGCTCGTTGCACATTGGATCAAGTGCGACAGAAAGTTTGTTTCCTGCACCCCACCTTATTACCTCTGCAGCCGCCCTTCAGGCGTGGAGCTCCCCATCCCGGACTACGGCAAGTTGGAAGAGGTGATTTTGCAGGCGCAATTGGAGTTGATGTTCCTTGCGAGGTGCTGGTTCCATGGGATGCTGGTGGCTTCGCTGCTGTTGATTGTGCTGGACTGCTTGTAAAGTTCGTATCAGGCGGCTTGTGTTGCCCAAGTCTGCTTTGGCGCCTTCTTTGCTCGGTAGCTCACCCATGTTGAGTTTCCAGATGCAAGAAAGACTGGATATTGCTCAATTTGCTCAGACCCACAGGCTACACGCAGTTCTCCCGGGTTTACCCCCATGCTTTTCGGGGTGTTGTGAAGCCGCGTGTCGGAGCTGCCCCGAAAGCCACCAGTCCCCAGATTTGCACATTTGCGTGTCTAAGGGTGCCATCTTTTTAGGCCGGTTTTCGTACCAGGTGCTCGGCGAGATGGGCTGCCAGAAGGTGAAGCACTCGGTGGCCAAGTGCATCAGCATCTACGAGCCTCGGCATTTCTCGGTGGGCCCCAGCCGTCCGGTTCCTGAGCTTGTTAGATGTTTAGGGTTTAGTGGTAGTTTCCATTTTACCCACTAAAACTTAAACTTTTAGCAGGGGATCTGAGGGCAGCCCAGTTTTGATGGGTCCAAATGCGAGTGGGATGAAGTTGAGTCAAGTTGCGAGAGTCTGGGATGAATGCGAGCAATTGCTAGTTGCTGGGCCCTTTTTCTGGACTCAGGTCTTTGGGTCTGTAGGTCTTTAAGGTGTCACTGAACCTATTTGCTCGTCGCCGTGCCATCATGTTTTGGCTGAACGGACGCAGGCAAGCCATGCCCAGATGTGATTCGTTCTCAATGATTCCCGTTCCTGTCACTTAAGCTCGATGGCGCACCAATGTCAATTACAAGCGCTTCCAACGCAACCTTGGTTAGGCCGATTCCCAAAAAAAGAAGGGCCAGTTTCTACTGGAGATAGATAGGGAAGCAAGCACGTTGAAACCAAAAGTCAGTTTTCTTGGATCTGCACTGAGGGCAATTTCAGAGGCTTCCTTTTTTTGAACCCGGAGTTGGTTTAGGAGATGGACCACAGAAATGTCAACCTAAATCCCATGAACTTCTGCATCAACACGAAGCCAATTTTAGGATTTCTTTGTTTTGCCCACTCTTTATCCATTGGGCGTTGGATCACTTCAGTTGCGCCTTCCCTTTCACCCTGAGGAGACCAAGATCACGCGGCACGGGAACATGTTGGTGGGCGGCACGCTGGGCGGCAAGAGCGTTTGCTGGAAGGCCCTGGCCAAGGCGAAGTGCATCCTGAAATCCATGGGCCAGGAGGGCGCCTTGGGCGCTTTTTCTTCTTCTTCGTTTTTCGCAAGCCGATGCGACGGAAGTGTGTTTTCCAGAATCAGGGCATGGAAATATGGTTTTAGTGGGGGGCCCTTTGGTGAACATCATGTAGGCGGGAATTCATGTCCACCGACCAATTTTGAGGTGGTTCCCTTTTTACATTCATAGCCAGTGGGGGCACCCCAAACCTTGTGGCTTTCCTTCGATTTCCTTGTAAAGCAACCAGCAAGATCAAGAAAAGGCAACCGTACTTGGATTTTATTTCCGGCGCATTGTATTGCCATGCTCGAGGTCATGGCCACTCATGAACTGATGTCACGAGGGTCAGGTCCTGTTTTGCAGTGGTGGGGGGTGTCTCAAAGTTTAGGGGGAAACCGAAGGGAGCAAAAGCCATTCCGAGGTGTCACCTTATTTAAGAAACACCTTTGTATAAAGCCTGCTCGATTCTTTTTGAGCCTGACCAGCCAATCAGCGTCGCGTTTGCGCAATTGCACATGTCATGTTGAGTGGACCAGTTGAGTATAATTAGCTGGCTGGTGTTTCATATGACAGTATGTGGCTATTACGTGATGAATGGTAGCGCAGGATCCATCCTTACACGCATCGAACTATTGACCCACTATGATCCTTGCTATCAGCTGTTTTATAGCTCTACGTCTGGACAGTACGTTTTCTTTTCGGTGCATCTCATTTTTCAAATAAACCTCGCTGCAGAAATGCGGAGCTGAGTATTTGGGTGCCTCCCTAAACAGAATCCGACTTCAACACTCATAATTTTGAATCTTACACCGCCAGGCTTAGCGGTGTTTGCGAGCTCACAACCACAACGACAGATGCGTTTATGCTCGTTGATCCCCATTTGAACGGAACAAAGCTCGGAGAGTCCCCGAGGGATTTGGATTCGCACAGTTGAGATAGACCCTGAAATGGGCTTTGTGACAGGGACCTCCAGGAATCAAACCTTAGGACGTAAAGACATGAGACGGCAAGAACCGCCAAGGCAAGGGGATCCTGCAGTTTCACCCACCAGTTGGGAGCAAGCGCGCCGTCCAGTAGCGCTTGCTTGGGCTTGACATGAGTCGTGGTTTAGAACCATATGCGAATTGCATGTGGTAGGCTTCCTGCCTGTCAGGGATTCTGGATAAACAGCGGGTCATTAAGTGCGATGATCAGTCGAAACTGCTACGCTCATGCGACCGACCAACATGTTGCATGGTATTCGAGTCACCCAAGAAAAGCTTGCTGCGCGCCCAGGAATGGAAAAGGTGCAGTTTGAGATCATCAACCCGAAGTCCATCACCATGACACCCGACTGAGAGTCCCTACATTGCCCCAAGAAAGGGTGGCAACTACGGCCTTTTTGGGCCAAGTCAAAGTGAGTTTTCCTCCTGGTGGTGTGACGTTTGAGGAAATATGCAAAACACCTTCAATATCGATTTCTGGCGCAGCCAGTTCTTAGGCGAATGGGTGGTTTCTGATCAAACATCTTGAGCCATGTGAATGGGAACCAGGCGCGCTTTTCTAGTGGGTTGGGTGTCTCTTGGTTCCCCTTTGCTGCCAAAAGCCACGTGGTCCAGTTTTAGTTTTGTTTCCAAGAGCCGAAACATGTTTCACAGTGGATGTTGTTCTTTTTGATTTCCTTTTTTAAACAGAGAAGCATCCCAAAAGAGAATCCAAGTTTGAGAACGAAACATATTGCAAGCCAACCTGAGAACATTCTACCAGCTCCGTCTTCACAATCCTGTGCTGCTTTTCGTTTTGGAGAGCAGACCGGAATTTAATTAAAGGGGGCAGGGTGCGTGGCAAGTTGTGAGAACTCCCGGTTATAACCCCACCTCGGGGACTTGCAACCATTGTAAGCGAATTATGACCATTACCCAGTTGTCCAGTGGTGCCCTTTGTTTTTCCTTTTTTTTGGAAGGGTTCCCCTTTCAGGTCAACCAACCAAAAAAGGATGTCCTTTTTTCCCATGGAGACCCACTGGGCATCTGAGACTACACGAAGTACCCTGCCCTAGAGCCGGTAGCCGAACCGGGTATCGTGGCGAGGAACGAGCTCTATGGCGCCTACGATGCGATTACCATGCAGGAGTGGACCGATGGCGTCCTCTCCTCCATCATGAGGCGTATGTGCCAGGAGCCGTGCGTGTCCCGTTGGTTCCACTTTGGGTTTGTCTCAGAATGGGAAACCTCCCAAACGGTGGTGCTTGTTTTGGTTTTCCTTTTAGGCAACCCCAAAAAGGGTACTTTCGACAAAGGCACACCACATCATTTGAGCCCGTCATAAGCGATGTGCCAGGATTCGATGTTCTCATTTTTACGCTTGGCCAACTTGCAACTGGTTCGGGCAACCATCACAGTTCATGCGCAAGCCTCGTGTTTTTTCCAAATGGCTGTTTGGAGTATCTGGGACTTGGAGGGCCCAACACTGAAGCTGCCCGGTTGATAGAACTTGACGCCCTGATGTGAGGGTCTACAAAGTGCGGCCATGGGGCCACGGCCATGTTGGTCACGGCCGACCCTTGAGACGCATCCTAGCTCCCCAGTAGTGCCCTTTCTCACCCCTTTTTTTGGGGGAGGGTTCCCCTACTGACATAGACTACAAAAAAAAGGGTACCCTTATTCTAACCTCTCTACTGGAGGACCTAGCCATCTGAAGAACACACTCGGCTGCCAATCTCTCAAACGATGGGTCCTTGTTTGCCCGTGGAGCAAACACCCACTTCATTTCGAGGAGGAGAGCTACGTTTCTTGCTGCTTCCTATGCAGTTTGATTCATGGCCAGGCCCAGATAAAAGAGCCGTAGTCTAACTGCGGACCGAGCCACAGCAGGTGCACTTTGCTCCCAGCAAGTTTCACATGAAAAGTGGGTAACCTTGTCAGAACTTGTCCAAAGTTGAGGACGAGAAGCCTGATGAGAAGTGGCTGGTGCTGGATGGTCCGGTGGACACCCTTTGGATCGAGTCCATGAACACCGTGCTGGACGACAACAAGGCCTGGCTTTAGATGCCGGGAAGATTTTTCTCGCACCCCAAATCCAAATTTTGGTTCTAAGAAACGCTTCCAGCGCGCTGGAAGAGCTTGTGCAGAACCAGCATTTGTGTAGCATGCTGGATTTCATACTTTAGAACCCATTTCTTAGAACCCACTTAGGGTTTCCAAATTTATTGGGCTGTGGTACGAGTGCAGCAAACTACAACACCCCCATTGCATTCATGACAAGCAGATCCTCCTGTTGGCACCTGATGGGTACTTAAATTGGTCATGGGCTACTGGAAACCATCGGAACCTTTCGCGAGTCCTGCGTTGCAGCCCGTGCTCGTCGGATGAATCAAGGCCTTTTTAAGTTCTGCGATGCGAAAAAGGCAGCGTGCGAACCAGCTTGCACTTAGTGCCTTCAGCTCTACAGCGGTACCAGCAGTTCTTGTGGTTTGTTCCATTGGCAAGAGCCTCGTGAAGTGGAACCCAGCTTCTGTCCCGAAGGGCCTGGCATGTTTGATTTAGTTAGTGTAACATCTGGGGAAGTCAGCACTTTGGCGTTGCTTGCACGGGGAGACCAACATATGGTTGAATGGAGTTGGTTCTGAGTTCGTTCTATGTTTGTCTGCCGCAACATGGGTCGTGCCAAGAATTATCGCGGAATTCCTTCTTGGAATACATCCACCAAACAACGCGTGTCCGCAGGCCTCATCCTAAAATCCTGCCAAACGTCCACCACTAGAACAAGCCGCGTTGTTTTGGAGACCTGTTTTCATCTCTCGAGGATTCCTGGCATGGGACTTTGGGCTCAGGTGTTGACGCTCATCAACGGCGACCGCATCTCCATGCCGCCGATGGTGCGCCTGCTTTTCGAGGCGGGGCGAGTCTTTTTTTGGGCACCGCGGGCCTGTGAAGCCATGTTCGCCGGGTAAATACAGTGTTTGCATGTTGTATCGTGAGAGGATAGACTGAAGATCTTTGACTTCGGGATTTCCCTATTTTTTCATTGAAGCCAACCACAGGAGTCTCAAGGTTTCTTAATTCCTTCCATATTTGCTTGCCTTTGAAACCAGAAAGGATTGTATCTCAAGATGTGGTTAAGTCCTTTTCAGGTGGATCTGTTGCCTTCCTTTTGAATGTCCTTCTTTGGGTCTACTGCTCTGCAACTCAACATGGATCCCACAAAAGGAGTCCCCCAAAGGCGATTCCATTGAACATTGCCTGTCAGACTTAGTGTGCCCGAAAAAAATAGTGTTCTGAGTTTTTCCAAACACAGGCCCCATGGCGGGCCCTTCTGAAAAAATAATACATATTTGTTTCCCTTCATTTGTCCTTTCAACCGACATTTTGATGGATGCAGGTGGCGGAGCTTTCACAGGCTTCGCCTGCCACAGTCTCCCGCGCCGGCATGGCGCCTCGGGATCTTCCGGGGGATGGGCTAGGTGAGACGTGGAGGAATGGATTTTTTGTTCGTTTTGCTAGGGGTAGGTTTGGGGCTTACATATAGGGGTCGGCCAGTTGGCTAGGTTGGTTTTGAGGTGACGGGTGCGGTCGGGCAAGAGAAAGGGCTTGGAAGCGCAAGGGTGGTTTGCAGTGCTCAGAAGATTTCGCTGCGTGTCACAGAGTAGAAACAGCGAGGAATTGGAAGGCTGGAAGTCCATGTTAAACTCGCCAATGCCCAGGCCTTGGGGCTTTGCGCCTGATCAAACTGGGTCAAAGTGAATCCACCAGGATATGGACCGCTGGGTTGAGTCCTGGCTATTTACCAGGGTCCCCAACCCATTTGGGGGCGACCCAATTTTTGTCAACCACAACCGCCAAGCACATCTCAAGAACTGTTTTCCTGCTTCGGTTCTCCCCTATTTTTGACAACCACAACCACAGCCATATCTCGAGAAGTGTTTTGGTTTCCCTTCGGTTTCTCTTCGCAAGCCAACGCCATCAACCTATAGGTGTCCTTTTTGGTTGGTTTGCTTAAAAATAGGGGCGATTCCTGGTTGAGATGGGGTTGATGCCCCATTTACCAGGGAAACCCATCTGTTTGTCCCAAAGGCCACCCAACGCCATCAAAGGTCTCTCTGAGGTTTACTTCGACCCACCGGACCTCGGATGGGAGCCCTACTTCCAGAGTTGGATCGAGAAGTTCATCCCCAGCAACCGCCAGCAGGATGCCTCTCGCATGAATCGGTTTGTCTCTTTGTGGCGGGTACCCTTTTGGGGTTGGTTGAAATGGAAGCCGAAGGAAACGACGCACTTCGGGGGTACCCTATTTTAAGACACCCCCACATGGGAGGAGTTTTGTTTCTTCCAACATGGACAACTCTGAGGTAGGTGTTTAAAGGGAAAACAAGGGGACACCCTTGCCATAGGGCAGCCCTATCTTGAGAAGCACCGTAACAGTAATACTAGTTGCTTCAGACTTCATTTCTTCGAAAACCAGGTTTCGGAGAGACTCAAAGATTTCACCACCAGAACCCCAGACCAAGGCCTTCAAGGGTAGATGCCCAAGGAGTACCCTAAATATGGCTTCAGTGAAGCAATACGTTTGGTCGTTTGGGAACTCTGAGACGCTGCCAAATAAAGCTGAAGCGCTAAATAAATGTGCTCCGGGTTCTTTGGAGAAAGTTTCCAGGTTTTGAGGAAAACATGTTTGAGACTGTTTGTCCTGAGGTGAAGGCGTTGTCCGAGAAGTGGATCCCCAAATGCTTGCGGATCCGGAAGACCTGTGTAGAGCTCGCACCCATCGTGGATGCCAATGCCGTGATGTCCCTCACTCGTGCCCTGGACGCAACTCAAGATGGAGACGGCTGTGCGCTTTTGGTGAAGCTACCCTTCCAGCTTTGGTTCAGAGGGGAAGAAGAACACGCCACCATTTGTGGGGTGCCCCTATTTCGACACATAGATGGAGGCGGGGAGGTGGAGGCGGGGATTCTTGAAGTTTTTTCTGGGATCTCGGTTGAACAGATGTTTACTATTCACTATTTGAATCAAAAGTATGTGTTGTTTGGTTGAGGGCAAATAGAGACACTTCCCTGGGTATTACAAAAAAATAGAATGTGGTTGAATTTCACGAGCAGACACCCTTCGTCCCTTGGTATCACAAACAAACAGGCTCCAACAATGCCAATTCCAACAAAAGCAATAACTCGGCAAAGCTACCGCAGTGTTTGAAGAGGAGAAGTCGGACTCCCACTGGTGATGCCAAGGAAATCCCTTCTAAGTCAGGATATCGCAACCTCACACAGGGGGTTCGCGCCTCGATTTTGTTATGTCCTTTGAAGCACTGTGCTGGGTCGGCAAGTTATTGTTGCGGTTTATTGTTCACTCATACAGAAAATGTGTTGAGGCATGACCGCTCCACTAGCACCTGTGCATGTAGCATGGAGAAGAGCGCCGCTTAAGAGGACCACTAAAGCAAGGTCAAAGCCTGACAGGAGCCTTTGTTTGTGGAATTGAAAGGTCCTTTGGATTGTGAAACAAAAAAGGCTAGAGACAGTTCCGAATTGGATGCAGCTGGGAGTTGCTCATTGACATGGTTATATACCCGGTTGTTTTGACAGTTGTAGTGACAAACGGCATATTTTCAAAATTCGGCATGGAGCGGGTTTTCTAGCACCAACCACCAAGTTGTTGCCACAGCGGTACTGTTGCGCACTCTTCCGAATACCCAGAACGATTTTCGCTGGATTTTTGAATGCGCTTGACTGCCTGTCTTGACATGTTTTAACGTGTTTCGACGCTTTTTGGTCAGACTGGGTTTTGACCGGTGGAATGGTCCCGAACGCTCAAAGTAACAGCGGTGATACAATGGTAGCAACACACATCAATATGTTGTAAGCCTTTCGTTTGATGTCACAATTGTAGCAAAACAGGGGCAGCAGGGTTTACGCAGGTCTTACCTTCAACCATAAGTGTGGCAACTGTTTCTCAAAAATGCAGCGCTTCCTGTTCACCCCCTCTTGTTGTCGGGAGAGCGCACCTTAAACCCTTTCCGCACCTTGTCCCCCCATCAAAGATTGGTTCGACTCGTTCGGCAAAGCTCGAATGTCAATTTGTGCTACTGTGCGTGGCTTCCGTTCGGCATAATTACTTCGCAGACCCATGCAGACCCATGCAGACCCATGCAGACCCATGCAGACCCATGCAGACCCATGCATGAAGCATTTTGATGCCTATCAAATATGCTGTCACTGGTTTGATAGCTTTTCTTCCGGGTAGCCTTCCGATTTCGTTGACCCCAAGCGAGCACGCCTTGCCCAAAGCTTTTGGCCACCCCCGGCAAGTGGCTCATGGGGGCAAGCGCCGTGTGATTTGCTGAGCAAGCCTTGAAAAGCGGCCAAAAGTGCCCCACCTCGGCGTCCAACGGCACATTTCGTGGCCTTTTGCCCGGGACAGCAGAAGGACACCGGGTCCCTTACAATAAGAAAACACCCTGACATTTCGGTCTTCGACAGCTTTTCCAAGAGCCACCCCTGCCCAAAAGCCCAAACCCCCAAAAATGTCTTACGGAAGCCTATACCATACATGTGCCCCAACCGCCCAACCCCCCCCTGGGCGGGGGCATGGAACACTGGACACTGGTCCCACACCATTTCCACTGCAAGATTCTGGGGTTGCCTCCAAGGCTCGCATTTGTTTTAGGGTAGACTAAGTATGAAACAGGATCGAAGAACATCGTTTTTGGGAGCCACCCCAGTCAGTGGGCCGAGGATTATACGAGACCTTAGCGCCTCGCATCGACATCGAGACCTTTGGGGAGAAGGCTCTGGAAGCGCTGGACAAGTTGTTCGCCTTCTCCTTGATCTGGTCTTTGGGCGCTTCTCTGACCGAGGCCATGCGGTCGCAACTCACATGTCACATATCTAAAATGCGTCTCACAAAGCAATCAACTATATATATATATATATATATATATATGTGTACGGATATTTGTTCAGCACCCACGTGCTTTTGTTTGGCTTCTGCCGCCCCACTTTTTTGAGGGCACAGGCGTTTTGGGGGTGCTACAAATGGGGAAGCCCCAAAAGGGCGGTCGCTGTTTCTTGCCTCAGGCCTCACGACCGACCTTTGACCAGTGCGTGCGCGAGGTGGAGAGCCTTGCAACAAGAACTGCGGTCGCGTGGGCTTCACCTTTTGGGATTTGTTGGGGGTTTTGCCTTGGTCGTCCAAGGGCCCGCAAAAACAAGGTCCTTCTAGATGTTACTCTTGGTTGAAAAAGGACAATCAGCCAAAGGCCTGCTTTTTTAGAGTCCTGGAAGATCAAGGTTGGTGATGTGTTGTGTGTGTGTGCGTGTTATTTGTGTTTTGCACCCTGTCAAACATGGGGCTGGTTGTGGTTGGGTTAAATCTCAAACCTTGAAGGGGGCGGTCCTAGGCACAGTGTTTCTATTTGGATGAGGGCTATACATGAAGTTCGTATAAGCCCGCGCATCCTGGAGTACAGGAAGGCTTTATTAAATGTCCTGTGACTCCCTGCGGCTCACAGCAGCAAGTAGATCTCACGCGTTGTTCGGAGTGAACCCCACAAGGCAAGCTTCCCTTCGATCGCACCTCGTCGAATCTTCAGGTAACCCGGTGTGCACCGGAACCTTCTCCAGTTTTTTTTTCTCACCGCGTCCGCCAGCGGCGCAAGCGCGCCAGCGGCGCGTCCTCGCGGAGCGCGCAACGTGAGGAACTACTTCCCGGCCTCGCACTCCATCTACGACTACGGCTTCAACTTCGACAAGGCGGACTTCGCCCCCTGGGACGAGAAGCTGCCGAACCCCTTCAAGCCAGAGGCCGGCCGCTGAAGAAGCGGAGAGGAGAGACGGGGAGAGAGGGAGAGAGCGCCTGGAGTCAAGAGGAATGTGGATCCGAAAAGGGGGGCACATCCTTTTCGGACGGATTTCAAGCAAAGACAAGCCTCTAGATCTCCCTCCTCACTTTTTGGTTCTGGTTCTGACTTGTTGAATGGGTGGTTTTTGTCCCCGAAAGGCGCGTCCTTCAGGTTTGTGTTTTTGCACCGCAGCTTGAATCTTCCTGATTGTGGTTTATGTTCGAGAGCCTTGGCGACAGCGGGGCATGTTCGACTTGCGTTGCTTGAGGTGGGATGTTACTCGGCTTTGTCCATTGAGACCCAGGTGTTAAGCTTTGTCTTGCTTGTGTTTCTGTGTTCTGTAAACATGCTGATGGGCTCTTGCGTTTGTTATTTGGGGGGTTACATTTGGGCGCCCTGGTGCCGCTTTCTTGCAATGAAGTTTCTGAGTCGTGATCCCGGAACAAAGGCTTCATGCTTTGAATGTTGGGGTTCCCTCTTCTTTCAAGTGGTGGTTTGCCTGTCTACCTACCACATTGGGTAGCTGGCAGCAGTGGGTGTTTTGGGTGCAAACTGAATTCATCTGAGGAAGGCACGCCGTTCCACAAGATCATTGTGCCCACCACGGACACTGTGCGAGACTTGGCCTTGCATGGTCTGCACGCACGTCACACACCACATGCCCACACGCACGCACTTCTTTTTCCGGCCATTTCGTAACGGCACACGCCATGCGTACCGAAGTGGTGGCTGACACTAATTAGCAGGTGTTCAGCTAGTCAAAGTTCGAACAACACATGTTTCACATTAACGTGTGTACCTCTTCATACCCCTGCATGCACATACATACATCATCAAGATCAATACAACGGCGGGCAAGAATCCATTCCTACAAATCAATATCGAGGAGCGAGGAGCCTATACATGCCGGAGCCCGGCGTTTTGTTGTTTTGTTCGGTGTTTTCATTTTGGATGTCCCAGATCTTGAACGCTCTAGGCAAGTGAGTGAGAAACTGGTGAGTTCAAAAGCGAGAAACACCCCCCGGGCTTCATGAGGCCCCAGTTTTTGGGATCACGGTTCGAATGGAAGCCGAAATGGCGTCCTGGGCCTGGTGGAAGCAACCTGTTTGCGGCCCTCGAGGCCCCCGGGGCCCCGAGAAGGTGAATTCAACTAGGGGAGTTCACCAAAAGCCACCGGAGCCGGCATATGTCACACGCAAGATACGTTTCCTTTAATACTGGCAGGGCGGTTCGGCTTATGTATCAAATACAAAGTGACCTGTTGCGTGTTGCGTGCTTGACGCTTGCCACATTTGGGACACCGCTGCACATGTTTCGTGGCTACAGAGCTTGGCACCGCACAGGAAACTTGTTTGACATGAACAGTGTCTGCATGAGACTGCTCGGGAAGACGTGGCCCAGCCTTGGCAAGTGAATTTGACTAGGTCCCCCAGCTAGGTGCCCTTTCTCACCAACTTTTTCGGTTGGGAGGGTTCCACTAAAATCGACTAGAGGATAAAAAGTGGGTAGCCTAACCTCTAACCTCTCTGGAGGACCTGAGTTGGACGTCAGGAAATTCCTTCATCCTGAAGTCCCTGAACTCCAAGCACTTTCACAGCTTGCTGGTGGGCTGCACCGGCACGGGCAAGACCATTGCAGTCCAGGAGGCCGGGAAATCACGGGATTTGTCAGTTGAGCCTCCAGAGTCGATGACCTCAAACCCGAAATACACCTGTTTTATTGCCTTTCGAAGCGCTTTGGCTGATTCTTTTTGTGAGGCCAGAGCTTGCCTGGGGCGCGGCTGGGGAAGATAAGCTGACAGTTTGCCTTCTCGAGGCGTTGGTCAGTGCATTCGGAAGAAATGAGTGCTTTGGTCCTACTCTTAGTTGAAACTTGCTTGTGGCAGATCATGTTTTCTGTGCTGGTGGCAAAGCGGAGCTCAGATGTTGGTCAGAGGATCCCTATTTTTGTTGGTGCATTCTCGCAAAGTCTGCCAAAAGCAAAGGAAATCTCAATTGGTCAAACAACCGGTCTCAAGCCAACCTACCCTATGTGTTTTACTTTGAGCGCAGCAAACAAGGCTCCCAAAGAGTCAGATATATTATGATGGTACCCTGTACCGAGTTCTGAAGGCATCCACCTTGCTGGAGACTTATTCAAAACTAAGAACATGAGACATGACCAGCCAGTTTACCAGCACAGGCATGCCTCTGAGCAGAGTCGTCCTTACATGTCTACAGTCTTGCTAGTTTACACAGTTTTATACATCACCTTGGAGGCCAATGTTGATTGATTCGCCCTGTGGGCTGATGTTCATGAGGAATTCTGTCGCATTGCAGTGGCCAAAAGTTTGGCGCGGTTTTTCGGGCCCGAGGCGATTGGCGGCTTGGACGACACGGGCTGGACCTCCTTGACGATCAACATGTCGGCGATGACCTCGTCAGGCGGGGATGTGTCTCTAAAGGTGGACCGCCCCAAAAGTTTTGAGGGGACGGTCCCCTCGCCCCGAAAAAGAATGGATGGTTCGATAGGCATCAGACATGGAATGACCGAGAAAAAACATTATATTTACGGTTTGCTTTAAGGGAATCCCCTAAACCGGTTCATTCCCAACTCCGGGACTTGTGATTCCTTACCTATTGCAACCACAAAATGGGCTTGGGTGTCGCTTTGGTTCCCCTTCACCCCAAGGTTGGGCCCGATGGAGCTGCCGTGAACAGGAATGACCCTTCCTTGGTGGCTTCCCGCAAGAAATCGGTCAATCCCCCAAAGGGCTTCTGAATACCAGGGTCGCTGGGCAACTGGCACAAGGAGGCGAATCGATCTCCTCAATTTCCTTTGAGGGTAGCTCCGGAAGGCAGCACCCGCAATGTCTCAAACGCTTCTACGTTGCTCTCTCCAGGTAAGACGCAGGAGATCATCGAGAGCAAGATCGAGAAGAGGATCAAGAACAAGTTTGGCCCGGCTCCGCGGCTGAAACCTTGGTGTCAACTCCAGGATGGTCCTTCTATTTTGGGTGGTCCTTCCTTTGCGTAGCTTGTCCTGGGGTACATTTCCTCCTGGAGGTAAGCAGGTGAAAACAGGACCACCCTGGGTTTGAGGCCGGTGCTTTAGCTTCATGAAGATTCAACCTTTGTTGCGTTTACAGTCGTGAAGCACCTCGTTCTTGTAAAAGCTACCCTCCCACGTGTGCACTTCCACGTTCGTTGCGAGCAATCTCCAGGCGGTTTGCCATCTTTTTCCAAAATCTGGCGGTTGAGCTTGCTTTCCGCCAGGCGGGCAACAAGCGCATGCTCATGTTCGTCGACGACCTCAACATGCCGAGGCAAACAAAACAAAACGCCGGCGACGGGGTTGCAGAAGTCCCGGCGCCTCGTGTATGCAGAGGGCCTTCTTAATCAAATGCCAAATGGCTGTGGGTCAAAACCCTGTACCCCTGGTGAATATCGAAATGGGTGGCAAATGGATGTTCATCCACCCCAAAATGGAGCCCCCATTGCCAAATCACTCAGTTCAGGGACTGGACCTGAACAAGCTTTTCTTTTCGTGGCCGTTCGGTTGTTTGTCCACCAACAATATGGCCATGGGTCAAAATCCCGTACCCCCAGTGAACATCCCAATCCCCACTAAAATAGACTAAAATGGGTGGTGCACCTACCCCAAAATGGTACCATTGGTTTTGACCCACAGCCATATATTTCTTGTAAATGCATGTCGAACACAAGTTCATCCGGACCCAGTGAGTCCAGATTGGCTAAATCAGCTGGGTTATGCTTGTTGGGGGTGCAAGACTGGATGATCGACTTCTTAAACGGCTTCAAAGGGGACAAACAGCTGCAATGGGACACCGGCAGGAAACCCACTTGACTGTTGAATCGTTCCGCAAGAGGGTGCCCGAAATCATTGAATCCTAGTTAGTGCTTCACTACTTGTGATTTGATCGAAAGAGAGCGTCGTCATTTGCCAACTTGGTGGGTCTGCTGTCCAATGTTGTAGGCTGTAACTTCCCCATGTCCGCAAAACCGAGACTGAAGGAGAACAACTGACTCAGCAGACGTTGCAACAAGAGGCTCCTTACCCCTGGTTTGTGTCAAAAGCAGGGCCCCTCGAAATGATGATGCTGTTGGTATGCAAACCTCATATCTGGAGTCTCCACAACCCTAAAAAAAATGGCTTCATTACCCAACATGGGGTCATGGTCCCATTTTTAAAGGGTCGTTTGTAGGCAACTTTGGTCAAACATCATGGGCTCGGCCAGTCGGACCAGTCGGCAGGAAGGACCTCTTCGGGTCGCAGCCTCCCTTGGAGCTGCTGCGACAATGGATTGACTACGGCTGCTGGTATGACCGCCAGAAGCAGACCTTGAGGCAACGCGGGGTCTGGTGGGAGAGAAATGGGCAGATGCTTTAGAGGAAAAATACATGCTGATTCTGCCTGTTTGTGTGTGTGGTGAGTGTGTGTTTTGGATGAACATGAGTTGAGACACACCACATTGTTGAAACACGGCGCATTGAAAGTAGGCCTGTCTGGATAACTACTTTCGAACAAACAGCTGACACAATGCGCTCGACTGGGGCACGATCTGTCGCATTCGAGAAGAGTGTGCCCACCGAAACGCATGGTAGTGGCGCTTGTGCCCCGTCCTGCTTTTAACAACGGTGGCATTTCAGCTGACCACCCACCACACACACACACACATCCCACCACTTCTTGCCGTGTCTCCGCATGTTTCCGCACGTCGCCGGCGTGTCAGTGTGTTGCCCAAACTGGGGGTGGAGTCAGCCTTCATTGCCCACAGGCCACAGCCGAATGTTTGCATTCTTGGCATGCTTCGCATGCTTCGGCTGTTGATTTCGGCACGGGAAACTCTACTTGCAGATTGTCTCGGGAAGCTGAAGTAGGGTGCTGGCGCTTGCCGAGGTACGTGGAGGGCATCCACATGGTTGCAGCCATGGGACCCCCCGGAGGTGGTCGCGCCGTGATTTCCTCACGCCTGCAGAGCGCCGCGAACAACCTCTGCTTCGCAGCTTGGCATCCGACTGGACGGGCGGCGCAGCCGCCTTATGGGGCTTGTTGGGAGAGGCTGGGCGGGTTGTACCCGTTTTTGAGGTCCCACTGATGAGTTAGGGGCTTTGATGCCGCTCTCGCTCTGGAAAACATGCGACGCAGCCCTGCACCGGGCTCCTTAGGTCTGCAAACAAAGCATTCTTTGGAGTACACACACATGAATAAAAGGTCACAATGAGGTCCCCCTAAAGTGGGGTCCGGGGCATGAGGGCTCTGGGAAAACAGAAATCCATGTATTGCTGGGGAGGGATTCGAGAGTAAGTGGCCACCTCCACAGCAAAATGGACATTCGATTCTGTGCCGGTGTGAGGGTTCATAGGGGTTGCCTGGTTGCCTGCCTAGCTGCAGGTGGGTTTTACATTTGTTTGCGTGTGTGTGCCTGCAATCTTGGCATCCAGCAATCATCCCACCCACATTCTGTCCCGTGCCTTTCCCTGCATCTTCCCGCAGTTTAACGACATTTTCCTCCGAATCTCTTGTGATCTTGCCAGAGCAGTCTTTCCAGAGTCGTTCCAAAGTCTGCAAACAGTGTGTCAGAAGCCTTCCTGTCCTTTTCCCAGTCTGCACACAGTCCCCAGGGAAACCTTCCATTTTGCTCCCATTACCCAAAAGGCACCTTTCGATTCAACTGAACGTCAAAGATGGAAAGGAATGCGGGTACAACATCTTTGACTCTGCTGGTTTTCAAGCGCATCAGGGTGCCAAAGCACAACACCCTCAGCAGTCATTGGTGCCTGTGGGTCGCTTCCGGTCTCAGGTCAATCCCGCAGACAGCCAGATCAAGCGGATTTTTATGACCCTGGCCAGCACCTTGGATTCTAAGACGTGACGCGAAGACATCGGCTGCAACAAGTAGCTTGCTGCGCAACGTGTTCATAGATTCATAGATATATAATCATGCATGTATCTATATATATATATAATCATACATATGAAAGGTAAAGTATTGCTCGAACTACAGCACTTCAGCGCTGGCCGAGATGCTGACACTTGGAGATGTTTGATGTCGACTTATTGTGGATCAAAGTTTGCTGTGTGATCGTGCACGGTCTTGTGCTTGACTTGCTTCCAATTTCACCTACCACCAAAGTCGTAAGAACTTGTGGATACTGCCTGTTCCTGCGCACTTTTGCCCACTCTCCGCTGAAAGCAAAAAGTGTGACGGCCAAAGAGTTTCGCATGGATCAGCCCGTGTCATGTACTTGAGGACCAGGTTTTCCATTCTTGTTCTCAACTGGCAGGAGCTTGGCCTGTTAATTAATGTTTGATGCACCAAATCCGCAAAGAACTCGGAAGCTCGGCCTGTGGATGTTTGATTCGCACACAATCACATAAAAGCGGACGCAGGGAAGCGGAAAATCGGCCGCCAGCATAGGTGTCCTTTTTGGTTGGCTTGCTTAAAAAATAGAGGGCGATTCCTGGTTTAGATGGGGTTTACTCTATTTACCAGGCTATCTATTTTTCCCAAAGGCCACCTATTGTCGCCAGGCAACAAGCTCAACGACTTCCGCAACGAGGATATCAAGAGCCTCGCGGAGCCCTTGACGCTGACCACCATCAGCATCTACGCGCAGATCAGCGAGGGACACTCGACCAGGGTGACGGGTATTTGGTTTGCACGACTTGGTTTTTGGTGACCTTGGGCAAAACCAGTGCCGGACTCCATGAAGGTTTCTGACTGAAGGATTTCTGAATTGGTGTAGCTTGGACAATTAGAGTTAATTACTAGTGCAGATTGATGGAAAGCTCTTGAAGGGTTTTGCTGACTAAGGTTGTGACACCCCCGATTCACAAGCCAGGCGTGTTTTGACCCGAGGTGTTCCATTGTCAGAGCTTTGAACCTGTTCCATTAGTCCAAATGGATGTTTGGGTGTTCCTGCCTGCCTTACCTGTTCGAGGTTTTGGTGGTTGAGAGGCTGCCCCTTAAACCTTAGCTATGGAGGAATGCATACTTGGTGTTTGGTCGCTCTCGCCTTTTAACTTGTGTGTGTGTGTGTCTGCAGGAAGCTGGTTCTGCGAACTGCGGGCTCCCAAAGTTTGGCATGCGGCAACGTGGTTTCTTGTGAAACACCGGGGCATATTTTCCAGATTGATAACTCTATAGTAGGACCGGCAATCTTTCAGGGAAGGATTCTCCATGGCGACAAAACTGAGGCCCAGTAGCATGCAGTGTCCACAATTTGCCCTGGCGTCACAAGCCAACATGATTCGAGAAGTGATGACGGCGTGATTCTGTTCATACCGAGGAGGATGTCAAACAACATCAGCGTTTTAAAGTCAGCCATGTGAAGGCGAAACCAGCAGAAGTTTCACACCGTGACCTGTCACAAACACGATTCATTGTTCCAAGCACAACGCCTTGGCGTTGTGAGCCAATAGCAAATGCCCATTTTTGTCATGTCAAGGTGGCGGGCTGAACTGATTCCTATCCTGGCATGGAAATCCATGCGCCCTATGGTGGCTTTTCTACAAGTCCAGAAAGTATTTCACCGATAAGCCATTTGCTCAAGTACATGTTTTATTTTCCCCTGTTGGTGCTAAAGGGAATCTATCACTACTGAAAGTATTTTTTTCCAGTGAACTTAAGCAGATGGAAGCTAGGGTTCCTTTTCCGGGATTGCCGAGGATTCCTGCCTACACCGGAGAAGTGCCATTACCTCTTCAACCTCCGAGACATCGCCAAGATTTTCCAGGGCGTGTATCTTGCGGACCCCAAGGCGGGAGAGATAATACGAGTGCAGTTTTGGGGCGCAGACAGGGTGCCAAGCTAAATTGCCCGCAAAAACAAGGCATAATTGCCCCATGTCCCTTGGAGAAACAAGTCATATTCCCCATGACGTTCAATTTGGTTGGACCCCGAAAATCAGAAAGACCGTCGATAAAGGATACAACTGAGAAATATGCCAGGATGTCGACGACTCTTTTCGTTAGTGGTTGGTTGGTTGGTTTGGTTGGTTTGGTTGGTTGGTTTGGTTGGTTGGTTGGTTGGCTGGTTGGTTGGTTGTTTGATTGCAAAGTCAGACTTGAGAAGGAAAGGCACCAGCGTTTGTGAACAACCTGACCATCCTTCTAACCGAACTTGACATATGGTGGCCTTTTTGAAAGCCCTTTGAAATCCACAAGCTTCCCAAACCGGGTGTCCTTTTCTCTGGCAACTTTGGAAGGGGTTTCCCCAAAAAACGGTTTCCACTAGCAAAACAAAAAAGGTTTCCACTTGAAACCAAAAAAAACGGGCGGAATTCCGGCGGCGTTTGGCGTTCGGAAAGGTGCGTTCTTGGATGTCGGCAGGTCCATGAGGAGAAAGAGCAGATCGTGCGTTTGTGGTACCACGAGTGCTGCCGAGTCTTCATGGACCGCCTCATCAACCACGAGGAGCGGCCCTGCGGCCCCAAGAAAAATCGCTGGGCGAGAGTGGCTTGCGGATTGGTAGCCAAGTGCTTGGCACCCAATTGCGCCCAGAGTCCGTCTGCAGAACGTGGTGGTTCATAGATGTTCAGGCGGAATTCGAGTAAACCAGAATGCGTTTGCCATGTGATTCCAGGGCATTCTTCAGGTTTGTTCGACTCTCCCGAGCTTTGCTTTAAGCATGAACGGATTCCAAACAGGTGTCGCCATTTTTCGGGGATCCCAAAGAAAGATGCGTCCTTCCGTTTTTGAACAAGTCAAGGGCTCTTTGGATGTGTTTCACCCTACCCTCAGGGTCCATGCGAAGACTTGATCAGAAACACTTGGATCGCAAGTTGCCCTTCTTTTGGGGAAAAACAGTTAGGTTTGGGCTTAGACATTTGTTATTTTTCCCCTTAGTTGTGGTTTCCTTCTTTTAGTACTGGTCAAGTCAGAAGGGTTTACATTGGATTTCCCCTTAGTTGTGGTTTCCTTCTTTGAGATCACCTGGCTGGCCCAGTGGTCAAATCTCTAAGCCGGGCTCGCTCGTTTTCAGGGGTGTCGGATCGCAGGACCGCGAGAAGCTGCGGGCGCTGCTGGATGGGGCCATGGACAACGGCCTGCAGATCCGCTCCAAAGAGTTTCTCGGCTCAACAGCGAAACCGCGTGGCTTTTTAGGCTTCAAAAATCCGTTTGGTGCTGGGCCACGGAGTAAATCGTTACAGAAAGATGCTGGACTTTACCAGTTGTTTTGGGGAAGGCCTCATGTTAGTGGCAAAGAAAAAGTGTTCGGACTTTGTTGGGACAATTCACCCAGGAAGTGAGCTGTCTTTTGGAGTTGGTAGCCTTGTTAAGTTGGCCGGGGTTTCCTTATTTCGAGACAATGCCTTTCAGGTGAAATTGGCTTGTATCAAAATATGGGAAATTTCAAAATTCAGTGTTCGTTCGGTTTCCCTCCACACCTCAAAAAAGGATAGCCTCAAAACAAGACACATGCAAACAAGTGCGTGGAACAACATGTCAATGCCGAGCTAAAGCATTCGAAGAGGTTTTCCCTTGCTTGGAACCGGGCCCCTGTTGGTTGGTGTGAAGGTAAACCAGAAAGGATTCGCGCCCTCGTAGGGCACCCCCAGATATGGGTGGTTTCGTTCAGCCTTTTACAATCATGCATGGCACAAGGTCCAACCCGTGCCGTGCAGCCCGAGGCTTCAACCCTGACGTGCTTGTTTTTGTTTTTGCCATTGTCCGATCCCTCCTTACTTACTTCTCGTTTTTCATCTCAGTGCATCGGAGAAACAATCGGTACTGGTGAGGTTCGGAACCGGTGTTTTCTTCTTCTTTTTTTAAATTTAAAATTTACACCAGGCGTGAGTATCTTGAACATCCTCATTTTGGATTATCATGTTTGTGTTTTTTTCTCACAGACGAAACGAGCAAAGAAGTGAGTGAGCGACTGGTGTTTCCAAAGAAAAGGCACCTCAGTCCCGTTTTTGTGTGAAATCAAGCCTGGGGGGTCATGTTCTTTTTGGAATGTTTGAATCATGCCTGGAGGGTCCCTTTTTTTTCATCACCCCCGGGGGGTCCCGGTGTGTTTCTTGTCACGCCTGGGGGGTGAGGTCCATTTTTTTTTTAACTCGCCTGGGGGTCCCGGTGCTGTTTTTGTTGCATTCATGCCTGTGGGCCGGGGTGTTTGTTGTTTTGAATTCACGCCTTGGCTCTTTTTTTTTGTTTTTTAATTCACGCCTATGGGCCCTGGTGCTTTTGTCTTTTCATATCACGCCTGGGGGTCCTAGTGTTTTCTTTTTTTACATCACGCCTGGGCGTGATTTCAATAAAACAAACACCGGGACCCTCCAAACGTGATTTCAAAATATTTGATTCCCCCCAAAAACACGGAGCCGTGAGGTTCTAATTGGAAAAGAAAGGCCGCAGTGCATGTTAATAGGAAAACATATGAACCTTCTAAGCATGGTGACTGTGAATGGGACGAGCAACCGACCTTTGGAAATATGATTGATGTTGAATGCTTTCAGGAATCGGAGATCAGATTTGAAGGTTGCTGTAGTTCGGCCAATCGGCAGTGGACTATGCATTTGTTTCCAGCTCTGGATATGTAGTTTGAACATGCGAAGAATTGCAGACACCTTTTGCGGCGCAAAGGAACAACCGGACCCCCTGCAAATCGTAGTGCAAAGATCCTTGGTTTCTGAGGCAGAACGGATTGTCCGCCTGACTGGTTGCTGCCAGGAATTGGATCTCCCTCGAGATGTTGTAGACCCGATTTTTTGCCACATGGAAAAGGTGAGCGCACCATTTGCAGGTAACTCCACTGTGCGCTCATTGTATCCCCCAGTTCAAATGTGAAATTCCTGCGTATGTCCCACAAGGGATTGCCGCTACTTCATTTCAAATCTGGTTGTACCAGTGGCAACACCTCCAGCATGAGGATATTCAATGTCATGATGCCGAGCCATCGTTGAGTCTCTTGTCAGCTGGTAGGCAGCTGTTCCAGCAAAGTACTCTTCAACACTTTGCACAAGCTGTTTGACAAGAGTGCCAGGCGGAAACATCATGTCAACTTGCCCTTTAAAATAATCCGGAAACATAAGCGTTCAGGGCACCTCCTGGGCAAAGTGGGGGGTTTGTCAAAAATTGAGCCACCTTTTGGTATCTTAAGGCGGCACAAGGCGGAATCAGGGTCCAAAAAGGGGCCATAGTTTTGACCACTCCCCATGCGTGAAGACTAGAAATGACGGTATTGCTCATGATCATCAGGAAGCTAAAGTGACGCAAGCTTTCCGCAAAAGAGAGCACCTGAAACGCCGAGGATCGACGGGGGAGATCCCGACTTTGTCTTTGCGTCGCTGGATCTGACAAACCCCGAGTCAGAAGATGCCATCTACGAGTACATGCAAGACCGCAAAGGTCGCTGGGCCAACAGCAATGACAACATCTGAATACCAGGATCTGGAGCTAACATCATAAAGATACCATCCATGATGCACGATGTTTGCAACGATCCCTTTGTTTTTTGAGGCTGATGAATGCTATGTACAGATGTCCGCAGTTCAGATGCATGAGGTTGAGAGTCGTATCTGGTAGCGGGATGGAATTCCTGAGTGGGCATATCTACCGGGTCAAAATGAACCCCCAAAGATGCAGTGACGGAAATTCAGCGACGGTTTTCTGTGGGAAATAGGGTTGAGACTTCCATTGTTCAGACAGCGTCTTTGGATGAGGCATTCCTGGTGGTGTTGCCTAGCAAACCATACAGCAAGCTGGCATCAAGAGCGTTCTCCTTGACCCCTTGAAATGGACCGCCAATTACTATTACTGTGTTCCCTTTACATACCCTTTTTTTCCAGGGGTTATGTATTGATATAGGGGTTATCTCTAGATAGATACTTTGGAGCATCCTTGCTGGGCAATTCTAGCCGAAGAGAAGGCACTTAATTCAATGCCACAAGAAGCCAACAGGACACCAGAAAACAAACACGAAGTCTTGTTTCCAACATTCAATGTTGAGTGGGTGGTGGCGTGGCTCAAAATTAAAGTGGGCGTGGCTCCAGCATCAATTTTGACCCATAAGTGGGCGTGGCTCGAAATTAAACAGGAGGGGTTAATTCCGCAGGTTTTGGTCCATGTTTCCACTTACCAGGGTTGATTTTGGTACCGGTTTTTTGAGCCACAGCCAGATGTGTTGAGCCACCCGTCAATTCGTGCGTGACTCTCGGGCATCTGGGCCCGGTTGCTTGCCAACTCTGTCCCAACGTTGAACTTCAAAGGCCCCAACGACTGACATCTCCTTTTGACGTTTTACCAAATCGCAACACGGGTGGTGCCATGCATTTGGATTTTGGAGTTGGAGTGGCCCCTCTGAGGTGGTTTTGGGTAATTGTTTTGTTGGGTATAGAATCAGACCAAAACTTGGTGGCTCCCAGGCATCCCCTTAGTGGTGGTTTCCATTTGACCCACCAACAGTTAAACTCTTAGCGGGGGATCTGAGCGCAGCCCGGAAAAGGTACGCATTTTTGGGAGGGATTCCATGTTTGTCGAATTCCTCTGATTCTTCTCTGCCCACGGCCATGCAGGCTTGAAAGCCTTCATGGAAGCCAAGAACGAGGATAGGTGGCGAAACAGGGTCCACGCGGTTTCAATTCTGCTTGTGTATGTTTGTGTGTGTGTGTGTGTATATGTGTATACATATATATATATATATGACTTGCTTTGCGCGTCTTTACAAGAGTTTTTTTTCCCGGCTAGGCATCGCTACTGCGAAATGCAATGTGTTCCACACCTTGGAGTGCGCAGGGTTCTACCGAAGGATTTGTCAGCGTTTCCGGCTCTGCAAAGATTGACGTTAGATGCAGGACGATGCATTGGATGTGGACCCATGCCAGAGGGTTGTACCGGCTGAGCCACGGTCAAGCACAGTGTGATCCAGTGCTGTACATGGCAGCGTGTGGGGCTAGACTTGCCAGCTTGCCACTGTTCCATGGAAGTTAGCATGAGCCGTGACATGTTGTGTCTTCTCCACGTTGCACATGATAGCAAAGATCATGAATTGCTCAAACTGCTGTGAGGATTTCAACTCCATGTTCAAGAAGTCGCCTATGTCACTGGTGATGCGCCTCGGACTTGACATTTCGCCCGAGGGTTGCAGAAGACACTTTGAACCACGCCCGAGCAGAAGAATCTGCTGTGACACTACACGCCGGCAGCAACTGGCCCTTCACGTTTGACAACTCCCGTAAGCTCATCCAGGCCCTTTCCAACTTTTTGTTGGGGAGGGTTCCCCTGCTAAAATAGACAAAAAAATGGTACCTGTATATTCTATCCTCTCTACTGGAGAACCCTAAGCTCATCTACTGCTCCAGCCCTCCACCTTCAGACAAGTCAAATCAGCTGTGTGTGAGTGGTGATACAAGCTGAGGAGGCACAACGCCAACACGCTTTGAGACAGCATATGATCAAGGTCGGAATCAGTTGTGGTGCTTGTGTGAGGTCTTTGCCAGTTGACAAATATGTGGGCCATGCGTGGTTGCAACAAAGACACACAACATGCCGCGGAAGTTAACCTTCGTGGTGGCTCTTCAGCCTTCCAGTCCTCCAGCCGAAACATGTCCGGATGTTGAAGTAGGCGAGCTTGCCGGGCAAAAGGTATCGTTTCAAGAAGTAGCGCGAAGCATCTATTTGAGTCGGATAGTTAAGTTGGTTGGCCGGGCCGGCGGTAAGCCTTGCAAAGATATAAGATCCTTGTTGGCCTAAGTGTCCAAATATTTAAATTGTGACACCGTGTCTGAGAAGATACAATTCAAGTTATTAGGCTGTACGGGAATAGACTTTGCTTTCGACCTTCAGTAAGCCCAATGCGCAAAGACATATTGTCTGCAAAGCGCGAGGTACACAGGTAATCACCGGTGTGTGTGTGTGTGCATGTTTTCCCAGGATATTTAGATGATGGTTTTGCTGAACTATTCCATCTGCAGTTGATGGCGCTACATCTTGTATAGGACAGGACCATCATCTTTGGCTAGCACGCGTGGTTTCTGAGGGCATGTTGCTAATGGTTCTTGCTTCTGCGATACTCCGTGCAGGGAGCCAGGACAAACGCGTGACAGGCAGCCTCAATCTTATCACAGCTAAACCCTGTTTCAATGCCCATCTTGGCACCATGATCAGTCAAAGTTTCAATGCCCCAGCTTATGGCTGCAACACGCAAAGTTTCAGGGTGCAAGCACGGCTTGACTGCGTCCAACTGCAACTCTGGAAAGCTCGCATGTTGCGAGTTTGGGTCGAGAACTCTCGTTCCAACTCGGAGCCTCGGCAGCCATTGAAGTCAACACTCTGGAACCTCTTGGAACGGTTGGTGCCGCGCTTTCCCTTCCTCCACGTGCTGGAAATCGAAGGTACTTCTCCTTGGCGTTGAAGACACAAGAAATCGGACGCCTTGATGTTGTTTTTCATGTTCATACGGCACCAGCAGCTGAAATGTGACTTGCGGCGCCTACCACGCGCGCGCACACACGCACGCGCGCGCACAGACGGAGGTGGCATTTGGGCTGTTCCTCCGAGGTTCAAAGAAGCGGTGGAGATCTGCTGCAAGGTGTACCGGATTCTGAAGCAGCCGCAAGGCGCGGGTCGCCTGTCACTTTGGCAGCCTGGTCTTGTTGGTTCGGCCGCAGTGAAAAGTCCATAGGTGTCCTTTTTAGGTTGGTTAAAAATGGCAGGCGCTGGTTTAGATGGGTTTTATTCCATTTACCAGGGTCATCTATTTTTCCAAAAGGACACCTATGTGAAAGTCGTCAACCCCTAAAAAGGGTGCCGTACGTCTAGTCTAGGGTTCAGGACATGGACGTATCCAAATGAGAGCTCTCCCAAAGCCCCCATCAAAGCAGATTCCTAGTTCCTCGCGTGGAGTTTGTTTTCGGGTTCCGTGCTAATCAACAGAGTGTGGTGTCACACGAACATGAGCAACATGAGCAACATGAGCAATCGTCATTTGGCACAGAGTGTTGTTTGTTGTTTTGAGAAGCCCGGGGTGAATGTTCGACTATGGATCACATGGAGCACAGGAGTCGTTTAATAGGCTGGTGTGCTGGCTGTTGAAATGTTTCGAAGGGAGTATTCGCGGCACGCTGCGAAGCGTAGAAGAGTTTACCATTCGCTATTGCTTAGATCGCTCGGGCTTAAGATGTTGTGTTGATAACCCGAAGTGGCATTTCGCTTTAGTTTGAAAAGACTGTACGCTCTTTCTAGTATGCAATGTATGTTGCCGTGCTTTCTATTTCAATGAGTAGCTTTTTCCGTGGAAGGGTTAACAGCATGGGAAGTAGGGGTTCTACTTTCTTACCCCAAGGGATGAAAGGGTTCTGCTGGGGTCAAGTCTAGGCAAACACATGAGGTTCGGTTTAAAGTACTGGAAGTCTATGATTGATTTGAGAGGGTCAGAAAGTGTGCCACGAAATCAATCCTCTGTGGAGACACAAGTAATTCTGACCGTGGCGCATGGGCTGATCCGGTGCTCTCGCGTCAGGCAATGCGCTGCTTATTGGCGTGGGTGGCTCGGGCCGGCATTGCCAAACCCGGCTGGCGTCCTTCATCGCCTTCTACAAGTGCTTCTCCATCGAGATCACCAAACAGCACCTCAGTCGAGACGCCCACTCGAGGGTATCGGCCTTGAAACGGATCTTCAAAGGTCGATGACTTCCACTCCCAGGGTAAAACTGGTCAGCAAACACTGGGCTCAACCTTTGCAGAAGTTTAGTGGCCGTGATGTAATGGATCCCAGTGCAAAAGGGAAACATGACTGTTTCCCAGGCATGACATGGTGATTGAGGCTACTTTTACGCGATGGTTGAGGGCACGCACAAGAAAAAAATCCACGCATAGCCAATTCCAAGGGACTCCTCTTGGTTATTTGGCGGTCAAAATAGGCTAACCCCAAAATGGCACCCTGGTAAATGAAAACAATGACTAAAACCTGTGGTCCCCTGGTGGTTTAATTTTGACCCACACCCATCTGACATATGATAGCCGCGAGGTCTTGACCGTGGCACAGCCGTGATTTTCAGTTTGCTGCTGTGGCAGCTGTTGTTGTGTGCGGTGCTTGGCAGTGGGTTGTGAAGTGGGTTGTGAAGTGGGTTGTTGATTGTGTTTGGAGTAATTGTGTGTGTGCGTGCGTGCGTGCGTGCGTGCGTGCGTGCGTGCGCGCGCGCGTGGGTGTATGTGTGTGTGTGTGGGTGGGTGGGTGTGTGTGGGTGGGTGGGTGGGTGGGTGGGTGGGTGGGTGGGTGGGTGGGTGGGTGGGTGGGTGGGTGGGTGGGTGGGTGGGTGGGTGGGTGGGTGGGTGGGTGGGTGGGTGGGTGGGTGGGTGGGTGTGTGTGTGTGTGCGTCTGTGCGTCTGTGCGTCTGTGCGTCTGTGCGTCTGTGCGTGTGCGCGTGCGCGTGTGCGTGTGTGCGTGTGTGCGTGTGTGCGCGGGTGTGTGCGTGCGTGCGTGCGTGCGTGCGTGCGTGCGTGCGTGGGTGTGTGTGTGTGTGTGTTTAGTGTGTGTGTGTGTGTGTTTAGTGTGTGCCAAGGATGTAGTGTAGCACGAAGACGAGAATCTTACATGCACCTATTTCTTTGCATTTGGTTGCCAATTAGAAGGAAGCACCCATCCCCCACTTTGAAGGGCCGTGTCCACATCGAGCCCCTCCCGAGGTATAAGCACGGGGCCTTCTTGGAGGACCTGAAGAAGCTTTACGAGCTGACCGGCGTGAAGAACCAGAAGTTGACCTTCCTCTTCTCAGAGTCTTGGTGCTTGCGGCGGGAATTTGTCGGGTGTAAACCCGACTGCCTGCAGCAATCGGGGTCGACTTTGTTTTGTAGGTGGACAGGCGCATCCTTTTTGAGTTGACCCAAGATTTCCCTTTTTCGAGTGTCTGGACCAGTTTCAGAGAATCCGTTGTCTCAAGATTGGCTAGAAGAGCTAGGTGTCCTTTTGGTTTGCCTTTGAAGCTTCCTTCTAAAATAGCATTCCCCCTATTTGAGACACAACCACTTTAAGCTTCCCTTTCGCCTTTCAAACATCTGCAAGCATCATCCCTCCCCCTCAGGGTCCAAAAGTTTCATTCCCAGACCACCCCCCTTCAAGCGGGTGGGGAAAGATTCCATTTCCAGACCTCCCCCCTTAACAACCAGTTGGTGGGGATACATATATATATATATAAGGCATCTTGCGTCTTAGGACACGGAGATCGTGGAGGAGAGCTTTTTGGAGGACGTGGCCAACATGTTGTCCAGCGGGGAGGTGCCCAACTTGTTCACCGGGGACGAGTTGCAGGCCATCCGCGCAAGCCTGGAGAAGCCCGCCAAGGCAGCGGCCAAGCGCCTAGGGAGGGAGGCTAGGTGCCCCATAGGTGCCCGACCTCTCACCGTGTTCTTTTTTGGGTCCCGGAGGGTTCAAGCCTGCTGAAAAAAAAACAGAGAAAAGTTGGTACCCTTATTCTATCCTCTCTACTGGAGGACCTAGGAGGGTGTCCGCAAGCAAGCAAGCGCCTGGTGGCGATAGGTGGGGCATGGGGATTGCTGTAAGTGTAGGGGTGATAAGTAGAGAATGGGGATTCCGGGAACCCCGAAAATAGAAAATTACAGGGGGGTGTTTATAGGGGTCAGTAGGGAATGGGGAAGTGCGACAAGTAGGGCATGGGGATTCCTTAAACTTTAGTCCACACCATAGGGAATGGTTTATAGGAATGATAAGCAGGGAATGGGGAAATGAACCTGGGGACCTTTATGTATTTAATCAAGAAAGCTATAGGGGGGATGGTTTATTGAGGGGGCCAGTACATTTCTCATTCTGAGCACTGGCAAGTTCCTCAAATTTGGGGATGCGTGTTTCCTGGACCCTTTGCATTTGGAGGGTAATCTTGGTGTCACTATACAGGTTTGGATGTTGACTGATCTGGACCTCCAGTGGTGCAAAAGATCTTCCTTTTTGGGCTTTCCCTTTGAAGCACCCTGGAGCAAAAAAGATGCCTTCATTTTCCATGGCTACTCCCCAAGTTCTGGACATAAGACTTTTTGGGAAGATCAGTTTAGTCGAGAAAGGACAAGTTGGGCAATTTGTTTTTGCCAATCCGCTCAGGAAGTCAGGGTACGCGTGAACAGATTTGTCAAGCTCAATTGGACCGGAAACAAATAGGGTCCACTTCAGATTTACATACCCGTCCGAATTCAAGCCATCACAATGGGTGCAATTTTATTATTTTGATTGCTTACCAACTGCAAGGATACCACAAGCAAGCAAGCCATTTGGAAGAACTGGCTTGGACGAGGTAAAACAGAGGCGACCGCTTGCTTGGAGTGGTGTATTGGAACAGGATTTGTTGTTACTCGATTTGCAGGCCCAGCAAGCGAGTTTTGATGCTGTACTTGAGTAGATGTTGGATCTGACAATGTGTCGGTTTGGAGCTTAGTTCCACAATCTACCAGGCGCTTGGACGGTAGATGGGTATTCAGATTGAACTGGAAGCTCGGACTGCTGAGTGCCTTTGCTTTCCTACAGATGGACTGGAGCTGCATGCTGAGGCGGCTTCCAGCGATTCTTGGCATCGGACAATTTGCATCATATGTTTGTGTTGGATCAATGCGGGTGATCATTCTGTTTAAATTGGATCAGCATTTGCTGTCTAGAGACGGGGCATGCACGCATCTGCATGCGTTGGGCGGCAGTGGCCACACCGTAGAATTGTTTTGAGCACTGGGTAAGCCATTCAGAGCTAGCGGAGGCAATTGATGGGGTTTGGTCATCAGTCTATGGTTCATGGCGCCGGGACATGGGGGGCTCACCAAATTTCCCGTGTTCTCTTGGGCTAGGTCCCCCAGCAATTGGTGCCCGACCTCTCACCCCTTTTTTGCTTGGGAGGGTTCAACCCTGCTAAAATAGACTACAGAAAAACATCGGGTACCCTTATTCTAAGCTCTCAAATCTGGAGGACCTAGAAAAGCCCCGAAGGTGCTGAAGTAGACGTGTGAAATGGTTCCAAGTTGTTTCTGGCCGAGCTTTTCTGGTTTCTTGGGGGAACGTCTCGGGGCCGGTTTCCCGTGCGGCAGGAAGCGAAGATCAACCAAACGGCCGAAGCGATGTACGACTTCTTCATCTCGCGGGTGCGAGAGAACCTCCACATCGTCACTCGGCCGAATCGGGTCAAAAATCGGTACCCTGAATGCAGCCAAACATGGGTGTGGGTCCAAACATGGGATAAAAACTGGTAACACCTGGTAAATGGGTATGGTGTGTATCCCAAATCAAACCTGAAAAATGGAAACATGGAGTAAAACCTGCGGTCTTCTGGTGGCTTAATTTTGACCCATGCCCACTTGGTGGAAGCACTCGCTCTGATTCCGCGAGGATAGCCATAGCTCCCGCGAACGGTTCCCTCCCACAAATGCTATGTTAGTGGGAGCAGGGGTAGCCATAGCTCAACAGGATTTGTGGGGTCCGAAATCTGGGCCAGTTCTTACACCTTGCATGCCACGCACCAAGGAAGCCTGCTGATTCAAGAGCTGGGTCACCGGAGAAGTTCAGGATATGTGTTTTTCCTTTGGGTAAACAAGGCAATCCCAGGGACGCTGCGTTTGTTTGACGTTCAGGGAATGTGACTGTGAGTTCATGCCAGTCCGGCGTGTGTGGATCGGCGTTCGGACTTGGTCTTCCAAGCCTCGACAGCTATGCGTCCAAGGGTTTGATGTCCTTCCCTTGTTCGCCTCTTGCAGCCTTATACCAGGAGGAACAGCTTGTGTAAGGTCTCGACCAATTCACCTGCAAGCTTGTGCTAGCATCCCAAGGAAAACATATTATAAAACAGGTCTGTTTCAAGCGTCCACTTGCCGGCCAACTTGACCAGGGCGCCCTGGCCGGCGGCTTCAATCAATCCCGGGGCAACACCTCACTCAGTCGGTTTCTGGCAGTTGAGCCAGGCAAAGTGTGAGAAAAGGAGCCACGGCAAGACACAGGGCTGTGGGTCAAAACCAATGGTCCCATTTTGGGGTTTTCGGTGCACCACCCATTTTAGAACCTATTTTAGTTGGGATTGGGATGTTCACTGGGTGTACGATTTGGATTTGACCCATAGCCACATATAGATAATATGGTCTAGCGCCAGTCTCGTGTCCACTCTGATGCCTGTAAGCTTGCGAAGGCCTGCATCGATCCTTGCTTGGCCCCATGTGCGATGGCCCTAAGCCGGTGGCTTGAAGGTGTCTGTTTGTTGGCTGCAGGCTGCAGGCACTTTTGGGGTTCAGTTTCTGTTTTTCGCCCCAGGTCTTCTGCCTGTCCTACATTGGCAATAACTTCCGGGATTACTGCCGCGCCCTGACCAGCAACCACTGATGTGTGTGGCGCTGACGTGAGAAGGTGTGCAATGGGGAATCAAGTGGACACCGGAACTACTCCAGTTGCAAGTTGGTCGGGAGGAGCAGACAATACGGGACCCTGTGTGGATGCTGTTTAAGAGGAGCCAAAAGGAAACCGACCATTTGAGGGGTGCCCTAATTTTGAGACAAACCCAGATGCTGTTAGTGTCTTTTCTGGAATGAACTTGGTGGCCACTCGTGGAGGAGGTTAATAGAGGTGAGAGTGTCTTGGTCTTGTGAGAACTGTTTGAGCCAGCTTTTGTTTGTTTTTCACATGGACCAGTCTCATTGTCCATGTAGCATCAAGGTGATTCATCATTTGCTCAAACGTTCTGCGCAGCCTTGCGAACATTTCGAGTTGCGGCTTGCCGACTGCTTTTGATTGAGACACAGCACAGCGATTTCAGCTTTGGCTGGCCAGGCAGGTTTCTAGGGCCATTCTAGGGTTCAAAGCTCCCATGTCACTGGTGATTGACCAGCACTCTTTGTTTCAACTGGGTTTCCCTAAAGCAATCAAAGGCTTACTTGAGCCGACCTTTTTGGCGTTCTCACTTGCGTCTCATGTTTAGATAAAGTGCAACAGGTGCAATTTATGTCAACGTTCGTACAGTGGGCATTCGTATTTTGCGCGTTTCCTTTCCTGGTCGGGGTGGTTTTTCTTTGCTTGCTTCGGAATCGTACGTCGCTGTAGATTCGAGTGATGCGAGGTTCGGGCAACATATCCAGGAGATTCCAGGAGTCTATGGTCACTTTGGAGTTCGGGATATGCGAGCCTTACAAAATGTCAACCGCACAAACTTGGGCGGTGTCGATCCCCTGAAGTTTCCCATCACTCTGTACTTCCCTGCGGATTAACCTAGAGTGAGCTCATCGTATCACCATTCCTAGCTAGGAAACCAACAAGGGTGGCTTTCTTTCCCTCAATTCAAACCAAAACCAAAAAGTCAGTTTGACACCAGACCTGACTTTTGCCGTGTTTTTGCGGAAAAAAGAGCTTTCCCCCCCCCCATTTTCCGGATGCGGATTTGTTTTGTTTCTTCCGGAGGCGGCCACTTTTCCCGGCCGGAGGTGTGTTTTTCCTCCCGAGGCATGTACCCCTCCCTGGTGAGCTGCACCACGGCGATCTGGCTGCTGCCCTGGCCGGCGGAAGCGCTCACGGAGGTGGCCCTGAAGTTCCTCACGGAAGGCGCGGAAAGAACTTTGGTCGGGTTGGTCGGGTTGGTCGGGGGGGTTTGGGGTTTGGGGGGTTTTGGGGGGGGTTGGGGGGGGTTGTTGGGGGTTGGGGGGGGTCGGTTTGGTCCAGGTGCAACCAGTGGTTTGATTTGTTTGTCTTTTCCACTGGGGGTGGGGGTTTTGGGGGATTGGGGGGGGTTGGGGGTTGGGGGGGTGGTTGTGGGGGGGGTTCTCAGAATTTCGGGCTTGTGGTTGGGTCCTCTTTGGTTTAAGTTTCAATTACCAAAAAGGGGGTGAAGCTCCGGAAACCTCCATGGCTCTTCAAAATAGGGCTTTGTCAGCTGAGCATCGGGTTTTGTTACCCGCAATTTGAGAGTAATATCGGGAGAGGGGCGGTATCCTTGAACATGTGCACCGCACCACACACGCGGAAGCATGTGGAAGGTTTTGCGGAAGAGATTTCTGTCGCGGAAAGTTTGCGATTTGTACTTCCCACAGTTTGTTCAAGCTTCGCCATCTCTCTGGGAACAAAATGTCAACACTCTGACTCCCGCCAATGGGTCAGGGCCCCCTTCCAGTGCTCCACTGGTGGTAGAGCTCCGTCCCAATTCCGTCCCAATTGCTCGGGATCAATCTGGATCCGACGAGTGCCTCTCCATACCGACACTAGCAATAGACCTCGGTCCCCCGGCCGCATCATCGATTCGCATCACGACCACCCACAGGAGATCTTGGGCCCCATGCATCATCGATTCGCAATGCCATCCATGGGCATGACCTGCACCGGAACAAATTCCTCTAGAAGCCATAGAGTTTGAAAATAGGTCCTCCTCCCTGGTACTGCATAGGGTTCACCGTTGCTCCACCTGTGAATAGCATAGAGCTTGCTTGACGCACGTCCTCCATCAGTGGAGTCCGTCACCGGCATCATTCTCGCTCTAAGGCCTATCGGCCCTGCCACTGCAGCTCTCACATGGCCACCACGTCTCATGGCACCCGATTCAGAAGTCTCGTCCATGACTTCTCAGACAAGAGAGACTTCCCACATCTTTACCGTCCTCGGATTTTTCTTAGGCCTGGAGCGCGATCCATCTTCTCGCCACCAAGCCTGCTAGATCCCACATATAGAAGGTCTCCTCAATTGGCCCTCTGCAGGAACTCGTACCTCTCTTCTGACCTTTGCTCCTCTCTTGGAAGTAGTTGCATGCGTCCGGGTCTTGGGGAACACTTGGATCTACTCTTGCTGGTTGAAGTCGCCCAATCATCTCGAAGATGACAGACGACTTTGCGCCTCATCAAGTCTGGCCTTTTGCGTTCTTCAACCCTCGTCAGCGCTCCGGCTCTGAGTGCGGATAGCCGTGGCCTCCACTTCATCATCACCAAGCGAGCTGGACAGGTCGCGCTCGATTTGCGGGTCAGTCATATCCTCGATCTCCTCCTCCTTCAGCCACCCGCAGCCTCGGTCTAGGGCCCGGCTGTCTCATTTTGAGAAACTTGCGCCGCCGACTAGACAAAACATCTCATGCAATGAGTCCAAGTCTTCAGTTGCAAACGGGGTGAAGACGGAGGCCTCTGGCTGCGCTATCCGCACAAGGCCAAAAAGAGAAGTGGTACGCAACTGGAGTCAATCTGTCAATCCTTACTATGTCTGGACCTGGTAAGTTTCCCCGTGTTGAGTCAAATTAAGCCGCAGGCTCCACTCCTGGTGGTGCCCTTCCGTCAATTCCTTTAAGTTTCAGCCTTGCGACCATACTCCCCCCGGAACCCAAGATGCGAATTTTCCCCGAGAAAAACAGCTCAGCAAGGGTTTGGTCGCGATTTCACCACGGAGTTCTGTACCCCTCCAACCTATGCGAACTTCTGATCAAGAACCACACAACAAACACCATGCTTCTGTACGGCTCCCAATCACCGGAACATAACCACAGGCCTCCTACGAAGTCCTTGGCAGGTCTTTGTGTTCCCTAGCTGAAAGCTATGGGTTCTAACTTCTAAAGAGGGGAAACTGATTTGCGATTGGGCTGGTGGTAGGGGGGGTGCAGTTTGGGCTGCGAGGTGGTGTTTTTGGGATGCTGTTTGGGGTGCTGTTTGAGGTGCCGGTGACGGTGCGGGCGCATGTTTGCAATATTGACGGCCAGGTGCTCTTCGGGGCGCTCTTCGGGGGGTGATGTTGAGGTGCTGGTGTACAATCGTCGGCATGTTTTGGCTATCGGGGGTCTATTCGGGTGTGTTTTGTTTTTTGGTTCTGTTCCTTAGTAGGCTGCAAAAAACAACAAGTGTTTGCCACCATACCTTGACTGCTATTGGGTTGAATGTTCAGACTCACGTTTTAGGAAATCAAGCGGTTTTCCTCTAACCCCCCAAAAGGTTAAACACTTTTTGCAGGGAGCTCAACAGCAACCAAGATACCAAGAGTTCTGTACCAAGACTTTGGTGGGCCAACTAATGGGTTTTCCGAATTAAACCACCTAACAGTTGGTCACTTTTCGCCTGGCTTCGCAGCCATTTTCCCTGGGTTTACGGAGGTAGAAAGAAGGATCCCTGGGTTAAGAATGGAAATGGAAGTGTCCCCTAGAACCATACCAAGACTTCTGAAGCCTCCCCTCATTGCGGTTGGTGAGGCGAGCTGGAGGAGCACTTGAGGGCGCCAGTGGCGGAGATCTTCGGGACCGCGCACACCACGGTGATGCGTTTCTCCACGCGGATCTACCAGGAGTCGAAGAAGCTCGGGGAAACCAAGCGGTGGGTTTCGTTTGGTTTGGGTGAAACAATCGTAAACTAATTCAAGCCAAAGCAACCAATACAACCTTTGTATTGGTTGGTTTGGATTGAATTTGTTTAGGATTGGCTGGTTGATCGTTCCAGAGGTCTTTCTTTCCAGGAGATTTATCAACAAATTGGTGGGTGGTCAAAAGAACGAATCTACCAGCAGTGGGGGATGGTTGGAGCCGTGCTACGGGAACGGGAGGCTCTGCTTGGCAGAGACTCCAATACCTTTGATCATTTTCAACTTTTGTTTGGAGAGGTTCCTTCAACTCACTTCCTGACTTCATAGACTCTAAACTTTTTGAGAAGAACATTTTAGTGGCCTACAACGAGTTTGAACTTTTGTTTGGCCCATCAACTCAGGAAGTGAGTCAAACATAACCGCGCAAAATATATTCTTTTTATTCCTGTTCAACTTTTTGTTTGGAGAGGTGTTCAAAAGCAACGCAAAATAGATATGCCAAACGTACGGAAGGTTGGGACAAACACAACCCAACAAGCGCCCCCTTGGAATCCCATAGCCGCTTGATGTTTGGGTAGGGGTTCCGCTCATGGGGAATCGGTTGAGACCAGGAACTTCCCCTTTGGTGACTTTTGCTAGCAGGTTCTGAGGCGACGGTTCTTTGCGCAAGTTGCCAAAAATCAGACAGAGAGGACTTTTGCGGGATTTCCAGAAAGAGAGATAAATAAAGTTTTCCGATTACATCCTGCTCCCCGTTTCCATCATATGGTGTAGAGATGAGATGGGGAAAGAGGATGGGGTTGAAGAAAATGTCACTATCTCTTGTTCTTCTGGATATTTTGAGAGAAGCATCTCCGGACAACCAAATCATATTGGGATTCACAATTTACTCGTCTACCTTGGGTGTCCTTGAGTGACAGGATGTCTCTTCGCTAGGGAAGCGAAGATAATTGCCATAGGCCAAAGTTTTTCCAAAGGTCGTTTCATAGCAGCCCAAATGCTCGGTTTTTGTGGAAGGTCACACGCAACAAAGCTCATGCAGGCTGGGGGTTAGGGAGGGGAGGGGGGGGAGCCCGAACAAGCCCGCCCTTATTAAGCCCCTAATAAGGCCTTATTTGGGGCTTACCCCCCCCCTCCCTCCCCCCCAGCCCCCATGAAAAGCTCATGCGTTGGACGCCAGCACTTTTCGAATGCAAGTTCATCGCGCGCCGCAGTTGTTGGGCTCAGCTCTGGAAAGAGAGAGAAGGAATTCGCCATGGACGGCTGTGACCTGTACCGGGCGCTAAATCTAGAGCCGCCCAACGTGAAGAAGATGAGGCAGATAGCCCAGCAGCGAGTCGCGAATGGCAGGATTCTTCAACCAGCCAAACCAAATACTTTCCAGGAAGTGCAGGTCGGCCCAAGCGAGGAAAAGGAAAAAGAAGTCCCTCAGTCTTGAGGCGTTGATATGTGACTTGGCAAATGCACATCTCTTTGGCGTGCCCGGAGTTCCCAAAGGCAAGCCAGCCGAGAATTTTCCGCTAGAGCGGTGTCCCGCTATGTGACACACAAGATGTTGCCCCGTGTCCAGTCCCACAGGGTGGATCAACGGTCTTTTGATCCTGTGCCCAATTGCAATCGATCCTAAGGTCCTAATTGGCAGAATTGGTGCCGCCTTTGTTTGCCGAGAGATGCGATGCCAAGCGCTGCTTGCTCGGCGCCTTTGCCACGTTTTGGGGCCGCAAAATGGACGTATCATGTCCACAAGCTCAAACTATCCCCGGTCAGTCACCGAGGGAGGTTGAAGCCATTTGATGTGAAATGGCGTGTCCGGCTATGCAGCATAGGCAATTGCTCATCATGATTGGAAGCTGTTGATGTCTGAGGGGCAACTAACTCCACGGATCCTTTGTTCAACAAAACCACTATGCTGAGTGTTTTGAAGGATTGTTAAATGGAGTTCCTGGAAATCCACAGTTTGCCTTTGCAGCACAAGTCGGGCTCCGATATCCGTTCCATAGAGCCGGCGTGAAGCTAAAAGCGCCTAACGGGTGAAGGGTTCCTTGTGGCTGCCACTTGGTTGGCTGTTGGGTGTGCCTTTTTTTGTGTACGCTGTATGCTTAAGTTTACAGAAGAGATGGGCAAAGAGTGAGGGAGACAAGTGTCCCAGCTTAGGATGTGTTGCGTGAGGGCTTGACGTTCGAGTGGGTTCAGGTCGCTGTGCCAATCTCGCACATACTGCCAATCTACGTCACCTTGCCTGGCGCGCCCAAGGCACATGGTTACTCTAGCTTGAGGCGGATGGCCTTCTTTCTAGGGGTTGATTCCTTTTCCATTCTTTTCAGCCATCGTTCTTTTCAAAGACCGATCGCCATTTCCCCGGGGTTTTCTGTGGTTTTCTAGAAAGATTCGGATCCCTGGAAAGAATGGAAATGGAAGCTACCTAGATTTTTGGGAGAGCATGCCCCGTGAGCGTGACCGCAACGGGTTTTCCTGTTAGATCCTTCCAGGAGCAGAAGCGCATGAACTACGTGACCCCAACGAATTATCTGGAGCTGGTGCAGGGCTACATGAAGATGCTTCAGGAGCATTGGGTTCATCAAAAGGTCTTTTTTGTGACCTTGAAGTGGCTCCCAGTCCGGAACATGGGATTACCATTTTGGAAAATGGATCGCATTTGGGTTTTCGGTGAATTATCACCTATTTTGGAACCTATTTTAGTGGGGATTAGAATGTTTACTGGGGGTATGGGGTTTTGACTCATAGCCATATGTCCCACATGTGAACAGTTGCCCAGGATCATTTGGGGGCCGAAGGGAATATTGAACCCCCCAGATCCAGCTTTGCCCAAGGGCCCATTGCTTTGCCTTGGTCCAACTTGGAAAGCTCAGTCACAAGTGGGAGGTTCTGAAGCTAAGCTGTCATCCATGGCCATCGGAGTCGGTTTCCTGGAAAGTGGGTTGAAGGGCAGATTTGTCCAAGGTAATGAGCGTCTGAGATTGACGTCCAGCTTTGAACCACCAGAGGCTTAGAGATCCGAAGCCAAGATGAGGAACTCACTGCCTATTCCCCTCGTACCCCCCCCTGAGGGTCTCAGCACATCTTAAAAGAAAAAAAATGGACAGCTTCCACTGAGCGCAAAGATGCTGTTACTTGGCTCTCGCCTTGAGTCGAACGTATTTTTGTTGGCAGACACGATAGAGAGCGTGAGGGGTCACAATCTAGCCACCAACAACTATCTGGCTTTGGCTGGGGGCTCTAATTCCACCTGAAATCAGCCTTCATATTGTTTGAAAACGACTTCCTATGAGTCGTTGCCTTCAACGGACGTTGCACTTGCGCGTACTTCAGGACAAGCAAAAAGAGTTGGGCGCTGCGGCCGACAAGCTTCGCAACGGCTTGTCGCCGCTTGAGTATGAGTTCGGATGGGCGGTTTGGAGTGCGGCTCTTGTTACCTCCAGTTTGTTCCTGTTTCCAGGTGAGTTTCTCTTAATCCTTTGCAGCAAGCAGCTAAAAAGGGTGTCCATTTTCCCTCACTGGAGGGTTTGGGATTCCGGGACCGCAAAGTTTCAGGCGAACCACTCAACTCATGCCTGTAGTCATACAGATACCTATACATTCATATATATATATATGTATGATAAATATATATATATATACATATACATATACTTGTATATATGTTCATATACTGCAATCCTTCAGCCCTGTTGATCGCTGAGTCTCCGTGCCATCGCCGCTTTGACCTAAGGAAGCTGGATGACGCCAGAGTACAGGTGGCCGAGATGAGCGTAGACTTGGCACCTCGGAGATGCACGCGCCGCGAGGGGGGGGGGGGGTTGTTGCTACGGCTTGGTGAGGGAAGCAAAAACAAGTTATAACTACCCAGATTGTATCGTATTTTATGATATTACATTATATATATATATATTATGTTTTATTATATTATATTATATTAGATTTCAGCCTGCATGCCGCCGACGCCGCAAGGGCCGAGGATTTGGGAGGCTGCTCGCGGCCGGGACTGTGCTGCGCGCCGCAGGTCAAATCGCCGCTGAATGAGGCGTGAATGCCGCGCCAGTCCCGCAAAGCTGAGGGCTGCAGTTCCGTCACGCCCATGGTTTGACTCCAGGCTTAGGAAAGGAACAAAAAGGCTCGCGCGGACCCCGCCGCGCGTGCGCCTGACGTACGCCAAGTCGCCGCTGAAATTTGTGCGCGTGCGCGCGGCGCGAAGGCTCTCCGCGCCCAGGATCTGGTGATGCGGATTGTATCGACCGATTTAGGCCGCGAGGGGTCGGAAGTAGAGGTAAGAGTTGGAGATGGGAGAAGTTGGAAGTTTGGGGTAGATCTTGGAGTCAGAGGTAAGAACTCAGAGGTTAGAGCCAGACCCTGGAGGCTGGGTTAAAACAAGTTAGAGGTTAGAGGAGGCACCTGGCAACGGCAAGATCCCTGCCACATGTAGACCACCTCCCGTCGCCTGACGTTGGAAATGGTCAGCGGCAAGATCCCCACATGCATAATACATACCCACTTGAGCAGCTGTAACAAGTCCCCATTACGACACACTCATGGGGTATTCATAGAGTCGCTCACTTGTTGAATAGCACCCCCTTCTCCTTTTCTTGGTCGGTTCCTGCCTAAAAACATTCTGACACCGGGTAAGGCCACTTGGCAAGCGGCTAGGAAGAGAAGCAGAAGATCTGTGACATCAAGGCCAAGGAGTGCGAAGAGCTGCTGAAGGCTCGCAGCTTCTTTCTTTTTGCCAGCGGAGGCAGAGGGGAAACGGCGCTTGGTGGTTGTCTTGTCCGTTTGGATGTTTTGCACTGCTTGCTGGCTGGTTTTTGCTCGCTCGCCTTTCTCGGTTGGTTGGTTGGTTGGTTGGTTGGTTGGTTGGTTGGTTGTTTGTTGACCTGTCCCTTGCAGTTTTCGGTTTTAGCACAACATATTTTGCCTTGAGCACGCCGGACAATGACTTGCTTTTCTTGGCTTGACACGATGCTGACCCGCCGTTGAAACTGGAATATGTCTGCAGAGCTTGTGAATGACAGATTGTTGGAGGGACGAAGATGCAGGGACTGGGAAAGGCAGGGGTGGAGGTATTTGGCGAGGAAACTCGGTGATGGAGTGCTGGCACCTTACTGAGCTTTCAGCTCGCTCCCTGAGTTCCTGGACTTTAAGCTTTTTGGCAAGACCATTTTAGAGGTAAACAACAAGTTTCGACCAGGACCCCCCCAAGGGCTGGCAAATGGTCTGTGGAATGAGCTCCCAATGGCTGTGTTGGGGTTATTTGCCAGCCATTGGGGGGTCCTGGGACTTATTCTGGCCACTCTCGATCGGAAGCGAGTAGAAGCCCTTGGCCATGCTAAGTGTCACCCGCACAGTTCCCACTGTGAAAGCTTGGGCTGCGGAGCCTTGACGTTTTTTGTCCTTCTTGTTTTGGTTTCTTCTTTCTTTCTTTTTCGAAGACCGACTTGCCCAAATTTGAGAACGGGAGAAATGGTTGCGGCACTGAAGCTAAAACGGGGTGGCGCTGGGCACGGATCGCGTTTGGCTGTTGGCTGCATACTGAAAAGGTGCTTTTTGCCATACTGAATCCAGTTTCTTTGTGACGACACCACCTTGAGGGCAAACCCCGAGCTGAAAATCCAGCTGGAGGTTTGATCATGGCTCATAACGAAAATCCTGCAACGTGGTTTTGCTTGGCCTCTGCTAGGCTTCCACCCATCTCGCATGGGTCTGGTCGACCCATCTCACCCATTGGACTTTTTCCCTATGCTCAAGGAACAACAGGGCTTGGCTGACTTCGATTCGCCATATCCCATTTACCCCGTTCTTCAAGCAACGGCAGTGGTTGAGCCTTCGAGATGATGGCAGCCCAAAGTGACGGATTCCCTCAAACATGGGCCGTTTGGCTGTGATTACAAACAAATGTCCCAAAAAGGCACCTTGGCAAATGGCAAGGACTAAAACCTGCGCGGCCTCAAGCCTCCAATTTTGAGAACCACCGCCCCTCTGCCGCCGGTAAGGCGGGCGCGCCGCACCAAACCGGGCGGCTCCGCCGAACCGCTTCGCTTGCTTCTCTCAGGTGATCACGGCGGAGCGGTCCAAGGCGGACGCGCAGCAGGCGCAGGTTGAGGCGGACTCCATCCGTATCGAGAAGGAGGCCAAGGAGACACGAGACCGCGCCATCCGAGGCATTGGATCTAACTGGATCAGGTGTTGCTTCTGTCCCTCAGGGGGAAACAAATAGAAGAACTGGGAACTTCTGGAGTTGAAAGCTCTGAAACCTGCACGTGCCCAAAAGCAGCGAGAAATGAGGGAAACTCCGGGAGATTGGGGATATTGACTCAGAGTTGTTGGGTTTTTGATTTTTCCGAGACTGTGCATGTTTTGGAGCTTTCAACTTGTAGTTGGTCTGTTCTTCTGGGTGCAAAGCTTTGGAGCTTTGAATTATTAGTCTGTTTGGTTGCTTTTGCTCGTGCAGATTTCAGAGCCTCAACAACGTGTGATTGTATTATCATTCTTGTTATGTCCCAAAAACACCTGATACAGAGAGAATCGCAAATTCCCAGATCTTCATTACTTGGTGTGTCTATGCATTGCCTTTCATATTACTGCTGCATTGATTCATGCAATGAAGGAAGCAGCAGCGTAAAAAGGATATGAAAGGCACACACAATCCCGATGGGGTAAGGAGGCAAAGATAATGAGAGAAAGAAGTGAAAAAAACACGAGTTTATCATGTCCATTTTATTGTTCATTCACTAGTTAAACTGTAGCACAGGAATCTATTTTCATTATCCGGATTTACCATTGGAATCTCTGGGACAGTAGAATCCGTCCGTACAAGCAATGGCGTGTTGTAATCTTCTTTCAGCACTGCTTAGCTTGTTTGGAAGATTTGGACATCATCTTGTACCTGTGTGTCAAGAGTCTCCAGGAGTGGTACATATGTGTGTTCTATCATAGTTCTGTTACTTGCACATATGTCTTTGATACTTGCTAATGTGTTGCTCTTATAATATGTAGTAGTTCCTGGGCATAACAATCAACATGCAAGACTTGCTTTCAATATACAAGCAGGCTGACATGTTTTTTGGAACCTCCTCTCTCCTCAGTCTCAGTAGCAGCAAGCTAGTTTACGCCAAGCCCAAAGGTAGGCCCTGTGGCGGGGGCGGGTGCACTGGGGAGGGGTGAGCATTTGTTTGTGTGTGTTGTTTTGTTTGTTTGGTTGTAAATTCATGGAATAATTTATGTATATATATATATATATGTTTATTTGTTTGTTTATTTAGTTCTAAACTTATGTCTTATTTATTATGTTGATTTTATTTATGTGTATTGTGATTTAGCTATATCTGTGTCCATCTGGTGTTTATTTACGCTTTTACTCATGCATACATATTATGTGTATATATATATATATTGTCAATATATATATATATATACATATTATATATATATATGTATATATTATATATACATATCTATACACAGCTTCATCGAGGAGACCAAGATCTTGGCGGATGACGCCACCCGTGACCTGGAGAAGGCGATGCCAGCGCTGGACGCCGCAGAGGACGCCTTGGACAAGTTGGACAAGAAGTCCATCGCTGAGGCGCGCGCGCGTGGTTTCCCTTTTGCACGGGAGAAATGGTTAACTGTTTGTCCTTGGCACAGGAGCTCCTCCTAGCGGCCGTTCAAAAAAAAACCTGTTTGTCAAGGTCCCCCAGTGCTCAAGGAGGGATTTGAAGGATGGGGATGCCCAAGTCGAAAAGGAAAAAAAAGCACAAAAACAGCAACCCAAGCTTTGGACTGCCAGCTGGCTCCATGAAAGCGGGGGAAATAAGGGGAGTATTGCTATGGTTTGCCTTCACGGGAGAGATATGTCTGTGAAGGTCCCCCAAGGAGGTGTAGATGTTTTGCAAGGGAAAGGCAAGACAAGGGGGTCTGAATGAAGAAATGATTTTCAATAATTTCAACGCCGATTCGGTTCGCCTTTTGCACAGAAAGGTTTTTTCAGCTGGCCAAGGAAGTGTAAGGGGCGGGAAGCTGAATGATTTTGGGGGGAAGCTGATTTTTCGTTCCCCTTCCCGTTCCCCCAATTTGTTTCAAGAGCCTTTTGCACCAGAGAGATTTGTTTGTCGCCCTTTTACCATTTTTTTTTGGGCGAGGGTTCCCCTACTAAAATAGACAAACCAGAAAAAAGTTGGTACCCTTATCCGAACCTCACCATTGGAGGACCTAGAGTTGTCCGGCCCCCCAAGGAGGTGTAGATTTTATTCAAGGGCTGAAGGATTTCGGTGGAATAGGCCGTGGACCGCCTTCGGCGCCTTCCGTGGAATTCGTTAGGCTGACTGCCAGCTGGCTCCATGAAGGGGAAATAAGGGGGAGTTGAGTCTCCAGAAAATAGAGGCTTTCAGCTCTGGCTGCATCCCATCGCATTTGTTTGAAAATCTTTTGGCTTGCTGTGGCTGCTTCCCATCGCAACCCCTCTTTGAAAAGGATTAAACAAATTCTAGTTTGCCGAAACAAGGAAGGATTTGGGATTGACTTTTGTGGGGGGATGTATTTTAGTCTGCCAAAAACAATGAATCCAAGGATTTGCTGCCAAAGAAATGGATCCAACAAGAGGGCCAGAAGTGACTTGTGTCGACCCCGGGGTGCTTTCCCAACAAGTTGCTGTTTTGAGAAGAAAGCGAGATGATATCTCTGTTGCCCAGTGGCACCCTTTTTTCAACTTTTTTTTGGGAAGGGTTCCCCTTGAAAGGCAACCAACCAAAAAAGGATGCCCTTTTTTCCCCATAGCCACTGGGCATCTGAGATATGGTGTATACGGTGCGGGTCCATATATTCGGCAGGCACCTTCCTTGGACACGCACCCGTTCACTTCAACAACCTTGCCCTTGATCCCCCTAAGCCACCCCTCAATTCATGCCATGACCGAAAGGGCATCATCGAAACATGTCGGCTTTTGAAGTCACGTGGAAACACGTGCCAGCGCCATGATGGAATGTTCTTTTGGACGAGCGCAATGACATGAAACGCACTGTGGTTTTGCAATTCTCTGACACGTAGACAGCCAGTTGAAGAATCAGTCGTCGAATTTCAGAGCTGGCAAGCCGGGTTCGAAGCGTGCCGCCAGTCAAGCACCTCCAATTGGGATTTGGGCATCGGGTTGGTTGAGTCTCCCAGCCAGGCTCAGCCAGCATTTGAACAGCTTAGATGGACACCTTTGCGAGGATATGTAGCCAAAAGTTGCCCGACAAAAGTTGCCCAAGTAGGTAGTTGCAGTTCATGTTGCAGGCCTGGAATGAAGCAACCGAGCGGTCATATGGATGGACTATTTCAATATGTGTATATATATATATATATATGACATGATATATATATATATATATACATAAATGTGAGTGCGTTTGGGATCTTGTTTTCGTTTGTGGGTTCTTGTGTTTGTTGTTGGCATCTCGTCTTGCAGCTTGATGCTCAACCTTGCATCCAGCCCCTGTGCCGTGTCCAGGTCAAAGCCTACGCCAAGCCACCAGAGGCTGTGATGAAGACCATGTGCGCCGTGATGACCGTCATGGAGAAGACACCCTCTTGGGGTCAGGCAAGATGCGCATGCGGCACGTCGACGTTCGTTGCTTGAGCTGCTTGGGCATGCCCTTTGTGTACTCGCCTTTTGCGACATATGGAAATGTAGGGAAGCTCCTTGGAAGACCATGCTGCTTTTCAGCGGGCTTGCTGTCAGGCTGCTGCGAAATAGGGTGAATGAGACAAGCCCCCTGCGATTCGGGCAGCATAGGCTTCAACTAAGGTACAAGACCTGCCTTAAATGAAGACTTCAAGAGGCTGGGGTCATTAATTTGACTGTTTCTGCGGGTTATCAAAGTCAGAAACTGGGGTGGTTTCCCTTCAAGCTACCACTTGGCGGGTGACTTGGATAAGTGTGAAATAATGGGGCTAGAGAGGAAGCCGCACCATTTTGGGGGACCGTTCCTCATTTGATGCTGTGCCATTTGAGACAATCGTCCTCATCCTCTCCTGCCTTCCTTGCGTCGCTCCAGGCCAAGACGGAGCTCAACGACACCAACTTCCTGGTGAGGATCAAAGGCTTCGACAAGGATCGATCGTTGAAACGCACCACTCGAAGACTGGGTGCGGCGCGGGGGGAACCCAATTCTGTTCAACCATCGTTCCTTTGGTGATTCCACTGGGGCCCTCCAGTTGTGTGGTTATCTCGAACGAACGCTGGAAGGGAATAGGGAAATGTCCACAACAATCTCGAAGCGCAGGTATGGGAAATTCAGGGCGCTTCAACTGCCGGTCCACAGCTTTGCCCAAGCACTGAAGATGAGATCCATAGCTCAGCCATTTACGACTAACTTGAGGAGCTGCGGTTTAGGCTTTGAGCGTAGGTTTCTTTGTGGCGTTCCCCATGAATTGCTGCCCTGGAACCGGGTTTCCTTTGCTCAATGTTTTTCCCAGCCTCACGCGCTGCAGAAGAAACGAAGGCCCCCAGTCACGAGTGAACAAACGAAGTGCCAGCAGTCCCTCTTGCATGACAAACCTGTGCAGCACACGGATCCCGTCAAGGACAGTCCCGGCCAGAAATAGGGGCGGCCATCCTGTTGATTCTTTACATGATGTGGGATAGACCCCTTTCCTTCCAGATGTTCATTGTGACTCAAACATGTTGTTTGAAGACGAAATGCAGAATCCAAATGACACGCTTGCTACCGTATGGGGGAAGACATGGTCACAACCAAACGACAGCACACTCCACTAAAAAACAACAACATGTTTTTCTATCTCTCTATATATATATATATATTTAGATATACATGTATGTATATGGTTTCCCCCTACCCCCCACCTTTTACTAATCAAGTTCCAAACACAGAATCCGTTTTTGACTGGAAGTTCTGCGGTGGTAAAAAGCGCGGCTGATGCTGAGAAAGGGCCATAGTATGAACAAACTGTATAGATTTGACTATTTGACAGTTCAAGAAAGAGAGGGAGAGAGAGAGAGCCAAATGCATTGCCTAGCAGCTCCAAGCTCCAAAATATGCAAAGGGGCAAACAATCAGACTCAATGTTTGGATTTCAATACAGCCTGCAATCAAAATGCACAGGGACAAAGCAAAACAAACTCTGTGACCTCAACAGGCTCCCACACATGCAGAGTGATTTGTTTAAAGAACGCAGTAAAGCTCTGGCGCACGTCCACTTGGTTCCTCTGGGGTGTTTGTGTTCTTTGTGATTTTTATTATACCTGCGCACGTTTTGACAGCATACATGTTAATCTGAGATCAACACTTGATAAGTAACATCCCTGCCAACTAGCAGGCATACATGCCAATGTCAGATCACAGCTGTTACCTCCTTAAAAATGGATCGAACGAGCCAAGAGCATAGACTACATCAAGCGAAAAAGCTCCCAACAACAAAAACAAAACACAGAACAACAAATTGATCGAATATGCTAAATGTTGAGTATGATGCTTGAAGCCTTAAAAGCCTGGATCGAAGATAAGAGATTGCCAAATTTGTTTCAGATAATATTGAACCCTAAAACACACTTTAAAGTTTGTGTACACAATTCAAAGTTGTTTTTCATAGATCAAATATTGAAATAGATTGAAGATTCCCCACAACACTGTTTTTGAGAATCTTCAATCCTTGTCAGCCCTCAAGCCCCCAAGCAATATTTATAGTTATCGAAAAAAGAAGCAAAAATAAAATGACAACTATACAATTTGTTTACTGAGGATTGAACATGGAAGATCGAAGATTCTCCAAACAGTGTCTAGCAATCTTCAATCTTCGATCCAGTGGGAAAAAAGACGTTGGAGCTTTTGGACAAGCTATGAAGTTTTTGGGATTGGTCAGGATTGAATATTTTCTGGACGGTTTTCTGCGGAATCTTCCATCTTCGATCCGGTTAAATGTTTGAGAGTTTGTAGGCAAACTTGAAAGTTTTTGCTTAGGGGCGTTTCTCATTTCGCTTATGTTCATTTGGCAGGTCCATGGGGGGGGTTACCAAGAAAGGAAATATGGCTTTCACCAAATCGAAATGCATTTTGCCGCCCGAGCACACGTTGCAGCCCCAGGGAAGTGCACACTCAAAAGCCAAGAGTGGAAGTGCGGGGGAGTGGCACTATGTTTTGAGTGGCCCATGTTTATGCTAACGTCCTGGACCCTGTGACTAGCAAGCAAGCAAGCAAGAAGGCAATCGCAACTAAACAAGCAACGAACGAACCTAACAACAAACACAAACACATGCCTGGATCGTGTTTTTTTCCCCCGTAGGGCATGGCACAGACTTTTCAGGACAACATCAAGGACACGACGCTGCGGAAGATCGAGAAGTTCACCAAGGACTCCAACTTCACTCCAAAGCTCGTGCCGCTCGGAGGTACAAATTCTAGGTCCCCCAGCTAGGTGCCCGACCTCTCACCATGCCTTTTTTGGTTGGGAGGGTTCCCCTACTAAAATAGACTACAGGATAAAAAGTTGGTACCCTTGTTCTATCCTCTCTACTGGAGGACTTAGACCTTTTTGCGAGAGCTGGGCTGTACTTTGTGCGAGAAGTGCTTTGGTCAGCGGAACCGTGTATCGACTTGAAGTCAGCTGTTGCCGGATGAGCGGGCGATGCTGTCTCAATGGCAGTCGACGCTTAGCCGGCGCTTCTCCGTATGCGCATATGGGCATCAAAATAAGACCATCAAAGCGCAGGTTGTAGTCCTTTCCATTTGGCTGTGGCTCAAAAAACCGGTACCAAAATGGAACCCTGGTCAGTGGAAACATGGACCAAAACCTGCGGTTTAACCCCTCCTGATTAATTTTGAGCCACACCCATTTACCAGGGCAACCATGTTGGATACATTTTTTTTGAGCCACATAGGCCTTGTTCCCTTCTCTCCCGACTCGGCTTGGCCATAGCCCCGACGGACTGGTTGGACCTCTGTGGTCAGTTGATCGAGACCAGAAGGAGATGAAGAGCTTCGCATTCAACTTGGTGGCTCCCAGCCATCCCCTTAGCTTTTTCGCCTTTCAGCGTTTAGTGGTAGTTTCCATTTAACCCACTATTATTACTTTTTTGGCGGGGGATCTGAGGGCAGCCTGGTCAAATGGGTGCGCCTCTTGTGGCTTCCGAAAGGGAAACGTCACGCGTGCTGGGCCCCTTTTGAGACAAAGACGTCGAAAGGGGAACGACACCACATCAATTTCGGCCCTTTTGGTGGTCCTTTCTGACCGAAACCTAAATGTTGGATCTGCAAGCTGCGTGGAATTCGTACATTTTGAAGTTCGCCTTTCATATCTGCGCCAGACTCCAACATCTTGGAGGCAACCGCCATACATTTCGTCACACATGGCACGGATTCGGGTCCCCCAGTCAGCTGGTTGTTGCGCCACAAGCGGCTGCAAGCCTCGCCCCGTGGTCTCAGGTCCAACGTGTCGTTGGCGGCGGGTGCTCTGTGCCAATGGGTCCACGCCATGAAGATCTACGCGGAGATCTACCGAGAAGTGGAGCCCAAGAGGCGATCGGTTTTCGATCTCTCGCGATCTCGCTCTTTCAGCTGCGCCGATGATCGGATCTGCCAGAGTTCAACTGGACTTTTGCGGTTCACGATTGGAAAGACCCCAGTTTGGAAAAGAGGTTTTTTGGTGAGGTCGTTCTTGGCCAATCAACTCAGCAGGTGAGAATATTTTCTAAGTGCCTTTCTGGGGTCGATGACCTAATCGCTGTCCTTTGGCAGCCTTAGGTAAATAATGGTGGATATATGAACCCCCATTGTTTTACGGGTGGTTTGAACCCCAGGGCGTATGCTTTGGCAGCCTTTGAACCAAAGGGAGGAGGTTCAGAAGACTCATTGACATGGAACTTTTGCTTCATGCTGTGGAAGCCGACCTGGCCCGAAGTTCCCAAACCGTGCCGTGGTTTTTAGGTCAGTGGTTGGCCAGGGAGTTGTTGCTTGAGGGTTGGTCGTTTCGAATCCCACAAAGCTGGAAGCCATCCGCCACACAACGGGATTTGGTTGGCAACCTTACACATGAAGGGTTACTGTCATGGAGGATTCGCCTTGTCTCCGGTTGTCGAATGATCATGGCGTTATATGATCAAACAAATATCACATAAAGCTGGGTGCCGAATATTCCGTACTTGAGTTATCAGCTTTGCCCAAATGACACCACTAAGTGAATATGCAGATTGCCGTTCTCATCTACTTCACAGTTGTTTGCCCCTCCAGGCCACCTGATCTTCCATTTGCTTAAGAATATGTTTATTTCCCCCCATTGCTTTTAAAGGGAATCCATCACTACTGTTTTTTATCATTATTTTTTCCAGGGGTCGAAAAACCAAATGTGATGGATCGATCCGATGGGATCCGATTGGGCCAGGAACAAGCTGCGGCAGGCGCAGGAGAAGTTGGAGTCCAAGCAGAAGCAGCTCAGGGAGGCCAACGCGGAGCCTCGCCTCTGCCTATCCATATTAGCTGTGGGTCAAAAATAGGTACCACAATGAAACCCTAGTAAATGGAAACATGGACTAAACCCTGTGGTCCCTGGTGGTTTAATCTTGACCCATAGACATATGAGTCGTGTGGGTGCGTCTTCGGTTGGCAGGGTGCCCTTTTTTGGGGTGGTGTTCAAGGGAAACCAAATGGACACCACCCATTTTGGGGGGGCTCCGAAAAAAGAGCCACCCAGGTTTCTGAGTAAACTGAGCTCACCTGGGTTCTTTCTCCCCTTCAGGTGTCATTCGAGGCATTGGGAGACTGCAAGGGCGTGAATCAGAATGGGGTGGAGTACCGGAAAAAGTTGTGATTCATGGAACCATGGTGCAGCTTGGTGGAGAGTGAGCGGAAGGGCCGTGTGCTGATCCATACGAGTCCATAGGATAACATCACAGCTGCACGGCTAGTGATGTTGAAAAGAATCAGACCATGTAGAATCCAGATCCGGGTCGCCTGCATGTGTCGCCTGGAAACTGGCACTGAGGAGCTGAAGAAGGTGCAGGAGATGGTCAAGGGCTTGAACGATCAATTCAACTCCTCCAACAACGAGAAGGAGCTGCGAAACAGTCATGGAGCAAGGTTCGTGCTTTGAGTGAACTCCTTCGTGTTTATTTGTGTTTGTTTGTTTGTCCTAGCGTTGTGTGCCATTTGATGTCCCGTTCTTGTTTGTTTGCCGTGCCTTCCCTTCTTCAATAAGGTTTGCTTCCCCTGTTTCCCTTGCTTGCCCTTGTTACAACCCCGCAGATTGCGATAAAACACCACAAACCATCCTTGTCTACAGGAATCTCCTTTGGGGGGCCCCTTTTTGGTCCATCTAGGTGATTTGCAGGGGAGTAGTTGTCCTTGATTTGTGCTTTGTTTGTTTGTTTCTTAGTGTTCTTTTTGTTGCAAGCCACAATAAATGGTGACCAAAGAAGGTCATTTAGAGACTAAAGTTGAAAGGAACCATCCCCTCATGTTTGGGGAAACAACGCCTCAAAACAGTTGGTTTCAATTTACTGTTCCTTGAACCACCCCAAAAAGGGGGCTTCCAGTTACCACTATATATGGTAAGCAACAGAAACATTTCTTAGAATATTGGACCGGCAACCACTAGAACAAGGTGACACCACTACCTCACTTGCCCAAAAGCCGGCCTTTTGACATTTTGGTTTCACATGTTCATTTGTAGTCATGGCCCTAAAAGCTGAACCTTGTATTTCGTGGTAACTGAGCTAAAACTGAAAGACCCACTGGTACCACCATGGTAACCAAGGCAAGCCATTCAACATTTAGAAGTGGCAACCGCTATAACAGGGCCAGTAAGACTGCAACTGAGAGGAAAACCCCACTACAAATGTGGCTGTGGGTCAACACCCTGTACCCCTGATTAACATCAAAATAGGTGACACATGGATGTTCATCCACCCCAAAATGGGATCGCCATAGGTTGTGCAACCCATGGGCATATGGCAAGCGAGGGATTCCCAACCGGGAGACTCGCCGAGGAGACGCTGGCGCGCACCGCCGAGGAGCTCAAGGTGAAGTTGGAGCGTGCAGGCGCGGGGGAGGAGCCTGGGAAATCCAGCAAGGTACCCCGAGGAACCCAAAAATGGGGGGAGAGAGGGGCGGGGTGGGGGGGGAGGGGGGGTTGGGTTTGATGTCCTCAAGCGAGAAAAACATGAAATGTCATTTTTGGCCTGGCCACTGGAGGTTTGGGGGACATATGACATGTTGACTGGTTGCTCATTCGGTGGCCGCTGTTCAGCATGTTTTGCGATGTTGACCCCGAATTCAAGTATAACCCGTCAGACGTGGGGCTTGCAGCTGCAGCGACTGATGTGCTGTAGCATAGGTTGCACTCGCATCAACATTCAAAGTCAACTAGGTACATTGGCAACCACAAAGACTAAGCATGAATTGGATTTTGTTTAAACACAAAACCAACAACGTATGTGAGGTTGTTTTATTGAAACAATGCCCTCTACTAGAAACCAACTTTTGTTTGACCATGGCTCAGGTGAGCGGCAAGAACCTTTGAGTAGGTGACTTTGACTTGCCGATCGGATCGGCCAAACAGCTACTGAGAGAGGTGCCACTGACAATGCTTTGCCCTTTGCTGCGTTCCAATTGCAGCTGCTCCCCTAGTTTTTCACCAGACTTTGCTTATGCTTCTTGAATTCAGCACTGCCACACAACGATCATTATGCGAGTGAGCGAGTACTTCCAGTGCCCACGAACCTCATCAAATAGGGGGGGCCTGCAAGTTACATCAAGCCGGACCTTGAGACTGGATACCCCCAGTTGTTCCGTGGATTCCCTTCGTTTGGTGGGTTTGTTGCTGCGTCCCTGTCACCGCTTGCGACTGGAGGCAAGTTGGTGGACGGCCTAGCGGGCGAGAAGGTGAGGTGGACGGACTCCCTGGGGAAGTTCGACATCCAGCGCCTGAGCTGAAGACGTATGGCCATGAGGCACCTAAGGCCAAGAGGGTGGTTGTATGGTCAAACCGACAAAATACATAATATTATTTTTTGCCATGGATGGCTGTGGTTGTCAAAAATAGGCTAACCCCAAAATGGAACTCTGGAAAATGGAAGCATGGACTAAAACCTGCGGTCCGATTCCTGGTGGTTTAATTTTGGCATAATATCATTTTTGGCCATGGCGCATAACCTATGGCGATCCCATTTTGGGGTGGATGAACATCCATGTGCGACAGCTGAAGACGGCTAGGAGAGAGAAGTTTCGATGGCTGACATGTGGCCTTGCCTTTTTGGGGTACCTTTTTTTTTCAGGGTGGTGTTATGGTCAAACCGAAAAAATACATAATATTATTTTTGGCCATGGGGCATAACCTATGGCTCCATTTTGGGGTGGATGAGCACCAGGGGTACAGGGTTTTGACCCACAGCCATATAGGAGAGAGAAGCTTCGATGGTTGACATGTGGCAACTTGTGGGTTCCTCCAGAAATGGGTGCGCCTTTCTTGGATACTGTGGGACCCTCTTTCATGCACCCGCCCCCCTCTACAGTGGAACCAGTCAGCTGGACCCTCTTTAGTGAAATCCTGGGGGTCTTGGAGGGACAGTACTTAAGTTAGTATTGCCAATTTTAGTTGCCAAAGCTCTCTCTCAGATTTCCAGTACTTACTTTAGTATTGCCAATTCTACTTTACTATTGCCAAGGAACCCCCAAAACAGCCAGAACAAAAGGCAATCAGGGCTCTTGTGGGCACCCCCGTTTGTGTGACTGATTCCCCTCACTTTTTGTGTAAAGAAGTTCTCTTAAATTTGATGGTTTGGGAACAACTTGCAAGCATAATTTCCTACATCTCAGGCCTTTAACCTTTTGAGCTGGGAAGAGCTTAGGATGAGCCCCACCTCTTTAAATCGAAAGGCTGAGGCTTTGGTTTTCAGTTTTCAGCAACCCCGAAACCAGCTGGACACTAAAGAAGACCCCACCACAGTCAAATTAAAGAGGATCTGGGCATTTTGTGGGCAGCCCCCTTTTTGTGTGACTGATTGCCCTCACTTTTGTGTAAAGAAGTCATCTTGAATCAAAAGGTTTGTGGACCACTTCAAGAAAAGGATTTCCCAATGTTTGCCAGGATCAGTTTGCCCGTTTTTTTGCCCGACTTGTTGCCAAGTTTTTGTGCCCATACTTTTTTCCAGCGTTGTTTCCGGCAAAAAAGCTTCCCACAATAGAGGGCCCCTAAAACAGTCAAACGGTCCTGAATTAGAAAAACAGTTTGTACAATGGAGGGTACTATTAATAATGGAGGTCTAGCATGACCCCTTGTTGGGGCTGGTTTTATGGTCAAACCGAAAGGAAACATAATATCATTTTGGGGCTCCCCCTAGTTTGGCACATACGCATATGTGGTTCAAACACTCAATATACAGTATAGGGGCTGTTTGCTTTTGGAAAGTAGACCGACACAGCTTGCTTGCCGACGCCTTTTTCGGGCCTGCTTGCAGCGATCGGCGCAAGTCTGTGGACCTCGGCAAAAGTAGTGCTTGGCTCCGTACGGCATTTGGTACTTGTTTTTCCTCCAAGACAAGCCAGTTTGCATATTCTTCCGCGTCTCCAGAATATCTTCTTGGCGATCTGTCCATCATGCCTAGAACTGCTACCCGGGTAGGGGTGAGTATCTTGGGCTGTCCCACCAACAGTAAAGGATCAGAGTCTACCAATGAACGTCAGGGAAGACTGACGGCCCAAGATGAAGTGTCCATGAAGGAGATGTGGTTGAACCACCCACTTGAAACACATGAGTGATATCTGCACCGAATTACGTGGCATGTACCAATGTGCCAACAAGAGGGATATTCCGACGTGTTCGAACAAGGAAGCTTGGTCAAATTGCCAGGGAGCTGCACAGCCTTTTCTGATCGTTGCTTTTTTTGCGATGAGGCTTCTCTAGGGGTGTTTGAACCGGCAGGTCAAAGCGTGATAATGTGCACCCCCACAACGCACCCAATCCCCCAATTTGCTGTTGTTTGCAGCACAGTACTTCAACTTTTTGGAAGCATCTGGAGAGCAAGGGGTTTCGTACTTTTTCGGGTTCGAGTGGGGGTTTGAGGCGAATTCTGTGACCCTCGGGGTGTTCTATCTCGGTGGCTCCCAGCCATCCGCTTAGCTTTCTAGCCTTTTAGTGTTTAGTGGCAGTTTCCATTTAACCCACTAAAAGTTATTCACTCTTCGCGGGGAATCAGAAAACAGGCAGCCCAGCTATATCAAGCACACGCGGAAAACACACACACGCACACAACAAAAAAACATAATAAATTAAGAATCAAAACAAACCACCAAAAAAAAGGACTCGACTCCCAGGCAGGAGTGCCTCTTCGGGGATTGCCTGGTCTCCGCGGCCTTCATGAGCTACGCGGGGCCCTTCGGGGCCTCCTACCGCAACGAGCTGGTCACCGAGGCGGGGGAGAAGCGCGTCGAATCGCTTTGAACGGGGCGAAAGAGGAAAAGTCCGGGCGGAAAATGGCAGAAGCATAGTCTACTGCTTCTTTAGACTTTAACTTTTTGGATTTCCCTCATATTTCCTTTTAACCAGCAAAGTCCCACAGGTGAAAATGCGAGCAGCGGTCTCCCTAGGGTCAAGGCGGTTGGGAAAATGGCTGCGGGTCAAGACAATGTACCCCTGGTGAACATCAAAATAGGTGGTGCATGGGTGGAAGCATAGGTGTCCTTTTTGGTTGGTTTGCTTAAGAATATTGGTTTGGCCCTGGTGTACCTGGTGGTTCAATCATCTACCAGGACCATCCTATTTGCCCTAAAAGGACACCTATAGCGAGAAGCGGCTTCGCTAGGATCAAGTTGCGGTTCGGACAATGTCCCCGTTAAGTGCCAGAAGTGGTTAGGGTCAAGCACATATTTGAGCCAAGCCAAGGAGTGAGTGCGGTTCGGGGCCAATTTCCACAAACTACCAGAAGTGGTCTCCCAGCACCTGTTTGAGCCAACCCTTTAGCCCTTACCTGGAAGACTCAATTCTAACCAATGGCTATTGTAAGTGGGCCGCAACAACTTTTGCATTGAAGACTCAATTCTCACCGACGGCTTGTAAGAACCTCGCTGGTTCGAATTGAGTCAAAACCAATGGTTAACCAGTGGTCATGAAAAGCAAAATCCCAACCTTATGAGACAAAATCCCAACCACAAAATCCCAACCACAAAATCCCAACCACAAATCCCAACCACAAATCCCAACCACAAAATCCCAACCACAAAATCCCAACCACAAATCCCAACCACAAAATCCCAACCACAAAATCCCAACCACAAAATCCCAAATGGTTTGAAGAACCTCGCTGCGTTTGTGTTTGAAGAACCACAAAATCCCACCTGAGGAGTGGATGGCCAGCGTGAAGGAGAAGGAGCGGATGGGAAAAGAGGGACGCCGGGGCAAAAAGGGGATTGATACACATAACAAAAATATATGTATGGGAAAACAGGGGAAAGAAGGGGAATATATGCTTGGAAACGACCCCAAAATGGACAACCCGAAGAAAAGAAAAAAAGAAGAAAAGAAAGCAGACCCATATATGCATATATGAATATACTCGTTGAAGCCCGAAGGGTGGGTTTACGAGGTATGTTTATTTCGTGGCATGCGACTCCAATTGAACCCCTGGGAGCAGTTTGGAGGTGGAGACCATCTGGCAAGGCGTTGCGTAGGCACCCCTTGCTGTCGCGGAGGCATTGCGAAGGCACGCGCGTGGGCGTGTGTACAGCGTATAGGCCCCAATAGCGCGAATCAAACACTGCCCACATGGCTATGGTGGGATCTGAAAAGGGGAATCCATTTTGCAACTCAGGTGATTGTGCTTGGTTCCTTTGCTTGCCACTATCAGGGTGGTTCTCAAGTTATCCTCACTTCCTGAGTTTGCGGACTTTGAACTTGTTGGAAAGACCAGGTTAGAGGTAAATGAGCCTCCCAATTATGTATGGGTGCGGATTTATTTGGGTTTTTATCTTATTTTATTTTTTCGTTATTTTTTGGGATTTTTGTTGGTTTTTCGTCCGGGCCAGTAAAATGCCGTAGTTTACAGCATTTTCTCGCGAAATTGACGCATTTTACACCAGCCCGTCAACATCCCCAGCATCGTGTTCAACATCCCCCGCATGTTCGACCAACATCCCTAGCATCACCAACAAATTGTGGGTAACAAAATCGAAAAAGTAGCTGGCGGGTTGACGGGGTCAAAAAATGATGATTCAAATAGGAGGGCATTTCAGTCCCTGTAAAAAGTCACTAAAAAGTAGCGGGGGTTGGGGGGGCGGCAGCCCCCCCATGATGTTCGCAGAAGTGATGATTCGAATAGGGGTGCAATTCAATCTCTGCAAAAAGTCTAAAAAGTAGGGCGGGGGGTTAGCCCCACCATGATTTTCGAAGAATTGATGGTTCAACTAGGGGTGCAATTCAATCTCTGCAAGAAATCTAAAAAGAGCTGGGCGGTTGGGGGGGGGCTTCCCCCCCAGGATGTTCGAAGAAGTGAGGATTCAAATAGGGCGGAACTGGTGATGCTGATGATGCGGGAAGCCAAATCCAAAAACCAATGAAAGGGTGCAAAGGCCAAAAAGCTCAGAGAGGAACTGTGAAAGCAGAGGATGCGAAAAGCCAAAGCCGCCAAAAGCCGCATAAACGGGAAAGCCAAAACGCCACCTGCCGAAGACGTGTGAGGGCGCTGCGGCTACGAAGCCAGAGTTTGAGAGAAATCGTGGCCGAAACTGGAGTCTCAAAAGGATCCGTGCAATGCAGAGGATGCGAAAAGCCAAAGCCAAAAAGCCACCAAAAGCCGCAAAAACCAACAAAAAACCGAAAAGCCAAAAAGCCAAAAAGCCAAGAAGCCAAGAAGCCGAAAAGCCAAGAAGTCAAGAAGCCAAACAAGATCCCAAGAAGCCAAGAAGCCAAAAGCGAAGCAAATTCCAAAAGCAAAAACGAAAAACATTCCTAAAATAGATACCCCTCCAAACTTATGTATTCAAGGAACAGCTGCCCCCCTCAATTTGTTGAGACGCGACCCCTTGGGGACGAGCTATAGTTGACGATCCCGCAGGAAGTGCCGTACACCACCAGCTACACCTTTGCCAACTTCCTGGCAAAGGCCACGGAGGTGAGAGAGTGGATGCTTGGCAGTAACTTGTGACCTGTGAAAACGCGCCACTCCCTGAGTTGGACTTCAGATTGTTTGGGGCACCCAAAACAACCAAGAGGACATTTTGCACAGTTAGGAGCTTTAGGACTTTTCGCAGCTAATTCCAGGAAGTGAGTCCTGTTTTGTTTGGGGCAGTATTCATGTTGGGACACCCAAGAAACCAGAGGGAAACCAACACACAGGGAGCCAACCAACTGAAGCAACTGAAGTCTCCAATGTCGAGAGATCCTTATTTGTATCAAAGGGGATGGGGCACAAATTGGGACATGGGGTACTCTCACTGGCCCAATGTCGGAACGAATATGCCGCTTGGTAAGCATGAATAGGTCGAAGAGTGGATTTTGTGGTGACTTGCAGTTGGACACTGGAAAAGGTCGAGGAACACATTTGACTAGGTCTTGAGCCCTTCGGGTATCGGGGTCAAGTGCAACTTGGAGCGGAACATGTTGTGAACATAGCCAAAAAGTGTTTTTTTTTCTTTGCATACCAGTTTTGGGGGTGTGGGTTGTCTGTACAGACGCCTCTCGGGTCACAACACTTAGGAAGCGTTGCTCAAATCAGGAGAACAAAAAGGGAGGCGCAAACTCCGAGACAGCTTCAAACTGTCTTGTACCTAGATCATCATTGTTTGCAGTCCTCTCCTTTTTGAGGATCCTCTTTTGGGGGTTCCCTGTGAATTCCAAAGGAGACACTGTCTATGCCTTCCCGGTCAGGGCACCTAGGTCCCTCAGTAGTGCCCTTTTACCAACTTTTTTGGGGGATTGTTCCCCTAAAATAGACTACAGAAAAAAGTTGATACCAACTTATTCTAACCTCTCTACTCGAAGACCTAGGCACATTTCTTCATGTGAGCCTTTGAGGAATTTGCAGAAGCTGCCAGCAGACGACTTCAGCACGGAGAATGGCGTGCCCTTGGCATAAAAGGCCCAGCTCACTTCCTGAGTTCATGAACTTTAGACTTTTTCGGACGACCATTTGAGTGGTAAATATAAAGTTTGGACTTTTTTGGGCCATCGACTCTTTGTTTTCTCTCGGAGACCACGCAAAAGTAACACGGGTGCACGAAACAAGGCAGGCATTCTGATTATAGGTCCATGTGTTCAAGCTGCCCCACCCCTACAAAGTGCTGCTTGGGTGAGGGAGGCGGACGGATTCATGGGTGATTTCTGTGCCCTCTGCGTAACGTGAAGCAATGCAAAGCGCAATCGGACTGAAAACATCTCGTGCCAAGCACTCCTGCTCAAATCGCTTGGAGCTTCGGAACCCAGAAGTTGAGCTTCGGAACCCCTTTGGGTGAAAAACACAACTTGAAGAAAGAACATCCCAAGTGAGTCTTTGCGTTTGGATCGCTTTGTATTTGTTGGTTTTATAATGGATACAAGTGTTTTATTTATTTTTATTTCTTTTCTGGAGAGTCCCCTACATTGGAATCCTTAAAAAGCAACACAACAACAAGACAACAAACAAGGCCTGTCCTGCCAAGTCCAATTCCACTTGAGGTGCCAACCCCTTGGCCTGCCACGTCGGAAAGATTTTGAGCGAGGGCAGATGGCTGTGTTTTCCCGTGTTTTCTCGCAGGAAGCAGCCGCAAGGTAAATGTGGCGAGAAGATCCATCGCGACCTGCTGCGGTCTGCGGGATTCAAATGTGTCCAGGGCTGACCCAAGGGGAACACCGTACGAAGACACACCTGACGTGAGCAGTGGCCTAGGGTATACAGTACTCAGAATTAATCTTGAAAAACCGCAGACTCGCAAGCTGAAAGCTACACCCGCGGTCCGTGTTTTTTGAGGAAACCGTTTCTCAAGTTGGTCCGGGACTCCCAACAATGACTAATACTAGGTCCCCCAGTAGTGCCCTGTGACCCTTTGTTGGGGGAGGGTTCCCCTACTAAAATAGACTGCAGAAAAGAATCGGGTACCCTCATTCTATCCTCTCTACGGGAGGACCTAGAATACGAGGGCCCAATTTTGTGAAACTTGGAGAGTAGCTACCCATAGATTTCTTGGCCGCTGAGCCAAAGAGATCCGAGGTGTTAGTGACCAAGAGCAGGCGCTTCCCGCTGATGATCGACCCCCAGAACCAGGCGAGCCGTTCGGGTATGATATGGTTGGGCTCAGTGTGTTTTACCCCGTGGTTTTGGGTATGATATGGGTATGGGCTCAGCGCCAAAACTTGTTCTTTTTTTTTTTTTGGGGGGGGGGGGGGGCAGCCGGTGTTTTGTTTAAACCCGTGTTTTGGGTATGTTTTGGGTATGGGCCCAGCAGAAAAACTTTTTATTTTCAGGGTGATTTTGTAGAGGTAACGGCTCCCCCAAGGCCTCAAGATCCAAGGCCGCAAGTTTGCAAGAAAGGAAAACCTTTGAGCCACCCGGCGAAAGGATGAGTTTGCATCCCGTTGCAACGTTGGCCTCATGGGGCTGTGGGAATGAGGGGGCTTCCCGTTGTGCCAGAAGACCTGATAACAAGGTCCCCCAGTGCCCTTTTACCAACTATTTGGGGGAGGGTTCCCCTACTAAGATAGACTACGGAAAAATGGGTTCCCTTATTTCTAACCTAACCTCTCCACTGGAGGACCTAGATAAGTAAAGAGTGAGTCATTGGTAAGGCCAGGGCTCCCAAGACCTGCCAGCTGCCAGTGGCGCGCGTTGCCATGTGCCACTGGTCTCTTTGAGGATCAAAGCCCGGCGACCAGACCTAAATTCGCTTGGTTTCCTGGGGCTTCCCAAAGTTTTGTCCGGCATTTTGCCACGGTCATTGGAACCCTGCAGCGAAAACGTGGCGAAAACGTTTTGCCAGAGATGGGCCATTGGCAATCCAGCGTTTGTAGAATGTTGAGGAAAAAAACGGCGAAAGGTCCATAACCCCATGGACAGCGACAGCGGGGCATATTGCATGGTTGTTGTTGGGGAACCTTTTTCCAAAATTTGTGCTTATTGTGGTTTAGTGGTTGAAATCCAACCACTTAACTGCTAAAGTTTAAGTTGTTAGCTCCTGGCAAGCGACAGCCGGGCAGATTGCATCAGATCCGAAACCTTTGAGCCCGAAGCATCTCACGGACATTCGATGGGCCTGGTGCATTCGACGGCGGATTTGGAACCGATCGATCTGTCCCTTCCCGGCCGTTCTGAATTGCCCATCCGTAAGTTGAACTCGAGGGCCCAATGGTTTCCAGGACTCATTCGATGAGGGTTTGCAGTTCCGCCCACAGGCCCACAGGGAAGCACTTGGATTTGCAAGTTTTCAAATTTGGTGTCCCTTGGTTTCTATGAAAATGAAGATGGAACCCCAGCAAATCACCCAAAATGGGATTCCACACATTCGTCAGGTTCCATGTGACAGGATTTCGCCCGCAGGTAGTTCTTTCCAATTAATCCCGGCTCAGCGCATTTTGGGGGGTTATTTTATGTTTGGCCACATGGGAGACCTCTGTCCATCGAGGGACTTGCCAGGCCAATGCCTGGGTCCGGAAGATGGAGGAGACGCGGCAGCTGAAGGTCTTCGACCCGAACTCCAAGGAGCTGAGCACCGGGGGACCGGTTGGGTCCGGTTGGGAGACGCTTTGATAGACGAGGGCCACGGGGTTTTTGGAGGGAAAGCTCTTGAGCAAGGAGCCCCTTGTTTGGGATTTGTTCTTTTTTTGGGGGGGGATTCGATTCGGGATTCCCCGGTGGCCGTTTTGGAAGTTGGATTCTGGGCTTTCGCCTTCTGCTTTGCGAAGGTTGAACATGTTGCCTTGGACCCTTTGACCCACCTTGGGAACGCGGAAATCCCCGGTCGGACATGGAACTTCGAATGTTGAAACCGTCCCCACCTCCGCAATTGAGCGTCTTGACCTGAACTTGGTCGACATCGATGGGTGGTTGCTGTTTCAACTGGGTATCCTTGGATGGTTTGCGCAGCGGGGGCCTTAGGGAAGCAACGCGCATCGATCGTTGCGGAAAATGGCCCAGGGATTTGTGGTGGTCGAGGTGCTCTACACTCATTCTGTGTACATCGTTTGTTTCGGAAAATGACAACCTGTCAGGGACCTGGGGAAGCAATGTGTAATGTCGACCTATGATTAAAAATCCTCCCCCGATTAAAGTTATGTTGTGGGCCGGCACTGATTCATAAGCCCCCCCAAATAAAGTTATGTTGTTTTTTGTGTGTGTGTTTTTTTTTGGCGGGGAATCCACACACACTCACAAAGAAAACACACCAGACAACACGCACACACACACACACACCCGCTAGCATCATCTCAACCTCTTCCACTAGCTTGTCTGATTGGTCAGTATCTGCCTCGCCTGCCTTAAAATTTCAGATCTACAAAAAATACTAGCTCCCAAACTGCAAATTATTTACATACTCTTGTTTGAAAAGTGGCCCCGAATCAACCCTACAAGGGGGGTAGTACTTGGGGGTTGAAAAAACATTATTTAGGGGGCCCCCCTAAATAAAGATTTCTGGTTGCCCCCCCCAAAAAAAAGAAGAAGTGTCACCAGCAATACTAAATCAATTAGAATCCCAACAAGTCAAATCTCAAAAGGAGGCTCCAGCAATACTAAACCAGTTGAAACTCAAATCCCTCAGCAATACTAAACCAATAGGAAACTCAAATCCCTCAAGTCAAATCTCAAAAGGAGGCTCCAGCAATACTAAACCAGTTGAAACTCAAACCTCTCAGCAATACTAAACCAATAGGAAACTCAAATCCCTCAAGTCAAATCTCAAAAGGAGGCTCCAGCAATACGAAATCAATTCAATACTCAAATCCACCAATACTAAACCAATTGGAACCCCGAATCCAATCTCAAAAGGAGGCTCCAGCAATACTAAATCAATTCAATACTCAAATCCACCAATACTAAACCAATTGGAACCCCGAATCCAATCTCAAAAGGAGGCTCCAGCAATACTAAATCAATTCAATACTCAAATCCACCAATACTAAACCAATTGGAACCCCGAATCCAATCTCAAAAGGAGGCTCCAGCAATACTAAATCAATTCAATACTCAAATCCACCAATACTAAACCAATTGGAACCCCGAATCCAATCTCAAAAGGAGGCTCCAGCAATACTAAATCAATTGAAACGCAAAAATATGTGTGCAATAGTTAGCAATTCACAATCAAGTTCAGAACACTATTTAGGGGCGGAAGTTGTTTGGGGGGGGGGGTGTATTAATCAGAGGTAGACATTAGAAGATGGCCGGGACCCAGGGGTTGTGGAAACATGTTGGTTCTATTGGTAGGTCACCCCCACATTCTTTGAGTGGCCAGCGAAAACAGTGACAAAGTCAAGTCATGTCATGGCTGAATGAGCAGACAAAAAATAGGACAAACACACACTAAGCGGTACCCGCATCATGCATTCCGCAGACAGTTTGGCTGGGTGTTTCAGTGAGTGGTTCATTTTTTGGGGGGAAGAGGGTTCTCATTTGCCCAAAGCCGACCTTTGTCATGGCTGAATGGGCAGAAAAACACGCTAAGCGGTACCCGCATCATACATTCCACACACAATTTGGCCTTTTGTGTTTCAGTGAGTGGTTCATTTTTTGGGGGGAAGGGGGTGAGGGATTTTTGCCCAAAGCCGACCTTTTGACCTTTTAGCTTCCTCTTGGCCCACAGTTTTTCGTGCCCAAAGCTTGGCCTTTGAGCCTTTGGTCCTTTGGTCCTTGGGGCCCGTGAGGCTTTTTTCAGCCTGCGCATCCATTTGGCTGCTCAAAAGCATACCAAAATGAATGGCCCCAAAATGGCAAATCGAGAACCCAAGCCTCAATTCTGAGCCGTGGAATTGTTCGAGCTTTCCATTTGCCAGTTTTCCATTTGCCATTTTCCAGTTCCAAAAATTCCATTTGCCATGGCCAAATGTTCAATTCGCCGTGTTTTTTTTTTGGCGCCTTGGAGCGCCCCAAACCTATTCGCAGGACATCATGAAGTCACTGGAGCGCGCCATCGAGTTCGGAAGCCCTGTGCTCCTGGAGAACGTGGGCGAGGAGATGCGCTTGAGATCGTCGCTTTCCAACAACCCAGGGGATCAGATTCCTTCGAGGAGGAGATGCGCTTGAGATCTTTTTGTTGGGCTTTCCAAAACAACAGCTTGAACTACACTGAAAATCAGGGAAAGTGAGTGTGTGTGGAATTTTTTAGGTAACCATCTTTTCCACAAAAACGCTAGAGGATCCAGTTCCCGCCTGACAGTTACCCAGGGGAAATTCCAACAGGTTTTTGGTTCAACAAGTGGAACCCGCTCACATGGGCCCCAGGACGCCCAGTTCGGTTCCATGACCTGGGGACTCCTTGGATGATGTCAAAAGAACCAAATGAGACCCATGCAGGTACTTTCCCAGGTTCTTCTTGAATACTTCCCAGGTTTGAAGACCTCCTAGGCACATTCAAGCAAGAAAAGAACCAAATGAGACCTACCACTCGAGCACTTCCCAGGTTTGAACGTGCCACTTCTATGGACGGTTGCCCATTTGACATGAGGAGCTGGATCCATCGCTGGAGCCGATCTTGGCCAAGAACATCATCGACAGCGGCGGGGGCAGCCTTTCTCTCAAGGCGGGAGCTAGTGGTTGGAAACGGAACTTCCATTTTCTTGAGAATATGTTTTTCCCCCGTTGGTTTTTACAGGGAATCTATGACTACTTATTCTTCTTCTTCTTTTTTTTTCTCAGGGGTCTTAACCAAATGGAAGGGAAGCGTGTCAGTAGATGTGAGGATCATGGCAGGTGACAAAGTATTGAGATGGCCTACTTTGGTATGACTGCGGAGCCTTGATGCAACACTTATGCAAGCTGTGATCGATATGATATTACTTGGACGCGAGTGATTGGCCGGTGCGTAAAACCCTGCGATGTTTTGTTGTTTTTGGATGAATGTTGCTTCACCTTCACCTGCGACCAGCTTGTATATATGTTACTTATTCCTTTATTTGTTATTTCTATCTTTCTTTTTCCTTTCTCTCCTTCTCTCTTTATTTCTTTCTTTGTTTTGTTTTTGTCTCTTCCGCCGACGATTCGGTGTGAACCCGAGCTTCACCCGAGAGCAACACCGCAAGAGGCCAACACTGTGAAGGCGTTGCAATGCTTCGCGGAAGAAGCTGCTGGAAGTGTCGAATGACAAACATCTTGAAACGGTGCTGGTTTGCAATTTCGCTGGGCCCCTTTTTGGCATCCCACTTAGGCGGCGCACGGCACCCGGCTCCAAAGGAGAAGTTGTTATTGAAATTCCGGGCCCCACTTTTTCGCTCGAGGTAGGCGACAACGTGCTGGACTACAACGCCGCCTTCATGTTCTACATCACCACCAAGCTTTCCAACCCCCACTATACCCCAGAGGTGTCCACCAAGACCACCATTGCGACTTCCCAAAGCCGGCCTCATGTGGTTTATGTTAAAGACAAGGAATACAAATGGGAGGAGGGTGCTTGGGTGGTCATGTGTTCTTTTTTTTGGGGGGGAAAAGCAAAGTGATACCAATTCAAGGAGGGTGCTCAGATGCTCGGCTTCCAATTAGAACCCAGCCGACGCTTCGGTGACCCCGTGAAATTGTGTAACGCGTGGTGTGTATCAGTGCACGTGTGCAAAGAGTATTGGGGGGTCAGGATTATTGGCTCTGAATGTGAACGTTTGGATGGGCATCTCATGATAGTTACAATATGCCTACCTGTCGAAAGTGCAGAATCAATTACAACTTAGAAGCTTCATTTGGAAGAGCTCAGTTCGCACTTGATATACCATGACACGTGATCCAACGGCACAAGAGCAGCCCTGCTGAACATGCAACAAAAGACGGCCTGCCTGATGTTTTAGAGTCGAGGTCAGAAGACTTGGCATGGAGTGGCGCTGGAGCTACTGGGTTGTCAGGAACTGGACTCATTGCTCATGAGGCCAAAGCCTAGGTGTCCCTCACTGAACCCCAAGAAGACTGTGCTACTCTGAAATACATGCAGAATCGGAACCCGGCATCAACAAGCTCCTGGCTGATTTTGATCGCGTGGTTTGGTCCATTTTAGAGGCAATCCTTTGTGTCTGGAGGAAACGCCCCCTATTAGTCTGACAGAATTGTGACTCCTCTCAATCTTCACAAACAGAAGAATATTGCTCATGGTTCTGTTCCAACGGCTGGCACAAAGCACCCCTTTGAGGGTCCCTGGGTCTTTTTTCCCTTTGTTGCATGGCCTGAGTTGTTTCCTCGTTTTGTTCACTCTGAAAAGGGTGCTGAGAAGCGTGTGAATCCTTTGCCGCAGTCGCTTTGCCCTGTTGCCCCTTTGGGCATGGTTCCACTAAAGGAGCCTGTCGACGCTTGTTAAGGTAGGCAGAGCTTTCGGGTGAATTTGATGGCGGGCCTTTGGTAGAACCTTCCCCCCGATCTTTTGGACGACTTGCTGGGCAACCGTCCTTTGGGATTCCATTTTCCTATCAAGGCGGTTTGTAGCTTCCAAAGGCATCATTTCAGCTTACCCTCTCACCAAATCAGAGGGACCAACCAGAAGGTCCCTTTTAGAGGAACATATTTGTCAACTTATGTATGGGTGCGTTGGGCAACCCACACCCCCTCTTTTCGCAACTTCCAAGTGATTCGCCCGTTTCGGCACTATGAGTGATCCCCCCCAAAGAACAAAACAAACACAACTAAAGGTTTTCAACTCGGGACCATAGCAGCCCCAGACTCCGACTCAAGGCGCAAAGGAACAAAAAAGAACAGAAAAGAAGGACAAGAAAGCAAGCAAGAAAGAAGGATGGCCCTGCCATGTCATTGTTTCCCTCAAGACCGCCATTTGGCTTGGGTAAAAGATGAGGATGTCCTACTAAGGTGGACCCGGACAGTTTCATTGAACTGGGGGAAGGGAACCAAGCTCAATGCAAGTTCACCGACAAAAACCAGGTAGGGCCGGAAGGTTTGTGTGAGGTGACCAATTACCAAACCAACCAACTCTAGGTTGTCCACCAAAGCCAGGTAGGGCGGAAGGAGCACAGGTGTCCTTTTTGGTTGGTTTGCTTACAAAAATCGAAGGCCTGGTTTGCCTGGTGGTTTAATCATCTACCAGGGAAACCGATCTATTTTCCGGAAACCTATGGGAAGGGTTTGAGGTGAACTTCATCGTGGTGCTGGACGGTCTCACCAACCAGCTGCTGGGCGTCATCGTGAGGTCTGAGGACTCGCGCTTGGAGGAGGACAAGAACCGCCTGCTCTTTCAGGTGGCCAAAGGCCGGGGCTTACGGCAAGCGGGGGCTTGCTCGGAGCTGATGAAGTTGACTGAACATGTCCCAGGTGGTTGGCTGTTTATACGCATGCCGCATACATATTATATCATATGATACATATAATACATATAATACATATAGTACATACAATACATATAGTACACATAGTACATATAGAACATATAATGCACTATGTTCATGTTTATCACACAACGAACAACATCCTGAAACATGGCCGGTGGTTTGAACGGTTGGGTTCAGCAATAAAATGATGAATGACCATTGGCACAGAGCCATCCTGAGCATGTTCTTGAGATTGTGACGAATGTGCGGATAGCTTTCACAAACATCCTTAAGGCGGAGGTTGCTTGTCAAGAAAAGCTGACTCAAAGGAAAGGACTGCTCAAGCATTGGGATTAGCTCCCATGGGTCATGTGGATTTGTGTCCATCAAGCCTTCTTCGAAAGTTGGTGCTATTTGTGGCTTCATTTCAGCCTTGCCAAACTGCGAATGGTTGATTTCAAGCATTTCGCCACCAGATTCTTGCTGTCTTGTTTGTTCTCTTTCGATTGACTGTCTGACAAAAAACCAGGGGCTCCCTTTTTTTTTCACCCTTCATACTTGTTTTTCAACCCTTCCTTTTTTTTAACCCTCCGACCTTTTTGGAACCTCTCAACAGGGGACCTTGTTTTTCTAACCCTCAAGGTTTGAGGGCTAGAAAAAAAGGGAAGGGTTGAAAACAAAGGTTCCCCAAAAACCAGCCGCTTTTGCGTGTTACTTGTGTGTTCCTTTCCCCGAGCTCGCCTCCCTTGACCTTGAGTCCGCCAGGTCGCAACCGCTTGGTGGAGCTGGAGAACGAGATTCTGCGCTTGCTGGCGGAGACCAAGGCATGGTGCAAATTCTATCGGTGACTTGCTGGTGCCATAGGGAATGAGAAATGGAAGGAACCTGAGGATTCCCGAAGGAAACCACCAGTTGGATGGTTTTTCTTTGGGTCATTCCATTTCTCATTCCCGTTGCTGAGCGCCAGCAAGGTGATTGTCAAACTTGTGGTTATAGAGGACGCAGGTTGGTGAGTGCGCGGGAGAATCAGAGAGCTTTAGAAAGATCATAGCCACTGGTCACTAAGTCACGAAGACGCTGTGATGAGGCTGACTGGCAACAGAGTAATGTGTTTGCTGATGGCAGCTCTTGCTTTGTGATGGCTTCGTTTGTGACCGCTGAATGATGTTCTCATGTTGCCGAAAAACTAGGCCGCTGCACCAAAGAGATTGTGGCGTTGGGCTTGGCGCTTGGAAGCTGTTCGTAGTCGCGTAGCGGCCATGCCTGGGATTTTTTGACTGTTTAATTTTGTTGTAATACTTCTTCCTGTCAAAGGACTTGCCGAATCGCAAGTTGGGCTTCAGGCATCGAATGAATCCGAAGCTTTCGGACTCAGCCCCGAACTTGATCTAATTGGGATGTCTTCTTCCCACCCGCTCAAGCGGCTGGGTTCGGACCATCTCGGCCCCCCTGAGGGCTCTCTGCTGGATGATCTCAGCCTGATCGACACGCTACAGGAATCCAAGGTCACCAGCAGCTCGGCCTTTTTCTGACACGAGTCTGGCATCCATGTCTTCGGTCGCCCATTTTCTGGCCGCCCACTGAAGTTTTGCATGCCCGGATTTCCAGGGGCAGAAGTTGCCTACTGCTCAGTCCAGAAAGAAACTTGACTGCACCACAAAGTTGCTTCAACTCAAAAGTTTTGGGCAAGTCCCTGGTATTGGATTTGCATTTCTTTGTATGAGGTCTGTTTGACTTGATGCGACTGTTCATTGGGTTTCACGGCAAGGTATGCGGACCACAGAGCAGGTCGCCCACGCGGAGCAGAGCCTCGACATGTGTTCAGCTTTGGTCTAGGTGGGAGTTGTTTCCACATGGCAATCGTTCTTTTCTTTGTTGTTGTTTCTTTAAACAAATCCTTGCTTGGCTTGCCTTTTTTAAAGAATAAATCAATACGAATCCTTGGTTGGCTTGCCAGAATGACCAGTTCCTGGACTTTAAACTTTTTGGAAAGGCCATTTGGGTTGTAAATGGACAGTTTTGTTTTTGGCCAATCAACTCAGGTGAGTAGATGGAAGCTGTTTCCTTTGGCTAGTTGCCCTGCTTGGGCTCCTGTTCAAGTGAAAAAAGCAAAGGTCTACCACCCGTTGGGGTTTCTTTGTTTGCAAAGCCAATTCGCGACATCCTGCTTCCAGATGGTAGTTATTTCCGTAGTGGTGTCCCACCATGGATCACCCACGAAACGAAGCCGAACGGGGCCACTTGGAGGGCACTCGGTCTGAATCAAAAACGCTTGGGGCTCACACCTAATCAGAGGGGTAGCCAGTCTCGATGGTGTTTGTTCTAGTCTAGTCCGCGCAAGCCTCTGGATGTACGACCACCCCTCTTCTTGGGATATGGAGGCTTCGGTTACTTGAAGGTGTTGTGGGCCCACATGACGGTAGGTCCCGGTCCCACGCTGGCTTGGCATCTTTGCTTGGAGTCTCCTTTGGGGTTTGGGCTGTGGAGCCGCAAAACTGTCAGATGGTGGGGTTGCCTTTTGTTTGCTACTAGCTTCTATCAACGGGAATATCGCATACAAACTCGGCGTGCCCAATGGTTTCTCTTTCCCCTCCCTTCCCAGCAACCCTTGCAAGGGTTCCAACACAAAGGACGCACCCGTACTCCCTTTGGCATGTTGGAGTTCACAGGTCTGTTAGACTCTCAATTCCGGGTTCAAGCCCTAAGACAAGGGCGGATTTTCCATCTTCTGTGCTATGGGGGCCGTGTTTCTGGTTTTTAGACCTCAGATACCCTCCCATCCACATGGATGACTGGGGTTCTGGTCCAAACGGACCACATAGGGAGCTTTTGCGTATGGTGGACTGAGTCCTAGGGATGGTTGACCCTGAGAGTTGCCATGACTCAGTTGTTCAGTGGCCCCCTTTGTCCCTTTTTTTTTGTGGCTGCCCCACTAAAATGGTCTTCCCAAAAAGGGTTCCCTTTTTTTTCAGGGTCACTGAACAACTGAGATGAGGATTAAGGGAACCAAAGTACGAGTCATGGACACCTCGCGGATTCGAGACAACCTTCGGATTTCAGGTTTCAGATGACGTGGGGGACATGACCTGTGATGTGGTGCATGAGCAGTTCGGAGTGTCTTTTTTTTGGGACCCCTTTTTTTTTTTGGAGGGCAACCAAGAGGAAAACCAGATATCTAGTGGGTACCCCGAAGAGAAAAAAAAGGAAGAAACAAAAACACGTTTCACCCAAGTGAAGAGGAGTGATGATTGATCTTTGCTAAGCAAGAACGTTCGCCCCAAGTGGAGTGACGATTGCTTGCTTCGTGATCTTTCGGAGGAACATGATCAAGATCGACGGGCAGCGGGAGAACTACCGTCCCGCGGGCCTGCGCTCCGCGGTCTTGTACTTTGTGCTGAACGATCTGGTTGCCATCGATCCCATGTACCAGCCACCCGGCGGGTTTTCCCGGGTTTGTTGGGGGAAAATCCACCGAGTTTGGGGGGGGGGTGGTGTTAAAGGGAGACTAATTGGAATACATTGGAGCATTTTGGGGAATTGGTTTTAGAAGGAGTCTAATTGGAAGTAGCCCCCCAAAAACAAGAGCGGTGGGGGTGAATCTAGGCGTGCAGTTGTAGCAGGGAATGAGAAATGGAACGAGCCCGAGAAACCCATTGCCTATGAAACCCCTGCCGGTTCATTCCTAACACCCGGAAGGTCATTTCCAAGTAAAGGGAGACAAGCTAGAAGTAATTTGTCCATTGTTTCTTCTCCCGTGGTCGTGGTGAATCTAGGCGTGCAAGATTTGGTTTCGTTTGCTTCTTGAATTCGCAAGTGGGTGCCAACGACCGAGGCTGGAGGGTTGCCAATGGGTGAAGTCAATAATATTGTTTGTTGACCCTCAGACATGTAGGGGAAACGCAACGTGGCCCCTTTTGAACTGCTTTGTCTTTGTACTTGTTGGGAAAAAAGTGACAAGGTCCTCTTCAAGGTGTTTACTCAATTTCCCTCAAAAGTGAGGGCACAAGCCCAAGGTGAAATGCTAGCACCATGCTGATTTTGGAATCACTGTGTCTAATTTCAATGATTGGACATCTTGATGTTTGTGTATTTCATCAGTCTCGAAGGAAACCAAAGAGTCTGGAGTTGGACGGGCTAGTGTGAGTCTGTGACAGCTCCATCCGTGAGCAGAATGCATGCGCAAGGAAACCACGTCTACTGCTCAACAGGCTGAATGGGGCTCACCGAGCTTGGGATGAGAAGGTCACAGGGTGCAATCCGATGCAGACCAAGGCATAGGCGTCCTTTTTAGGTTTGATTAGAAATAGATGGCATTGGCTTAGATTGGTTTTATTCCATTTACCAGGGCCATCTATGTTCCAAAAGGATACCAGGTTCCCCTACTAAAATAGACTACAGAAAAAAAGGGTACCCTTATTCTACCCTCTCTAGAGAATCTAGATACCAAGGTTTGCCTTGGCTGCCTATGAGCATCTCTACATCCAGAGTATTGAGAAGAGCGCTGAGAAGAAGATCAATGTGGGAGGCACGCCTGTAGATCTTGCGTCAGAGAGAGGGGGGCCGCGCCATGTGGCGCTGCATTTCTTGGGTAGGTACTCTTTTCACCTTGGCTTGAAGGGAAGCCACACCCATATGGCTGTGGTTGTCAAAATCAATGGTATCCCATTTTGGTTGGTCGGTGAATTTACCACCCATTTTAGAACCTATTTTAGTGGGGATTGGGATGTTCACTGGGGGTACGGGATTTTGACCCATGGCCATATGCTCCGACATTGGGCTGAGCTTTGCCATGCATCACGCCCAAGGGCGCTCCTTACTTGAAGATGTCGTGCTGCAGGTGTGTGATTGTTTGGCAATCTACACAGACTTGGTTGTCTTCGATTGGCCATTCATGAAGCCTTCGTTGGGTGCTATGTAAATCTTCAGGAGAGCAACCCCCTGTTTCAGCCGGCTGCACTCAACGGACGGCTTCCCAAACTGAAGATGGCCTGCGATCTTCGGAAGCCATTCCGGGTCACAGCCCCAGAATGGGCTTCCTGAACGCACCCAGCTGGCCAAGGGTCAAAAGCCAAATCGTGCCCCCAGTGAACATCCGATTCAATCCCCAGTAAAATAGGTTCTAAAATGGGTGGTGCATTCACCTACCAACCAAAATGGAATCCCATTGGTTTTGACAACCACAGCCAGCTGTTCAGGCGTGGAAGAGCGCATCGAGGACTTGAACGCCTTCCACGCGCTCGCGGTGTACAAGTGCCATGTCGGTGTGGTATCTTTCCAAATGAGATGCGGACCCCGAAAAGAGGGGTATGTCTACTCTTCATGGTTTTACATACCCCAAAAGGTTTGCTCGCGGCGGTAAGGGCTTTCTTGAACAAGCGCCTTCATAACGAGCCCCTATCCTCCAGGTTGCACCAACAACCTCAACTTTGAAGATATGGTATTTTTAGCCTCAGAACCGGTGCAGGACTATGGGTTGTTTTTTCCTCAAAAGGGTGGACGCACAAAATGGGCTTGGGTTTCCTTTGCTACGCAGCCCCAAAAGGGCTTCTCCAAGAAAGACTGACAGCTCCCCCGCCCCACAGCCACTTGGCACTTGGGCTTGTCGCTTTTGCAGGGGACGCCCAACATGAGTGGTTTTCCTTTGGTTCCCCTTTAAGACCTACCAAAAAGACGAGCCAGCCCCACAAAAAGGACGAGCCACCGATGCAACACCTCAGATTTTCAGCCGTCAGACGGGCCGTCAGACGAGGTACGGCTGCCGTGCCATCTTCGAGCGCCACAAGCTGCTGCTCTCGTTGCATCTTTGCGCGCAGGCCATCGCGGGGCGTACGCGGAATTGCGGGGACATGCACCGCGAGAGCGCGTCTTGGTGCCAGTGTTGCACTTGGGCTGTGTGTGTGTGTGTGCGCTCGCTTTGCAGATAAGTGCGTGCGTGTGTGTTTTGCTGTTGGTGTGGTTGGTTAATTGGTTCCTTGTTTTCTTGTTTGCTTGTTTGTTGGCTGGTTTTTGTTGCTTGCTTGCGGCTTGCATTGGTTGCATGCTTGCTTGATGGCTTGCCTTTGTTGCGTGCTTGCTTGCTTGCTTGCCTGCCTTCTCGCTTGCTTGCTTTTGTGTGTGAAATCGGCAGCCTGCACCTGTGAAAGGATCTTCAACTGGGACCCTGTGCATCGCTGCGGTTGGATCAACTGGATGGGCCGGCGTCCCTGAGCAGGTAGTAATCAAGGATGTTGCAGCTGGCCCGCATGGCAAGAGTGGGCACAGGGTTCTGAATAGCTTCCAGCTGCTTAAGACTATGGTTTATTTTCCCTTGTTGGTTTCAAAGGGAATCTATCACTACTGGAAATGTTTTTTTTTTGGTTTCCCGGGGGCTTAAGCAAATGGAAGGCTTGGCAGAGCTTTGACACGGAGACTTCCGAGCCGTTCCTTGCTCCTAAATCGCCCTGTGAGGCACCGTGACCCATTTGGCTTGACGTTCTGGACAACCCGTCCGCCATTCGTGGCGATCTGTTGCCGCAGTGCCGGCAGAAAACGTTGAAGCCGACCAAATGCAGCAGAGCTGCTAGTTTGCCAAACAATCCACGGGCCGCGGTGACTGATGGGACTTCGGAGTTCAAGCAAAAGCTTTAGAGCCCGGGCGGAGAGACCTCATAGTTAGACACGTCACAACGGGGACAGCTCCTTGGCACGGCTTCCATTTCGGGAGCTGCACGGCGCCTAGAGTCAGCTTGGGAGTGAATTCCATCGGTAGGTGGGTATGGGTCAAAATTAGGGGACGACAAGTTTTAGTCATTGTTTCCATTGGGGTTACCCTACCTGGAGCCCCGAAACGCCACTTTTTCTCGGTCAAAAGGCATATGTGGCCTGTTCCCCGGTCATTTGCCTTAGTTGCCCGTATTTGGCCGTATAAAACCCGTATTTGTTGATCAAATATTGGAAACACAAGCGAAGGACATCGTATTTGGCCGTATTTTTTTCGGGCAAAGCCTTTTGACCTAAAAAAACAGTGTTTTGGGGCCCCAGGTATTTTTGACTCCCTCGGCGCCAGGTGTTGAAGTACTCCAACGACCTCAATGAGACCGAGTTCTCCTTCTTCCTCTTCGGTGGGCAAGTCTTTGACCGGAGCGGTCAGCCGCCCAATCCGTCCCCGGATTGGATCAACCAGAGCAGCTCGAAACAAAAAAAACTGACATCCTGAAATGGTGGACTCCCTTCTGGGGAAAACTTAGGGGACGCCAAAAATAGCCACCTTTGGGTGTCCTTCTTTTTGGTTTGAAACCATGGGAATTTCCAAAAGCAGCTGGAGGCGAACTCTGAATCCTTGCGCGGGGGCATCTCAGGGTTTCGTTGGGCCGGTTTTTGCTCGCATCCAGCTGAGGTATGTGGGACAACGTCGTGGAAGCTGACGGCAAGTTGGACTCCTTCAAAGGCGGGGCGAGATTTTATGCCGAGCCCAGGCCAACTGGCAGTACTTCTTCTTCTGCATATAGGATGCTCACTAGTCTTTGAACGCATTCAAACGATGTCCCCGTGTTTTTGTCTTGAAGGGCGCCTTGTAGAAAGTGGACGAACGGCAGAAGGCCAGCGGTATAAGCTGATGCACAGGCGCATGGCTGTCGGGCCTCGAAGAGCTTACGATAAGCCGTTCAGGCATGCCTTTGGCATAGTGGATGGACGAAATCCTGCACCTCAGAGACCCTGGAAGGATGAATTCCCTGTAAATGGCTGTGGCTCAAAAAACCGGTACAAAAATGGAACCCTGGTAAGTGGAAAAATGGACCAACACCTGCGTAACCCCTGCTGTTTCATTTTGAGCCACACCTAAATACCAACAAACAATGGTTTCCAAGTGGTGCGAAATGGATTTCGTCCACGGTATGCGACGGATGGAAGGCGATTGGCAAGTTTTTTCACATGAGCCAACAAAAGGGGTGCCAAGTGAGTCGGAAGCACGGCTCCAGATGCGTCAAAGTGTAATGGACATCGAATTGCAGGACACTGCATGTACTGTATACAAATGAAATGTACATGTACAATTATATTGCATATGCACAGCTATATTCATGTAGTTTGCCGCCATGCCCTCCGTGTGACTCCTCAAACCACCTTAAACGTTGTGAGGACTGACTAGGGAGCGTCGCGAGAGCAAACCACCCGAAGCCAGGGGAGTTGTCAAGTCGAGTCCCTTGGAATCCGCTTGCCCAACTGGACGGCCCGCTGTGGACCCCTTGAGGCCTCGAGGCACATTTTTTCGGTGTGCCCGAGGCTTCCAGACCTCCCTGGAGCAGTCGCTGCGAGACTGGAAGCCCCTTGACGAGCTTTGAGCTCGCCCGCGAGCCTTTTTTTCGGGAGCCGGAAAGGCAGGGTTCCATGCAGAAAGTCGGCGCTCGGCGCTCACAGTGCGTGAGCCCTGCATGAAACCGAAAGGAACCTAAGCCTTGCAGAACATGGCTGTTTGAGAAAAGCGCCAAGTGTTTGCTCACTACAAAAACCTGCTAGCGACAGTTGCATATTGGTGTGGGCCGACGCTGACCTTGTGTCCAAGGAAAGCCAACCACCAAAGTTCCAGGCAGAGCATGGCCCAATGCTGGCGCCATTCACTTCATACGGCTGTCAACATGGCGTAATTAAGCACTGAAGACGTCGTTTTTATTTACTTGTTTCGGAGGTGGCTGATTCTAGGGACATGCAATCACGTTGCTGGCTTGTTCTGCTCATTCTTTTTTTGGGCCATTGCGACATGCCAAGCAGGCATTTGGGTAAGAGATGGTAAGAGTCAAACAAACCATCTGGGCGCTCATGAGCCTCAAACTGGTCGTTTTACCCGTTGCACTCCGCTGACCCAAGGGTCATCTTGCGCCTATGGGGGTCTTGTACATGAGCTCTGGGTCAGACATCGGATTCTGAGGAAGTGGTACAGCGGATCCGAGCCGGAGAAAGACAACCTGCCCGGGGAGTGGCACGAGCGCTTGGACCCGCTGCAGATGCTTGGCTCCTCTTTTTGCTTGCTGGTGCTCAGGGAATGAGAGAATGAGCCCGCTAAACGTCTATAAGCCATTCCCTATGGTTTCTTTTGAGGGAATCCCCTTCCGGTTCATTCCCGACACCCTGGGTCATTCCCTGACTACCAGCAAATTTAAAACCCAGCAGGAACCTTTTGAGGGAGCCGTGCTCGTTCACGGAATATGCACTCGCGACCCGTTGATCAGCCAGTCGCTTCACGGTTTCAGGGACCGGCAGAAGCTGCAGCCCTTTGACCTTCTGACTCACGGAGATTTCTAGTGCTACCTTCCATGTCCATTCTTAACCCACGGATCCGATTCTTTCTAGAAAACCTCCGGAAACAATGGTTGAACATCATGGGGAAGCAACCCTTGGAGGATTGAATTTCCCTAGGCCCGCGGGCTGTAAGATCGATTGTGTTTGACCCATGGCCTTCTTTTACCCGAGATCCCCTTTGTCCAGCTTGGCAAGGGATTCCATGTTCGTGGCACACATCTGCCAGTCCCGCACGACCCAAGATGGTTGAGCTGGGGTCTCTAAAACTCCCCATTTAAGGCGTGAAATAGATTCTTCCGGTTGCTTCCTTTTCCATTCTGTTCAAACATCGTTCTTTTCAAAAACCAGCCATGTTCCCTGGGTTTCTGGAGGTTTTCGAGAAAGAAGGATTCCTGGAAAGAATGGGGAAGGCAGCCCTAGAACTCTACTCATTTGCCATTTACCTCCCGGAAAGGTGTCTCAAGTCTTCTCCCAAAGAGGTACCGATGGGTTTGGAGCGGCTTTAGGTTGGATTCCAGGCTTATCCCTTCCCAATGCACCCTAGTGCTTCCAGTTGCCATTGTAAGTCACCAGGTTTCTTTACCGCTGGGTTTCACATGATGGTTTTCCCTGACGGCGAAGCAGAACCCATCCCTTTGTCGCTTTTGGAGGCACTGAGGCACGCCTTTTGGGAGAGATTCTTTGCTTTCTCTCTCCATTGGAACGAAGAGGGGCTTCTGCTAAAGGGGCTTCTGCTAAAGGTGTCCTAATCTCAGTTGTTCAGTGGCCCCCTGTTTCCCTTTTTTGTTGGTGGCTGCCCCACTAAAATGGTCTTCCCCAAAAAAGGGTTCCCTTTTTTTCCAGGGTCACTGAACAACTGAGAAATGCCCTGCCATTGCATTGTTGCTCATTAGCCAAGAGCTGGGGAGAAAGGTGTGAAGCGTCTTGGCCCTCCCAACGGTCATCTCAACCTTGGGCCCCTTCCCGAGGGGCTAATGATATGGTTAGGGATGTGCACCAGAAGCAGACGGCGCATTGTTTCGAGAGGAATCTTGGTCAGATCATTACACACAAAAAACAATTATATATTTGTACTTATATATATATATATATCAAACAAGAAATAACGGCTTAAAGTGGTGCCATCTACTTTGATCCTGGTGCAAACCGGGGTACCGATGCGGACTCTCAGGAAGCTCATTGTGGTGCGCTGCGTGCGCCCCGACCGGGTGCTGCCGGCGGTGCAGGTCTTCGTGGTGCCTCAGATCACTTGGGAACAACCTTGGTTTGAGAGGCAAACAAAAGGAAACCAGCCATTTTGAGACAAACCCATGCTTCTTTTTTTCTGGGAGGGGGGGGGGGGCAGGGTAGCATTATCGCCTTGGCTTAAACTTGTGTAACAGGAAGCCAAACAGACTGGAGCCATTCTGGGGTTTTGAATCCCGTACCTTAAACGAGCTCCAAACGAGCTCACCCATGAGGTCTTATTTTGAAACACCCCCTTGTTGTACTGGGCTGTTTAAATAGGCAATCTTTAATCCTTACCTTGGGTTACGAAAGGAAGCCGTTCTCATTGAAGTTGTCGTGCAATAGGAATCATGGAGTAGGATTGGCTACCACTCCACCTTCAACCCCAATGGTGTGAATATTTGTTCTACCCCAACTCCGTCTGATAAAACAAGAGCTTATTTTTGAACCCCAGAATTGGCAGCTTCCCAAAATGATTGTCCTGCCCACCCACACAAGAAACAGCCTCCAGAAAAGAGGTATGTATATCGTGTGTGGTGTGTCGTGTGTCGTGTGTCGCTTGTGGTGTGTCGTGTGTCGTGTGTCGTTTGCCGTTTGACGTTTGTCGTTTATCGTGTGTGGTATGTGATGTGTTGTGTGTGGTGTGTGGTGTGTGGTGTGTGGTGTGTGGTGTGTCGTTTGTCGAGTGTGGTGTGTGATGTGTGGCGTGTGTTGTTTGTTGCGTGTTGTGTGGTGTGTGGTGTGTGGAGAGTTGAGTGTGGAGCGTGCGGTGTGGAGTGGGGAGATTCAAAGCTAACAATTCCCAAAGACACCTGACCAAAACCCACACGAAAGCCTCACAAAACCCACAAACCCCACAAACCCTCCAGCAACGCACACGAAAACCAATTAACACCCACGCAAAACCGCTCCAACACCCGCATGAGACCCGGACACGACCCACAGAAAGCCCACAAACCCCACACAGACCCACCATAAAACTCACACAACCACACCCGTTCCTGCACGGAAACTCCCCACGCGGCGCCGCTCAAGAATGAGTGAAATCGCCGCATGGTACACGCCGTCCCTCCCCCCCTCCGCGTCGTAGGCGCGCGCCCCCCTGTGGGGGATTACGGGGAAGCTTCCAACCACAGCAGTCGGCGAAGATATACTAGAACTGCCACACATCAGAAAACAAAGCAGGCGTCCCGACAAAACACGGTTTTGTACGGAGATACCCGTTGTTCGAGAGCGTTTTTGTTGCGTACGTGTTTCTGTTTTAAACAGCTACAGAACCTTACGCTGCGTTTTACCTTGTTTTTTTACGGGTCCAACTTCGACCAGCCCCAGCTTTTTTGTTGCCAGAGCCGTTTTTTGTTGTTTTAAAGGAACAGCTGAAACGCCGGGGCTGTTTTTTTTTTTTTTTTTAACGGGCGCTCCGGGGCGGCGCTGAAGCTGACCCGCGGACTTCCAGGCGCTGAAGCTGGACCCCAAGTTCGTGGAGCCCCCGCCGTTGGACCTCGAAGCCATCTACGCCCCTCGGCTAAAAAGAAAAGCCGCAGCGGTGGACGGAGGTGGAGACAGCGGGTTCTCTCAGTTCTGAGTTCGTGGATATACTGTTTGGAAAGACTGTTGTAGTGGTACATGAAAAGTTTGGATGTGTTTTTGCCCAACCCACTGGGGAAGCGAGGGTAAAGTGAGTTTGGAACTTGTTGAGTGAAGCCGAGCATACCTATTTTGGTGTCGGCGGGCAATCAATACCAGATTCCTCAGATGATAGTGGCTTTCCTTGTAGGGCCCTGACGGGGCAAACCTCGGGCGAGCTTGCACCAAGGCGCCGAAATGGGTTCCTTTGCATGCCCTGAAAAGAGCCTGAGAGATGGTACCTCGACAACAAGATGCACCCAAACAGAAATTGAGCCAACGATAGGCTTCCCGCTGCTTTTCTTCCAAATAGCACAGAAACGGGTGAGCTTTGAAGGATACCCGCAGGTGCCAGTTTCGTTTCCCAAAGTCACCAGAGTTGGCGAACCCAACAACTTGTTGCACCGCAGTACGCCAGGCCGGAGTTCATGCGAAGGGTAGTGCTCAAAATGACGGCCCATGGAGTGCGTGCGATTTTGTTGACCTGGGATTTCAGTTTCCAAAGGGGCTGTCGAGAGAGAGCCTCTTTCGAGCAATTGGTGTCCCTTCTTTTCTGAGCCATCTGAAAAGGTTTCACCTTTCGTCATGTTCTCATTGATCATTGCCACAATGCAAGCCTATTTGATTGCGGGGTTGAGGAGATCGAATCCTCTTTCAACCACTTTTTTTTGGGGGAGCCATGACATCCCCCCACCACATGGCATTGAATATTGGGGTCTTGGAGGCGGGGATGCACCGGTTGGTCAGATTCAGATGTGAAATCGGGCGATGGAGTTCGCCGTTTCGTGAAGTTGTTTGGCCCATTCACTTGGAATACACGCATAGTCAGCAGCCTTGCTATAGCTTGGTTGGAAAACATGCCGAATGAAGAAACTTGCCCAGATTCAACAGGCATTGCGCAGCTCTTGAGGTGCAGACATTCTATGCAAACATGTGGTGCACTCTCGCAGCCGTGAAGAAGTGCATCTCTGTGCTTCAAGCACGAAATAGAAGACAGCGGGCGTTTTTGTTCCACACGTACGACCTTTTTGTGCTTGCTTCAAAGGGTAACCCAAGGCAACCCGCCCATGTTGTTTCCCAGTTTTGTTCGAGGTACCCAAATCATGATGAAAATCAAAACCTCAGGACGAAACCTCCTGCCTTACCCCGCTGCTGCCGCTGGGCTGCACATGACGCACCTGCCGGGACCATGCAGACGGAAGTTAAAAAGCACCGAATCACACGCCCTCGTTTTGGGGCGTCCAGGAATCATTCGGCAACCAATGGAGAATGCAGAGGATTGATACGTATGGCTGTCGTGAGGGATAGTCACCGCATTACCTGCCTTGGTGCCGTGATGCTTTGTGTGGCTGAACTATGCGCTTCTTGCCTAGACGTCGTACAATACGTGCGCAGAATGCCATGTGTTTGGACGTGTTTGCACGGGAAATAGGTCTTGTTTACCAGATGACCATTGATGGACGTTGACACCGCCAATCTTCAAATGCCTGATGAACAACCACTGGATGACTTTTCGGAAATGCTTTTTTGTTTGGCAGATAGCGCATGCTTGTATTTAGGAAGTGATGAGGTGCCCGGCCTTTGCCATAGACTGGATCCGCGACGATTAATACACAGACAGCACTTGAGGCCTGACTAAACGGACAGTGTGTTTGTTTTCCAAGCTGAAAGGCTGCTAGGATGTTTGAACACATCTCATTACGTACATCCACTGAATAATCCCCCACCCACCCCCCGCCCACCCGAAGATCGACCTTTTTCACTGGCCTGAATGAGACGGCCAGTTGGCTTTGGCCCCACCTGTCATGAAGAGATCATGTGCACAAAGGAACGCGCGGAACAGGTCCTGAGGTGAGTCTCGACTTGTTTCTGAATTCACCAAGTGTTGGAAGAGCTGCGAGCTGCGAGCTGCGCATTGTGTTCCCTATGTGACACGCAACATGATGTGTATACTAGGTCCCCCAGTAGTGCCCTTTTACCTTTTGTTGGTTCCCCTACGAAAATAGACAACAGAAAAAGATCGGGTACCCTTAGTCTAACCTCCCAAATCTGGAGGACCTAGTATAGATTGGCAAGCGCCAAGCGAATCATAAGCCTCCGAGTTGGATCCGAAGATCTTTGCTCGGCTGCCTTGGGTTTCGGAGTCGGCCATGGGCGGGAGCTCGGGTTTGCAGCTCAAAAGGACTCCCGGACACCAAGCCCTGTTGAAGTTCGGACCTAGATTCAATCTGGGTGGCTCAAAAAAATTAAAGAGCTAGGGTTACGCAGGTGTTGGTCTTTGTTTCTATTCAAGAGGCCAGACAATGGGTACCACTTTTTGGAGCCACAGCCATATGCAAGGTTGGAAGGCACTCTTTGGAAGTTCCTTTTTGAACCCAACCGTGTTTGTTTGCCCTGCCAAGAACATCGCTCCCAGCGGCCTGCTTTTTTTGCAAATGCATTAGAGAAGCTCTAAAACTTCTAAGACTTTAAAATTCCATTTCTCCAGAGATCTGCAGATATCCTTCTTTCCAGAAATATTATGCCAGATGATACTTTTCACAAGAATTGCCAGGTGTTTGAAAAGGATGGTTGAAAAGGAATCAACGCCTATGCAAAGTCACCTTCCAAGTGGGTCTTAGCCCCTGCACTCCTGCAGATCAACGTGAACACCAGCACTTAGTTCGAAAGGAATATCCCTTTGGGGGACTCTGTGTTTGAGTTCCTTTCCTTTAGTTTGCAGCGCAGTGCCTTTCCTTCTATCATGGAACCAGAGCGGTCTTCGAAAGCTGGTTTTCCTTTGGAAGAGGCCACCTGTCTGGTTCCATAAGGTAGGATACTTGGGTTGGATTGGATGCCTGGAGGATCCTGGAAGTACCCTGGCGATGTTTGCATAGGAGCTCTGTGGGGCTTTCTGAGGGCCTTTCACCAGTTTTCGCGTTTGCCTGACTTGTCTGTGTTTCTTCTTCTGGGGATGACGTTCTCCTACATCATCTTCTTTTTGCTTGGTTTCTTTTGGGGGACTTTGTTGTGTGGGTTTCTGCGGGTTTCTTCGGGTGGCGGCGTTTTTGGTTTTAGTTTTCCGGGTTTTCCCACCAAAAGCCCCGGAAGGGGGGTGACGCCTCTAACCGGCGCTCAAGCCGGCGCTTAAAAAAGCGGCGCTGAGGTTTGTGCTGACCCCGGGCATGGACCCCACGGGCCAGCTCCGGGCGCTGGCGGTGTCGCGGAACGTGCCCTGGCAGACCATCTCCCTGGGCCAGGGCCAGGAGCCGCGCCTCGGAGAAGGCAGAAGGAGCTCGGAGTGCGCGAGTCCGAGGTTTTGGAGATGGCTGCGTTGCTTTTGTCAGATGTCTTTGTGTTTGGAGGTTGTCTTTTTTGTTTTTCTTGTTTGGGGGGGTTGTTTTGGGTTGTTGCTTTTGGTTTTTGTTTTTGTTTTGGAGGGGAGGGTAAAGGGAAGCCCAAAAACAAGCCGCTGCGCCTTGTTATTTGGATGGGCTCCTCGTCGTTTTTTTGGAGTCGCCGTTTTTTTTTTGGGGGGGGGGGTTGGAAAGGAAACCAAAAGCCAAGCCGTTGAGACACCTGTTTGTTGTTGGGTCCATAGTGGGACGGTCATCTTGTGGGTGGGTTTTCCCTGATGGTCATCATCCAATGTAAATTGATCTTTTGATGAACGACCATCTATGCGTTTGTTTTCAGAGGTCAAATTCAGAAACCTGGATTTTTCAAGTGGACCTATTTGGGAGGGGACTTTCCTTTAAGCTGTGGCTTTGGGGCGACTTTGTGGGGGAGGAGAGGTGCATCACGAGGACAGTCTTAGGGCCATGAGCGAATGGCTAGGAAAGTCCTGACTCGAAATGCGAATGGGATTCGAATGGGCGAAACTTGCGGATCTAAACGGAAGGCAGACTCGAGTGCTGTGTTGCCAGTTGCCGCCCTCTCTCACAGTTGCCACTTGAGTACGTTGCGGGGCTGACAGGACAGGGGGCCCCTTTTACTCAGATTCTCTGCTGTGAGTCCCAGAAATGCTCCATTTGGCGAATCCGCCAATGTGCCTTTCCTTTGTCGACTTCTCGACCCAGGAAAGCAATCAAGATGGTGCCGCTTGACTGATGTTGGCCGGGGCATTCAGATAGCATGGCTCAGTCTTCGGTTTTTGCTCTTCTATTTCGTCTGCTTCGTCATGTTCTGCTTCCCTTTTGGCCAAGTACCCAACGAGTCATGTTGATCTCGACAAGTGCAAATCGCTTTCATGCCGCCAAGCGAGGGTGACGGGTGTCGACCACTTTATCTCACGGGCCCGTCCAAAGCAGACCAAGTCATGTCGGGCTCAAACAATGTAGTTCTGCAATTCGTTGTGTAAATAGTTTTGATGCCGCCGTATGACTCTGAAAGCTTGAGTTTGGATCCCTCGACATGTACTTTTGAACCGAAAACACACAAAACAACTACGCGCGATCCTGCCTCCCGCACCTTGCCGCATAAACCTTGAATTGTCCTAAGAATCGAGCCTTCTGCATAAGTTTCATGCTTTGGCTGGGAAGATCTGGGAAAAGACTCCCTTCCGACTTTGAGTTCCCCGACCTTTCGCAATGATGGCGTGAATCCAAGGGAAAATACCAAGCAGTATAGCACATCTTGATTCAATCTATGCATAGTACTAAACTTCTGTACCACACAGGGGCGGGTTCACAACGATTTTATATATTTATATAATACACATATTTCACTGCATTGGATGTTGGGTTTCAAAATGCCACCGTTTGGATGTTTCTAGGAGACTGTCTCATGGCGGCCTCCCGGCTTGGCATTTTTGTTGACCACCGCTCTGCTTAGATGTACTAAATTTGGTGGACCCCAAGCACTTTGGAGGTGGTTCCAACTCTAAAAATGGAATGGCCAAGGTGAAGGCCAGGCTGACTGACCTTTCAGTTTTCCGGAGCCTGAAATGAGACTCGTGGCGGTTTTCGGTGAAAGACTTTCACTGGAGGCGCCAGCGCAGCCATCTCGAAGGTAGGGCTCTAGGGTCGATGGTCGCCAGCTTTAGCCGAGGGCTGATGGCGCAGAGAAGGGCTTCTGGGTGATGCTGGCGAATTGCGCCTTGGAAGTTCTATTTGATTCCTTGTCCAAAACCATTCTCTTGGGCAAAGCCTTGGGCAAAGTTTTTTGGCACAGCTCCTAGCGGCCGATCACAAAAGAGAAAAAAGGTTTGATTCCCCATTCCATTCTCTTCACCCAGCGTTCTCTTTTGCCCATTTTTGGAAGAGACGGATCCCTGAGAATGGGGAGGGTTCCCCAGAATTAGCTCCCCTTTTTGCTTTTTCCCCTTTGTTGGGGTTCCCTTTTTTTCCACTAAGATCTATTTTTTTGGCTGGGGTCCGATTTGTCCAGCCAAGAGCAGAGGGAGTTGGATATTTTTGCGAATGGGAGGCCTCCGTCAGACCTTCCCTGTCCCCCTCAAACAATTGGGAACTCGCCTAAAAACATGCTCAAGTAGTATCCCCGTGAGTGCTGAATTGGTGTACCCGTGTCTAAAATAGACTACAGAAGAAAGGGTACCCTAATTCTAGCCTCTCTACTGGAGGATTTAGTTGATGGAGGGCCACTCAGTTTGCAAGAAAGTCTCAGGTCTGGCCATGAGGTACAGCCCCATGATGTTTTTGTGCGAAAGGGGCGAGGGCTTTTGTCGAAACATGGTAGGCGTTCGCCACACCTGGATTTGAAATCCTTGGCGGTTCAGCTCAAGTATCCCAATGGCAACGTTACCCAGAGGTTTCGCACAAGGGGGCTTTGGGCAATGTGAGTCCTATTCGGCCAGGAAAAGCACGGGATGGTCTTCCCAAATATCCAAGAAGGGGAGCTCATAGAAGAAACCGGCAATATTAACCTTTCGACCGCCCAGATAAAAAGCGAATCTTTAAGTGGAGATCCTGTTTGAAATCTGACCGCCAGACCATCTTGATCCGTTCCTATAGTTGAGGCCATCTATGTGTGCACTGGCTGCCTGGCCTGGAGAAGCTCGTTGAGAAGACCTTCGATCAAGGGCCCCATGAGCGGTTCCGCATCTTCCTCTCCTCTTCCCCAACGCCCAAGTGTCTCGGATTGACATGCCGCGCAGAAATTTTTGTCGCACGGGGCACAAGCTCGTGCGTTGGCGTGGGACGCTGTTGGCTCCTCGCGGATTTTGGTCGTTTCAGCCCATGAAATGCGCGGCAGGGTCCTAGGGGTACCTTCCCCATTCTTTCCAGGGATCCTTCTTTTCAGGAAACCATCAAAAAAAAGTTCTCTCACGGACCCCTTCCAAACCATCCGCAACGCCAAGTTTGTGCATAGCCTGAAGGGCCTTGCATCCTAGAGGCTGGAGCACTTAGAGCTATTTGTCTCACCCTGGATGCGGTTGACCCATGTCGAGTTGCCCAGAGAATAGGCAGCTACTTGAGTCCACAGCAGCCAGTCAGAAGCACGAGTCCTGCGCATTCTGCCTACGTGTCAGCATGGGCAAGGCCTGAAACACTTCATTGGCCCAGAGCTACAAGATCGGGCTAGACATAGAACACGAGTATTGTCTCCGCTACCAGCTTGATGCCATAGGGACGGGCCAACCTCATCGCTTGAGGTTTCCCATCCAGCTTCTGCAGAACTGCATCAAGATGACCACGGAGCCGCCCAAGGGTTTGAAGGCGAACCTGGTGCGCCTGCTACAGAACACTTCCGAGGACCGTCTCACTCACGTGTTCAGCCCGGGGAAGCCCGGGCCGTATGCAGATCAAGACCCAGCTGTCTTAAAGGGGGGCATCTCCAATAGGCAAACCTTGCATCTTACTGGGTTCACGAACGGAGGAGAGAGGCTGCGTCGAAGGGGTGCACACTTGTTCGAACGCTAGCCATGGCTTCAGGCGCAGGTGCACACGTCAGGAGGCCGTCTGAACTACATGTGAGCCGCAATCAAAACCCGGGTAGATCAAGGTGAGTAAGGGGCAGTCCCAGCCAGAAATAGTTGCGGCCGCCTTCTTAATTCTTTGCATGGTTTGTGGGTAGACCATTTTAATACCGGGTTTTGATTGTGACTCATGTGGGCTTTGCCAGGAGTCCTACAATCGCGTGAAGGAGGTTCAAAAGTATCGACGGCTCTTCTTCTCGCTCTGTTGGTTCCACGCTGTGCTCCTGGAGCGCAAGAAGTTCAAGATGTTGCTTGGCAGACCGTGCCAAAGCTGCCCCACCGCAAGCTGAGAAGGAGCAGTAGAAAAGGAGCTAGCAAACAATGTCAGCCAGGTGCATTTCACGCTAGACGGCGCTTGGATGATCACGAGCTGATTGACCCACCCCTTTCCCAAAATCAAAGCACCAGGAATTGGACCGCAGGTTTTAGTCCTTGGTTCCATTTACTAGGGTTTCAAAATGGATAATTACTCATTTTTGACCCACAGCCTCGGGTGAATCCGTCCAAATTCGGGGCCCAATCAGGTCCTCCAGTGGAGAGGTTGGAATAAGGGTACCCGATTTTTGTTTCCGTAGTCGATTTTCGTAGGGAAACCCTGCCCAAAAAAAGAAACGGTAAAAGGGTACTGGGGGACCTTGGCTTGCAAAGGGAACCTTTGCTATTCCCCGATGTTGGGCCCAATATTTCTCCGTATGTTGCTTCCAGTTCAATCTCACCCTTCTTCCCAGGCCTGAATCCCAAAGACAAACATCCTGATTTCTTTGTCTGGGTAGACTTCAGAAGGGTGTCATTCTGAAAGATCTACATCCCTTCGCTTGGGTGCCCTGTAGACATTCCGAGTCCCTCATGTTCTTTTACATACACGCCGCATAAAACAAGCATGCGTATGCATACATTCATATATTTATTTTTATTCTCAATGCACCTATAATGTACAAACAACATCGACAGCAGTGAATTTGGACGATCTTTCTGTGAAGTCTAGCCTAGGATTAGGTTCCTGAAAGACCGGAAACTGTTGAGCACTCGTGATATCCCATGCCACAGCTGGAAACCATAAATCAAAAATCCATGTCGTTCGCAGAATTTGCGTACTTCAAGTTGTTGGAAAAGCCTTGAAATGGTGCTGTCCCGGACTCAAGATTCAAGATTGCCACAGCAACATGCTGAACGCTGTTTCGGGAAACACGTTCATGTGTCCCTTCTAACTTCGAGATTGAGAATACCTAAATCTGAACAACTTGTCCTGAAAGTCTGACTCCAGGAGCGGAAGCTGCAAAGTTGTGCCAACAAATCAGGTGATGGCTCCGGGCGGGTGTGTTGAGGCTGGGCTGGAATATCGGATACGACTTCAACGACTCCGACTTCGACATTTGCCCCTTGCCTCGAATATTGGAGTCTGTGCTTGCTTGCGCCATGTGGCAATATATAAGTGATTTACAGATGCATAGCAATACACGTTATACTAGACACGTAGTCACATGCACTGTGCGTAGTGTAGATGGAGACGCAAATCAATTTGCATATGCAAGCAGCACATACATGTTGTACGGTCATTCCGTCAAAGTGGAGCTCCTGTTTGAGCAAGAGGCGGTAAGTCCAACCTTTACGTCTCGAGTTCAAGGGCGGTTGGCTTCGGGCGGTTTCCGAAACATCCAGGCGAGAACATTTTGGCAATGTACTTGGACGAGAACCCCAACGAAATTCCCTGGGACGCCATCCGGTACCTGATCGCCGAGGCGGGAGCTGAAGGGAAGCAATCTTGCGATCTGGATGTTATTCGTCTGAACTTTTGGACCCTGCCTTGAGAGTTAGAAATCCAGAGCGCAATCACCAGGTCCCCCGAACTTTGCAAAGATCGCGGGCTTCAGATTTCATAGCTGCCTATTGCGAAGCTAGAAGGAACAGCGTTCCATTTGAAGCCCTCGCTCCAGGAGCCGAGGCTAAGCCCAAGGCATTGGACAAAACCCGTTCCGCAGGGACAAAGACAAGAAGGGCCGGGGCAGGGCGCAACAAGAGGAGTGAAACGGTTTCGCAGGTGCCCGGTGTGGCACATTTTTGTTGCAAACACTGGAGTGGGGGAAGCCCAAGACAGATCAGTTACCGCGTGCTTCTCTGAGTTTGTCTGTCGTATTTGAAGGCAGGAGTGGTCAGTTCCCTGAAAAAGTGCACGGCCCCTGTTGGAAGAATGTTCCCAGAAGCTGTGTGCGTACAATGAGCGCGCAAGGGCAAGGGATGCGCAATGTCAAAGGTTTAGAGGTGTTGATTCATTGATGCTGCCTAGCTTATGAATGGAGGTGATAGCTGATTGCTGTGCTTACGCTTTTCGAATGTTGCTTGGGTCATGTGTAGGTCCGGCAATGGCAGTCGCCTTGTCGGCAAACAGGTCTGGTGTTCGCACAAGCCTAATTGGGTCGCCCCGCGCAAGGCGCGCGCAAGCACGAGAAGCCGCATGGAATCTGCCCATTTGTTGTTTTTGAATGCCTTTGCTTCTTGAATGGCCCGCAAACAACACGAAAGCTTCGCATGAGGTCGCGTGCAAACTATCTTCTGTGCTGCTGCGCGCGCAGGTCCGCGCAAGTGCCGCGCAAGGGCGCAAGGGCCCAAACCCGGGCAACATAAATTTTCTTGGGCACAAAAGCCGTGGGCCTGCCAATAGCATCAATTTGGTTGCCGGAGTGAACTGAGCTGAAGTGTCTTGATGAGTTCATGTTTGGACCATTAGACCGGCTTGGCCCAAATACGTGCCAAGAGTCATGTGGAATCCCCATGAGTCTTGTGCCTTTTTCTGCATACACAACAAGCAGCATGGTTGTGTTATTTTTTAGCTCCAGCATCCTCTTGCCTGGGCTTGGCTCAGGCCAACTACGGGGGGCGCGTCACCGAGCATCCGGACAACCGTGTGCTCAGGCCCGTTCTTGGTGGCTCCCAGCCGTAGCCTTCTATAGTGTTTAGTGGTAGTTTCCTTTTCTTTTAGCGGGGGATCTGAGGGCAGCCCGGCGTTGTCGTATCACGTTTCCCAGTGCTTTGGTTGCTCGATGGCAAGTGGCAGGTCCTACGTGACCGAATTCTTCTGCACAGCAGCGTTGCAGCCAAAATTCCAGCTGTCGTCCTTGGCCACGTACTACATTCCAGAGGCGCCTTTGGCAGATCGAGTGGATCTCAGGCGTTTTTGGCGTTTCAGCCCGAATCATGCCCATCCCCATCGATCTGCCAAGTTGATGAATCCGCGCCCACTAGTAGATCCAGCAGGAAGGGTGACTCAGCATGTATCTAGTCGTTGGCTAATAGGCAAACCATGCATTCTCAGCCTAGTTCATGTGATCATGCACGTTTTGGCAGGGCCGCATGACCCTCCTTATTTGATTGAACATTGCCTTGTTGGGGCTGGAAATCTTGCAGCTGGCAATCTCTTCAAGTCCGCGAGTGGATGTCGCAGGATTCGGTCGCCTCACTTCTCACTTGAGGCCTTTAAAGCGGTGCGCGGAGCACTGTTCGACTTAGCCACACGTTTACACAAAGCCCCAGCTGAAAGGGGGGTTGATCAAGAAGGCCGAGATACATGGGGTGACCATTGCTTGGAAAACTAACGAATGATATTTCCCCAGTGACCATTGCTTGGAAAACTAACGAATGATATTTCCCCACATGGCCATGGGTCAAAATCCCGTACCCCGGTGAACATCCCAATCCCCACTAAAATAGGTTCTAAAATGGGTGGTGAATTCACCAAAACCCCCAAAATGGAATCCCATTTTGACAACCACAGCCACATGGGAAAAGTCACCCATGGTGAAAACTGGGGCCCTGAGGACGGCAGCCTCCAGAGCTACCGCCAGTATGTGCAGTCGCTGCCACTCAGCGAGCCTCCGGAGGCATAGATCGACCTTTGGTGAGCCTCAAATTCCCTGCCTTGGTCGTTAGGGTTCCCGAAGATGGCTCGAACCCCAAAAAGGTGAGCAACGTGTTTCTGGCTCGGTTTCTGTCTCGGTTTCTCCTGGCCTGCGAAGGTTTTTTTCTTGGGCCGGGAGTTGTCTGCACCACGCCACGTGCGCCACGAGCGAAATTCGCCTGACACAGGCTGGCCAATCGAATTCCAGAGCTGGAAGCGATTCATTGCATTGTCCAATTGAGCAACCCTTGAAAAAACCACAAGGAAACCAGCCGGTTGTTGGCCCCTGGTTTTTGCCGCCTGTTGGAAACTTTCACGTCCCTTTCTCTTGGCGGTTGTTTCACAGACTCGATTTCGGCAACGTTTCAAACTGGCAGTCAGATTGAGGGACATACGTGAATATCAAGAAAGTATGTTTGCCTCGCCACGTCACGTGGCAAGTGACAGGATGATACTGTCTATGTGTGATGCGCGCAGTCGGTTGTTCTGTTGCATCCGATGGTTTAGGTGTATCCCAAAATAGGATAACGGATCCCAAAATAGGCTTAGGGACACCTTTTTGATTCCCTTCCCTCCTACTAACATAGATCCCATTTAGGAGGAACATTGTGCTCCAGAGATCTAGCGATCCATGGCAAATCTCGCCACACCTCATCATGTACCCAACACTCCCTTATTTTGGTTTCATGGTGGAAAGGTGCACCTCCACCCTCCTTCCCACAACAGCAGTGAACATTAGGGGATCCCCAAAGAGAAGGTAGTCTTCCGAAACACTTCTGTCAGCTTTCTGTGTTGGCTCAGGGACCCGCAAGAAAAGACACTTCCGGGCAGGCTTGCGCCAACCCTTGTTTAAACATGCTTAAGTTAAGCCACCTTTGTTGAGCTCCTTTGGGTTTTCAATGGGGCCCCTTGGTTGAAGCGAATGTTGCTGAGCCCTTTTCAGGCCTTGCTGCCCCGTTTGGACTTGTGAGAAACAAAGATACCCACAGTCGAAACCGAAGTTCCAAAAAAAATGGTTTCCCCTCTCTTTGAACCCGCGGGGAAAAACGTGTTTCCCCCCCCTCTCCTTCTCCCTCTCCCTTTCCTTCTCCCTCTCCCCCTCCCCCCCCCCGACCCTTGAACTGAGGAGATCGGATCGGTTTCGGTTTTGCGGTGGGTTCCTTTCCTCGGGCCGCGGGCGCTGGCAGGCGTTTGGGCAGCACACCAACGCGGAGATCTCCTCCTCGCTGGCGGACACGGACACGCTGCTGCAGACCATGATCGAGGTGCGCGGCGGAGGCGCGGATCCGGCGGAGTCGATTCGGAGAGAAGCGAGCAGCCGGCCAACTCGGCTGCAAAAGGCGGGGGGATCTAAAGAGCAAAAACATGAAAGGTGTTGGGACGAGTGTGTGTGTGTGTGTGTGTTCCTTTTAAACGAAAAAACACAACCTTTTTTTTGCAGTGAGGCCCGCAGCCACACAGTTGTGGCCGTGTTTTTCGGTGTGCCTGGTTCCTGATTTTCTTGCCGGCGCGACCCAGCTTCAGCTTCCCAGCCCAGCTTTCCAGCTTCAAAGCGCTCGGCCTGAAGTCGTGTAGCTACCAGCTCTAGGTCCCCCAGCTAGGTGCCCGACCTCTCACCGTTCCTTTCTTGGTTGGGAGGGTTCCCCTACTAAAACAGCCTACAGACAAAAATAGGGTACCAGTATATTCTAACCTGTCTACTGGAGGACCTGGAGCTTCGCGATGTCACCCTTTCGCCTGTCGAAACAGGATTCTGGGTCAACATGTTCACGGTTTGCAGCTGTCACCTTAAGTCGTTCAATTCCGAAGCGGTTCGGTTTGTAAGGCTCGGTTCCACGATTCCTTTGAGCCCTTGTCAGAAGAAAGATGGGCGTTGTGCAGATGTCCTTTCACTTGTCCCCTATTCGGCGTTTTTGGTGCCAATTTGAAAGGGAGAATCCTTTAGGCGATGCTTCACGCGACGGCATGTCGCGAGCCCCGTTGCAGACAAACCAGCAATGAACAACTGGACGGATGTGCCGGGGGAGGTGAGCTGGTGGGTTTGTGCTAGAGCCCGCCATATGCTCGGAAAAAACGAAGAGATTGTCAAATGAGGGTGAATGGAAATCCGCATTTGATTTCCCGTGGTTGCCTTCTCAAGAACCCTGTTTCTACCTGGTGCCATTTTTTTTGGAGCAATAGTTACATCTAGTATGCAGTCTCCAAGAGCTAAGTCAGACCCGCTTGCACCATCTCGATGTTTGAAAGTGCCATCTACCTCTCAGTCCTGGTCACCACTGGCCCCAACTCCCAAGAAAGGCATCAGGTTTTAACGGGCCCCTCTAGAGGCCAATGAAAACCTAAAACGCAACCCCAGTACAGGCCATCCCCCCAAGCCAGTTGCGTGGATTCCCAGGCCTTGAGGCTTCGTTGGATGACCCAAGAAAGGGTTCCTGTATGTCACGGCTGGGTCCACTAAAATGGCCATGGATCAAAATCCAAATCGTACCAGTGAACATCCCAAGCCAAGCACTACAATAGGTTCTAAAATGGGTGGTGGATTCACCTACCCCCAAAATGGTACCCCAAAACGGTTTCGACAACCACAGCCAAATGGAACCATCTGGTTTTCCAAAAAGAGACAGAAAGAGGCCTGAAAGCGTCTGCTTTTCCAGGTTTTTGGAGGGAACCCACAGCCAAATGGTCCAAAAACGGGCCAAGCCCCTGGAAAATAGGTTGCGTTGAAGAACGATGGGTGAAGAGAATGGGGAATCAAACCTTAGAAAAATGGTCTCAACCTGACAGAAGCTGCTCCCCTCGTCTACGTTTTCTCCGCGCGAAGCCGCGCGAGGCGGTGCGGCGGCCGGGGGAGACATCGGCGAGGTGGTGATGGGCACCTGCAACACGCTGCTGGAGAAGCTGCCGGCCACGCGGCCGAGAGAACGGAAGGGAGGGGAGAACCGGCGCAGAGGAGGCCTTCGGGGAAAAACGTCCCTTTGGGTATGGGCCCAAAATGAATTCAACAGACAACCGCAGAAGCTTTTAGTCCATGTTTCCATTTACCAGGGTTCCATTTTGGGTACCTATTTTTGAGCCACAGCCATTTGCTGAAATGCTGTGTTTCTTTTGAAACAACAAATCCCCTGTTGGTGTGAAAGGGAATCGATTTCAGTACTGGAAAAAAAGTTGTTTTTGTTTTTTTCTCCAGGGGGGTTTAACAAAATGGACGGTAATGGCCAAGGGAATTGCGGCTGTGAATTTTAGTTAGGGACCCATTAGTCATATGTAGGAAAACAACAGTAACATGGGGTTGCGCATTCCTAAAAAATTGGCAAAGGCCAAGGAAGAAGGGCTGAAGGATTTGCATTTGAACTCGTTCGACTGATTCAAGTGGACATTGGAAGGGACCAAAAACAATGGACACATTGCAGTGGCTTGAAGCCCATTGATCTGTCATTTCCCCTTAAACCGGGCAACCAAGGGGACCATGTACTATAGTGATAGTGGGTGGGATCCTTGGCAAAAGGCGAAGACACTTGGGATGCGCTCGGGAGAAAAGTCCAGGCGCGGCCTTCATAGATGTCGAATGCACTGTAAACCGATGAGCACAAAGCAGTAGCAATATGCATAGAGCTCTTTCGCAATAAAGGCCGATCCCTTCTGCTTGGCTCACGAGATGCAGGTCCGGGCATGTGAGAGACTCGCATATGATACAGTTTTTGGAAAGTAGAGTAGGTGTATGTTTCACATATTATATTTATATGTCTATATATGTATGCCTATATATATATATTTAAGGGCTGCCGCCCAGTGCCGCCGACCCCAAACCAGTTTGGGAATGGCTGAAATGAACGGGGCCGCTTCAAAATGGGGCCGCGATGGGTTCCCTCTTGTGCCAGGGTGCGGTGCATTTTTGCTTTGCTTTCGGGTGAAAATGCACCGGTTTTATGATGATGATGATGATGATGATGATGATGATGATGATGAACTGACATGATAATCATCATGACGCATCCTTAGCATCACCAGCAGTCATCGTGATAATGCGCTTTGACTGGCACACTTCCATAGAACCTGCGCCCATTCTGGAGCGATCGTTTTCTTTCCTTGGCTTGGTGCATTTTTGTAATAATCTGGTAAGAAAATGCGCCGCTGTAAGTGCCTACAATTCTGCTGCTGCTGGGAGCATGTGCCGTGACGTTGCGTTTGCAGTAGAGGCTCGTCGCCGGTCACCCCGCAAGCCAACCAGCTTTCTCGCCGCAAGTCGGGGCCGCGATGGGTCCCCTGTTGCAGCCAGGGTGCGGTGCATTTTTGCTTTGCTTTCGCGTGAAAATGCACCGCTTTGATGATGATGATGATGCTGAGCTGACGTGATAATCATCATGACGCATCCTCAGCATTACCAGCAGGCATCATGATACTCATGTCCACGCATCTTCTGCATCTCAAATCGGCTCTAACGGGACTGATGATGATGATCATGATGATGATGATGATGAACTGACATGATAATCATCATGACGCATCCTCAGCATCACCAGCAGGCATCATGATAATCATGTCCACGCATCTTCTGCATCTCAAATCGGCTCTAACGGGACTGATGATGATGATCATGATGATGATGATGATGATGAACTGACATGATAATCATCATGACGCATCCTCAGCATCACCAGCAGTCATCATGATAATCATGTCCACGCATCTTCTGCATCTCAAATCGGCTCGAACGGGACTGATGATGATGATCATGATGAGCACAGTGATGATCATGATGATGAACTGAGATGGTGGCATCATCATCATCATTGTAATCATCATCATCGTCATGATCGTCATCATCATCGTGATCATCGTCGTCATCATCATGGATGATAGCCATCATCGTGCATCCTCTGCATCACCAGCAGTCATGCTGATAATCATGTCTACGCATCCTCTGCATCTCCAACCAGGTCACAACGATGATGCTGTGATGATGATGAGCGTGTCATCATCACCATGATGGTGGTCATTATCGTCATCCATCATCATCATCGTCATCATCATCATCGTCATCATCGTCATCATCATCATCGTCATCATCATGGATGATAACCATCATCGTGCGTCCTCTGCATCACCAGCAGTCATGATGATAATCATGACTACGCACCCTCTGCATCTCCAATCGGGTCTAACGCTAAGGACGACAACGATCATGATGTGATTTTCTGACAAGTATCGTCATTATCATCATCGTCGTCATCATCATCATCGTCATCATCGTCATCATCATCGTCATCATCATCGTCATCATCATGGATGATAACCATTGACCATCATCGTGCATCCTCTGCATCGCCAGCAGTCATGATGAAAATCATGTCTACGCCTCCTGATGATGCGATGACGATGAGCATGTCATCATCACCATGATGGTGATCATCATCGGCATCATCATCGTCGTCATCATCACCAGCATCATCCGTCATCGTCCTGGTCGTCATCACCGTTATCATCATCGATGATACCCATCATCGTGCATCCTCTGCATCACCAACAGTCATGATGATAATCATGTCTACGCATCCTCTGCATCTTGAATCAGGTCACAACGATGATGATGTGGTGATGATGAGCATGTCATCATCACCATGGTGGTGGTCAGCATCGTTATCATCATCGTTATCATCATCATCGTCATCATCGTCATCATCATCGTCATCATCATCCTCATCATCATGGATGATAACAATCATCGTGCATCCTCTGCATCGCCAGCAGTCATGATGATAATCATGTCTACGCATCCTCTGCATCTCCAACCAGGTCACAACGATGATGATGTGATGATGATGAGCACGTCATCATCACCATGATGGTGGTCATCAGCGGCATCATCATCATCGTCATCATCATCAGCATCACCATCATCATCGTCATCGTCATCATCACCGTTGTCAGCATGGACGATAACCATCATCGTGCATCTTCTGCATCACCAACAGTCATGATGATAATCATGACTACGCACCCTCTGCATCTCCAATCGGCTCTAACGTCACCCTTGAAACGTATATAAAAAGATAAGGACGACAACATCATGTCTACGCATCCTCTGCATCTCCAATCAGGTCACAACGATGATGATGTGATGATGATGATCGTCCTCGTCATCATCACCGTTATCATCATCGATGATAACCATCATCGTGCATCCTCTGCATCACCAGCAGTCATGATGATAATCAGGTCTACGCATCCTCTGCATCTCCAATCAGGTCACAACGGTGATGCTGTGATGATGATGAGCATGTCATCATCACCATGATGGTGGTCATCATCATCATCAGCATCAGCCTTACCGTTGTCATCATGGACGATAACCATCATCGTGCATCCTCTGCATCCCAACAGTCATGATGAGAATCATGTCTACGCACCCTCTGCATCTCCAATGTGATAACCATCATCGTGCATCCTCTGCATCACCAGCAGTCATGATGATAATCATGTCTACGCATCCTATACATCTCCAATCAGGTCACAACGATGATGCTGTGATGGTGATGAGCGTGTCATCATCACCATGATGGTGGTCATTATCGTCATCCTCATCATCATTATCGTCATCATCATCATCATCATTGTCATCGTCATCATCACTGTTGTCATCATGGACGATAACCATCATCGTGCATCTTCTGCATCACCAACAGTCATGATGATAATCATGTCTACGCACCTGCATCTCCAATGTGATAACCATCATCGTGCATCCTCTGCGTCACCAGCAGTCATGATGATAATCAGGTCTACGCATCCTCTGCATCTCCAATCAGGTCACAACGGTGATGCTGTGATGATGATGAGCATGTCATCATCACCATGATGGTGGTCATCATCATCATCAGCATCATCCTCACCGTTGTCATCATGGACGATAACCATCATCGTGCATCTTCTGCATCACCAACAGTCATGATGATAATCATGACTACGCACCCTCTGCATCTCCAATCGGCTCTAACGTCACCCTTGAAACGTATATAAAAAGATAAGGACGACAACATCATGTCTACGCATCCTCTGCATCTCCAATCAGGTCACAACGATGATGATGTGATGATGATGATCGTCCTCGTCATCATCACCGTTATCATCATCGATGATAACCATCATCGTGCATCCTCTGCATCACCAGCAGTCATGATGATCAGGTCTACGCATCCTCTGCATCTCCAATCAGGTCACAACGGTGATGCTGTGATGATGATGATCGTCCTCGTCATCATCACCGTTATCATCATCGATGATAACCATCATCGTGCATCCTCTGCGTCACCAGCAGTCATGATGATAATCAGGTCTACGCATCCTCTGCATCTCCAATCAGGTCACAACGGTGATGCTGTGATGATGATGAGCATGTCATCATCACCATGATGGTGGTCATCATCATCATCAGCATCTTCCTCACCGTTGTCATCATGGACGATAACCATCATCGTGCATCTTCTGCATCATCATCAGTCATGATGATAATCATGACTACGCACCCTCTGCATCTCCAATCGGCTCTAACGTCACCCTTGAAACGTATATAAAAAGATAAGGACGACAACATCATGTCTACGCATCCTCTGCATCTCCAATCAGGTCACAACGATGATGATGTGATGATGATGAGCAAGTCATCATCTCCATGATGGTCGTCATTATCGTCATCATCATCATCGTCATCATCGTCAGCATCATCCTCGTCATCGTCCTCGTGATCATCACCGTTATCATCATCGATGATAACCATCATCGTGCATCCTCTGCATCACCAACAGTCATGATGATAATCATGTCTACGCATCCTCTGCATCTCCAATCGGCTCTAACGCTACCCTTGAAACGTATATCAAAAAGAAAAGGCGACAACATCATGTCTACGCATCCTCTGCATCTCCAATCAGGTCACAACGATGATGATGTGATGATGATGAGCGTGGCATCATCTCCATGATGGTGGTCATTATCGTCATCATCATCATCAGCATCATCCTCGTCGTCGTCATCATCACCGTTGTCATCATGGACGATGACCATCATCGTGCATCCTCTGCATCACCAACAGTCATGATGAGAATCATGACTACGCACCCTTTGCATCTCCAATCGGCTCTAACGCTACCCTTGAAACGTATATCAAAAAGATACGGCGACAACATCATGTCTACGCGGTCACAACGATGATGATGTGATGATGATGAGCATGTCATCATCACCATGATGGTGGTCATTATCGTCATCATTATCATCATCGTCATCATCGTCATCATCGTCATCATCACCGTTGTCATCATGGACGATAACCATCATCGTGCATCCTCTGCATCGCCAACAGTGATGATGACAATCATGACTACGCACCCTCTGCATCTCCAATCGGGTCTAACGCTACCCTTGAAACGTACATAAAAAAGATAAGGGCGACAACGATTATGATGTGATACAATGACAAGCGTGTCATCATCATCATCGTCATCGTCATCGTCATCATCATCGTTATCATCATCGATGATACCCATCATCGTGCATCCTCTGCATCACCAACAGTCATGATGATAATCATGTCTACGCATCCTCTACATCTCCAATCAGGTCACAACGATGATGATGTGATGACGATGGGTATGTCATCATCACCATGATGGTGGTCATCATCGTCATCATCATCATCGTCATCATCAGCAGCATCATCATCATCGTCATCGTCATCATCACCGTTGTCATCCTGGACGATAACCATCATCGTGCATCTTCTGCATCACCAACAGTCATGATGATAATCATGTCTACGCACACTCTGCATCTCCAATCGGCTCTAACGTCACCCTTGAAACGTATATAAAAAAGATATGGACGACAACATCATGTCTACGCATCCTCTGCATCTCCAATCAGGTCACAACGATGATGATGCGATGATGATGAGCAAGTCATCATCTCCATGATGCATGATGGTGGTCATTATCGTCATCATCATCATCATCGTCATCACCACCATGGATGATAACTATCATCGTGCATCCTCTGCATCACCAGCAGTCATGATGACAATCATGACTACGCACCCTCTGCATCTCCAGCCGGGTCTAACGCTACCCTTGAAACCTATGTAAACAAGATAAGGACGACAACCGATTATGATGTGATATACTGACAAGCGTGTCATCATCATCATCATCGTCATCATCATCAGCATCATCCTCGTCATCGTCCTCGTCATCATCACCGTTACCATCATCGATGATAACCATCATCGTGCATCCTCTGCATCTCCAATCAGGTCACAACGATGATGATGTGGTGATGAGCATGTCATCATCACCCTGATGGTGGTCATTATCGTCATCATCATCGTCATCATCATGGATGATAACCATCATCGTGCATCCTCTGCATCACCAGCAGTCATGATGATAATCATGTCTACGCATCCTTTACATCTCCAATCAGGTCACAACGATGATGATGTGATGACGATGAGCGTGTCATCATCACCATGATTGTGGTCATCATCGTCATCATCACCATCGTCATCGTCATCATGGACGATAACCATCATCGTGCATCTTCTGCATCACCAACAGTCATGATGATAATCATGACTACGCACCCTCTGCATCTCCAATCGGCTCTAACGTCACCCTTGAAACGTATATAAAAAGATATGGACGACAACATCATGTCTACGCATCCTCTGCATCTCCAATCAGGTCACAACGATGATGATGTGATGATGATGAGCAAGTCATCATCTCCATGATGCATGATGGTGGTCATTATCGTCATCATCATCATCATCGTCATCGTCATCATGGACGATAACCATCATCGTGCATCTTCTGCATCACCAACAGTCATGATGATAATCATGGCTACGCACCCTCTGCTACGATGACGGTATTGCTTACGCTGATAATATTGAATCTTCGGCTATGCTCATTTACCAACCAACCTTGGACTTGTGCTGTAACCACCCTTCCCGTGCGCCTCCCCCTTTGAGGAGAAGGGGTCGGCGGATATATATATGTATGTACAGGTACATGCACGCCAATAAGGATAAACCATGCTCGGAACTCGAAACAATTGACACATCTTGCCACAGCTTGCCTGTGTCTCCAGTTACTCATTCTGGTTGACGAGCAGTGCAACTGCCACCGAACCCAGCCCGCCCTGTTTGAGTGTGCGATGTCTGGCACGCTAAACGTGGAGTATCCACCTTCAGGTGTTTCAAACTGACGCCTTGATCAAAACAGGCACAAAATGGTCAACGGCAGCCAGTAGATGTAGCCTGAACCGACTGTTCTTGTACTTAAGGCCTCAATAACAAATTTTGGGTCAGGGATATAGGCAATGCCCGATCTCATGTGGGTTTGACTGAGGTTTGAGATCATTTCTGTGAGCCAAAAGCTGAGTGATTGGGTACAGCGAAGTTGCAAAGTACCAAATAAGGGGCAACCGCAAAATGTTGGTTTTCCTGTTGAGTTCCCTTTAAACCAACCAAAAGTAATATCCTCAAAAACGCACCCACATTAAGGAGATTCGAAAGACCATACATTCGATCTTCGAGATGAAGTCTATTTGTTGGTCAGCGATTCGGAATGACTTTTTACCATGACCAAAACCCAAGCTGTGTACGGCGAAGAGACTTGCGTGGACCTATGGGATTGACAGATTGGAGCCAAGGAGAACCTCGACTGGGAAGAGGTCCGTGACCGGAACGAGGCAGACTCCTCACCCTTGAAGGTGTGTTTGCTGCAGGCCCGGCTAGATCGACTTGTGCTCAGACTTGAAGTCGACTGCGTTGAAAATACCATGGAACCAGACTGGTTTTCAGCTTGCTTCGAGTCATTCACCAGAGCCAATGTGTGTGTGTGTGTGTTTTCCCAAAACACGCCTAGGTTCGCAGCTTTTGGGGGGACCAACACCTGCTCCAGGGTGCTGTGCTGTTTTTTTTTTTCTCCCAGGGAGTGCGGGGTCGTCTCAGCTGAGCTCAACTGTCCCTCCAAATTGAAAGTAACAGCCAAGGAGAGGCACATTGCTGCGTGTCCTGTTGCGGCACAAGGTTCAGTGTCGGGATTTGTTGAAGGGCTCTTATAGCCTTGACAACCTTGAAATGTTGTTTGCAAGTGGTGTCAGATCTTGTATGTCCGGGAAAATGCCGGTTATCGTGAAGCAGCCTTCAACAGTCGGAAGCGACAAAGCATTCCTGAAAAGTGTTTGAAGGCAGCAAGCAACTCCACCAAGCAACGCGTCCAGTACCAGCGCACCAATCCAGACATTCAAAGCCGTCGTGAAGGTGTGTGACTAGTGGCTGCACCTTTTCAGCATGCAAGGATCGGGTAGCACAACCCATTGCTCAGAACATGCTTCATGCTGTGGTTCTTTCGACTTCATCAACAGGCCAAGGCCAAAGGCAAAGTCCCTGAAAAAGGTAATCTTGCTGGACTGCTGCGTGTGCCAGGCACGCAGCTTGAAATCGCAATTGTCAGAGGTGGCATGAACATTCACCTTCCCATGAGCCCGCATACTGCCGTTGCCAGCTCTGGAAACATGCTCTTCTTTTTTTCTCCGGGGACCAGCTTTTTCATTTCCTTAGGGGAACCCACCATGGTCCCGTAGCTGCAAAAAATTGGCAAAGCTAACCAGCAGAGAACTTTATTCTTTTGTTTGGTCCATTTTGCCAACGGATGTTAGGACTTTAAGTTTTTGCCAACGAATGGGTTTCCATTAAACCACTAAAAGTTAAGCTTTTAGCAGTGGAGCAGAAAGCCACCGAGCTTTAGTTTCCTCTCGCACATGAGGGTTCCGCTTTTCACGTGACTCGCTTGGCGTGAGGGCCAGAACCCAAATAGGCGGGCTGCGGGAATGTGCCTTCCACAACCAGGAGTGTTCCAGTTGAAATGGCGAAGATAACACTACTATCTTGTCTTTGTGTAGCTTGTTTCGTTTTTTTGGGGGGTTCCCAGTACCCCCCCCTCCCCCCCAATGGTATCCCCCCCCCCTAGAACCCCGACCCCGGAAGAAGCCCTTCTGCTGCGGTCCCCAGACCCCAGCCCCTGCACCCCCTCAACCCACCTAGGCACGCCCTGCGCCTTCTCCCAAACTAACCCGAAACAAACCCTAAACCAACCCTAAACTGGTTCGAAACACACATCTTTAAACCCACACTTGACACTTTCTGAACACACTAAACCAAGCCTGAACCAACTTAATCAACCCTAAGCCAACCGTAAACCAACCTTAGATTAAGCCAACCGCTAAGCACATATCTTAAACCAACACTAAACACACTCTAAACCACCCCGAAACTAACCTAAACCACCCCTGCACCAAGGGGAACAAATGAAACATCCTACGCCAACACTAAAATACACTCTAAACCAACCATAAACCAACCTTAAACCAACCCAAAACACATTTCAATCCAACACTAAACACACTCTTAAGCAACCCTAAACCATCCTAAACCACTACAACTAGATCAACCCTAAACCAGGTCTAAACCACTACAACCCCACCACAGGGAGGGGAGGGTGGTCTTAGACCAACCCTAAACCAACCCTAAACCACACCCCAACCCACACCACAGGGGGGGCGGGGAGGACTGGGAACCATGGGGGGGGAGGGGGGGGAGGGGGGGGGGACTTGCGAACCCTTGATTATATATATATATATATACTCTGTGTGCGTGCGCGCCAGAGCCTTTGTGTGGTGTGCTCGTTTGTGTGTGTGTGTGTGTGTGTGTTTGTGTTTGTGTTTGTGTTTGTGTTTGTGTTTGTGTGTGTGTCTTGTGTTTTTTGGTTTCTGTGTTGCGTCTGCTTGCGCTGCGCATGTGTGTCTGTGCGTGTTGTGTGTGTGTGTGTATGTGGGCGTGTCATGAGCGTGTGACTTGTATTGTGTGCGTATGTGTGTGTGTATGTGTGTGTGTGTGTATGCGTGTGTGCATGTGTGTGTGTATGTCTTGAGTGTGTGAGAGTGTGTAGCGTGTGTGTGTGTGTGTGGTGTGTGTGTGTGTGTTTTGTGCTTGCGAGCGTATTTGAACTTTGTGTGTGTACGTGAACTATATATATATAATGTCTGTCTAATTTATGTGCGTGTCTGCGTGTGTGTGTGTGTGTATGCATGTGCGTGCGTGCGTGCGTGCGTGATTGTGTGAGTGTAATCGTGTTTCTTTGTGTTTTCGGTGAGTGTGTTGTGTGGCTGTGTGTGCATTAGTTTTGCCAAGAGCTTTGATCTCCGCCTCTACGGCACGGCTTGCGAAGCGAAGCGCTCACAGGAGATCGAGCGCTACAATGTGCTTCTCTCTGCCGTGCGAAGCTCCATCAAGACCTTGCAGAAGGGAATCCAAGGCCGCCGAGAGCACGGCAAGTGTTCAGCCGCTTCGCTGTCAGCAAAACAAGGTAAGGTGGACCCTAGACAAATATACCTGCTGCATTCATAGGGATAATACAGATGTTTCTGCCAAAAGTGAAGGATCTGGAAAATGGAGCAGCCTCCATTAACGTGTTATCAAGTTTGCCCAAGGTTATCTTGGCGCCGACTTGCCGGCGCAGAAAAGCAGGGTTCAAACTAAGGACAGGCAGTATTTGAAGAACACGCATCCGTCCTTGTGGCAGATATTGTGAGTTGTTTGCCAGCATTGAAGGGGCAACTATTGAGCAAGCAGGAACGCGGATTGCGAAGCAGATTTGCGCTGGAGACAGGGTATGACGAGATGTGAGATAAAACTGTTGGCAGCAATGTCACACCAATTGATGGCAATGTCACGATCTGAGAAGTGCTGAATTCATTTGGAATCCTCGGCGAGACAGCGAAGCCTTGGCGTTCATCAATATGGGGGTGCTGTTTTTTGGGGACCGACCCCCCAATGGTTGTTTTCCTTTTGGTGTCCCTTGAAGCCCATCTAACAAAGGGGACACCCACAAGACGAGCCATGATTGGGGACTTTTCCCGTCTCGCTGACCCAGCAACTGCGATGCAAGACATTTCCACTTTGGTCTATCTTTTGTTTACTTCGTGTTCAGCTGTGTGCGGTCTTGCAAATGGTCTAGAGTCTATTCATCATTTTTCTTCGTGTTTAGCTGTGTTTGGAGGGTGAGATTTATGTTATTGTGTCATTTCTTTCGTCCCACGCTCTACCCTTCCATGTTTGCGCAGCAACCCTTTTTCAACGTAGGGAAGCATGGGGCAACCAAGGCAGCTTGGGGCTGAATAGCCTGAGATTGCTTCAGCTAGGCGGTGCATCCATTCGGTCTTGGCACAGACTTAACTCTCACACACAAGAGCACACCCCCGGTGCAGGAGAAATTGTCAGGAGGATGATGTTCGCTGTTTGCTGTTGTTGTTTGACACAGATCGACGTGGAGCGGTATTCTTCGTCCGGTCGTGAATCCAAAGACATAGACATTTTGGCTCTGGAATGGTCCAAGTCTAAGTGGCAATTAGCCTTGTGGAAGGCTTCTCCGACAGGTCTTGTGGTCATCAGCAAGGAACAAGAAGCGGTGCTCACCTCGCATCTTGGCCGAGTCAGATCTTGGTTGGAACCTCCGAAAATAAGCTTCCCCTTTCCTTTCGGTTCCCCTTCAACACGAACGACCCTGGGCTGGTTTTCCTGTGGCTTTTCCATCAACATGTTCCAGGTGCTGAGGTTTGCCTTTCTATACCCCATGGTTCATACGACACAATACGCATTTGTGCACATTACAACATATCGTTTTTTCCAGAGCCCCTACCCCAGATCTCTCGAAGGCAGTGTTCCTTTGATTTGGCGGGCCTGGGTGCAGAGGTTCAGACTCGATTGTTGTGTTGCATTGGCCGGTGCGGTGCGTGCAGTACTCATTGGTGTAGGTACAGCAAAATGAGGTGCGGTCCAAAAATATCCCATGGTCCTTTCGGGAAAAACGTGGAAGGACTTGGCTAATTGTTTCCGCCCTGGGGACGTACGATTGATTCCATGCGCTTTATGAGCACCACGTAATCTTGACCGTGGCTTGCTTACACACGCATATGGGAATGTCTCAAAACCAGAGACATTGTGTTTAGCGCGGGCTTAAAAGTACAGTGCCAGGAAGCCGGCCGATTGGAAAGGTTTGAGAGGAGTTGGACACACTCCCACAATGATTCTGGAAAACACGTATCGGAAAGCACAACAGAGCTACATGTAAATTGTTAAGGTTTCCCGCAAGCATGACACTTACAGAGAGCTGTTTTTGTGACATTTGGTGGCCTGGATGGGGGCTGAAAGGTTCACACAATGACCAGAATCAGGACACAAAAATGTCCCCAGCTGCAAATGATGGAGTCCCCAACAGCTGCTCTGGCGTCGGGGCATTTTTCAGGGAGGGGTCTGTGCGCGGGTTCCCGAAATTTCTCTGCGGAGCCGTGAGGCCGGACAGGTTGTGGCTGCCACCTGAGGCTCTATGCGGGCACAGTTCCTACCTCCTGGCTTTTCGCATACCCAAGCCCCTTGGTATGGGAAATGGGACGTTTCGGATATCCTCCAGTGCCCTTTCTCACCAACTTTTTTGGTTGGGAGGGTTCAACCCTGCTAAAATAGACTACAGAAAAAAGTTGGTACCAACTTATTCTAACCTCTCAAATCTGGAGGACCTTGCCACTCTGAGTGCACAAAGTTGTGGTTGAACAAGCCTTCCAAAGATACCTGAACATGCTGCGGCAACCTGGCACCTCGTGCTCTAAGTTGCCCAAAAAAGGCGGAACATTGGTTGGTAGTTCTATACTGATCGTAGTGTTTCTCAAAAGGGACCCCATGAAGCCAAAAGGAAACCAACCATTTTGGGGGACAGCGATTTTGAGAAGCGCCCATCGGTCCTTCACCGGCCAGACCCAACCAGATGATGTACTTATAGCAGTTTGGTCATGAATGCAACATTCACAGCGTTGCCGTGCGTTCACGTCGTGGGCGATATGTCTCTATTGTGTAGAAGTACGCACGACTTGACATGTCCTTGTCGCGTTGCTGCACGTTCAAGTGAGACAGAAACCTGTTGTTCACCCGCTCCCATTTAACCGCAATCTTCAAAATGTTCCGGATGTTATTTGGGGGCCGTCCGCAAATGCTAGTCTTCAGTTTATGTATTCGTGTAACTTGTTATTTGTGCGCGATTGGTAAAACCTGCATCGCGAAAGGCCGGCGATTGGGACTGCGATTGGGGTAACATCTACATGTTTGGGTGACCCCTCATTGGAAGCGCAAAACATGTTGTTACATCAACGGTTGGTTGTCGCCCTTACATATTTGCAGACCCCGCTCCCCTGTAGACAGGGAGATGCGCAGCACCTTGTCTGCGACATGTCTGACACTCACACAAGCTTGTAGTGGACTTGTGGTAGACACCTTGCCTCAGCCCCTCAGCTAGGCAGTGTAACGGCCATACCAGTCTCACCAGGAAAGTCGGCGAAATTCGCGATTGGCCCGCGATTGTACGGCGATTGGCCGGCGATTGACGAGCCCGTCAAAACCAGGGGGTGCCCTTCCGTGGCCTTCGCTCATGGCGCTGCTGGTGTTGCTGCTGCTGGCACTGCTGCTGCTGCTGCTGCTGCTGCTGCTGCTGCTGCTGCTGCTGCTGCTGCTCCTGCTGCTGCTGCTGCTGCTGCTGCTGCTTCTGCTTGTGAGATGGGAAGAAGAAGTTACCAAGTTTGCTCCGCGATTGGCCCCGCTGTGGTCGCGATTGGAGCGCGAAAGGCCGGCGATTGGAGGGTTTCCGGGAAAAGTAGTATTGGATAACCCCCATATACTGATTGGGTCAGGTTGAGATTGCAAGGGGGCTTGCCACAATTTGGGGGATCTGTTTGAGTGCATTTTAATTTATCTTTGAAGCCCCTGTGCGTTCTTCTTGGCGTCTTTAGAAAGACCAAGACAAAAGGGCTGACGTTCGGTTGCCGCTCGTGAGTGGGGAGTCCCCCCAAGTGACCAAGTGTAAGGGATGAAAGTTTTGTTCTTGGTTTCTACTTGCAGAGAAGCTCCTGGAAACAATTATACATATGTCCAGTGGTAGATTCCGTTTAGCACCAACAAGGAATTCATATTCGAATTGTTCTATCTCTTATATATTTTCCAACACAACAGCAACACACAGCAAAGCACAGATTTTAGGGGATGTGATTTGTTTTATCCATTATATATATATATGTATAAAACCAGATTTGTGTTATTCATAACATGATTTTTGGCAACAAAACGTAACAACAAGCAACAGCAGCACACAGCCGAGCTGTCGGAGATTCTTTCGGCAGGTCTGAAGCCTTTGAGCAGCTGGATGCCGGACCTGGCGGAGCGCATCGAGCAGCTCAACTCCTGGGGCTTCACAGGACCCGATGGGAGGCTTTTTTTTAGTTTGTTTTTCAGTTCTTCTTTTTTCGAGGTTTTTCATTTTTTGTTTGAGTTTTTTTTGTTCGAGTTTTTTTTGGGGGTTCGAGTTTTTTTCCCCGAGTTGTTTTTTTTTCCCGTTTTTTTTGTTGTTCCTCTCAAGTTTTGTGTGTGAGTGTTTCTTTCCTTATTTTGTTCGAGTTTGTTTTTCCCCCGAGTTGTTTTTTGTTGAGGTGTGTTTCCGAGTTTGGTTCAATGTTTTTTTGTTTTCCCCGAGTTGTTTTTTGTTTAGTTTTGTTTGAGTTGTTTTTTTGAATTGTGTTTTGAGTTGGTTTTTTCGAGTTGTTGTTTTTTATTATTATTTTATTTGTTTTTGAGTTTTTTTGTTCGAGATATTTTTGTGAGTTGTTTATTTCTCGAGTTTTTTTGGCCCAAAAGAAAGTGGGGAAACCGTTGATTGGGGGGTTTAGTGGTTTGGATGTTTTTTTTCTTTTTTCGAGGATTCGCGGCCCAAAGGAAGTCGTTGGTCACCTTGAAATTGGGGTGGTTTGGATGGGTGGTTAATGAAAAGCTTACCCGAATCTTCAGTAGGAAAACCGTTGCTTGGGGTGGTTTAGTGGTTTGGATGGGTGGTTTGGTGGTTTGGATGGGTTTTGGTGGTTTGGATGGGTGGTTTGGTGGTTTGGATGGGTGGCTTGGATTGGTGGTTATTCATAACCTTTTCATTGGTAGAAATCAGGGAAACCAAGTAGCAGGGATACAGGGAGAACTAGTTATTGATACGGGAGGTTTCCCCCGTTTGATGCGCCTTGACTAAGTTTGATATGGGACATGGCGCCAAGGGCAACCTTTAATTGGTGGCTTGGATGGGTGGTTTGGTGGTTTGGTTTGGCTTGGTGGAAACCCCTTTTGTTCAGTGGCTTGCTTCCTTTTTTCGACTTTTTGGTTGGGAAGGGTTCCCCTTTAATGAAGACGGACTCGGACTCGGATGGTTGGATTGGAGTAATGAACAGTTTACCCCAATCTTCAGTAACCTTCAATTGGTGGCTTGGATGGGTGATTTGGCGGTTTGGATGGGTGGCTTGGATTGGTGGTTATTCGGATTTGAAGCTCTGGTTCTAAAGGGTAAATTGGACGCCACCCTTTAACCAAGCCACCAATCTAAACCACTTGGAAGGAAGCTGAAAGCATGTTTGGGTCTCCAAACCAAGGCGCAACCTCGACAAAAAAAGGAGCAAACAGATTTAAAGCTAATAGAAGTTCATAAACGAAAAGCCAAACACCTTTTGCAATTCCCAAACGGCTCAATTGTTGGTTTCGCTGTCTCCGAATTTGTTTTCTGCCGGGTCTGGACACGAATCAGATCTGTTTTGTGATGGCCCCCAGGTTTGGGCGACTCGGCCAATCAGTACACAAGAGCTTGGTTTCAGGGTCTACGGAAATGGGAACAAAACAGGGAGCCGATGCAAAATGGAACCGACATAAAAACCGAGCTTTTGTACATAGTCGTCCATTTTCATCAATAAACAAGTGAACAAAACAGCAAATTTCAGGGGCCGCCGGCCACGCGCCAGGAGTGCCTAAGGTCTTGTGGCTGGGTGGGCTCACCTACCCCACCAGCTTGCTGACGGCGGTGCTCCAGCAGCAGCTCGGAGCGAGAGGAAGTTCTCTTCGGATGGTGCCAGCGCACACGCAAGGGTCCCTTCAATCGACCAAAGTCACCACCCCCAAAACACGACCTAGGTCCCCAGCTTTTACCGTTTCGTTTTGGTTGGGAGGGCACGCCCCTACTGAAATAGACTACAGAAAACAGGGTACCAACTTATTCTAACCTCTCTACTGGATTGCCAGCTGCGTGGGTTCTAGAATGGTGAGTAGCACAGAATGGGGGTAGTCAATGTAGTCTTAGATTTAGGAGTTAAACTCGGTCTCCCAGCAATTGGTGCCCTGTCTCACCGTTTCTTTTTGTCGGGGAGGGTTCCCCCACTAATATCGACTACAGAAAACAGTTGGTACCCTTATTCTAACCTTTCTACTGGAGGACCTAGTAAATCTTCCACTTGCTGAAATGAACATGTCTACATTTTCCCCGATTTCCCTCTGATGTCTTTTGTTTTTTAGGGAATCTATCACTACTGGAAACCTTTTTTTTTTTCCGGGGGACTTAAGCAAATGGATGTAAACTTGACAAGTCCCACAGAGGCTATGTTTGTGGGAAGGGTAGATTGGAAGGGGGTTCAAAATCAAAACTCCTACGACGGCCATTTCAAAGAAGATGCCTCGGCAGTTGTTTCGGTGTCTCTTATGGATGTGCAAAGGCACCCGAGGTTTTTTTTTGATAAGTCTGCAGATCTTGATGCCCGCTTTATGTTCTCGCCTTGGTTCTGGATTATGGTGTGCAAGGAAATGTTAGGTGAAAGTACCTTCAAGGACAAAATAAGTTTGAGGATGGCCTACTAAGGTAACAATAAAAGGATTGTGTTCCCCAAGCATGGTTCGGGCCCCAGACGTGACGGTTGTTCCCGATAGCCAAGGTCAGCTCGCAAGAACATGGCTGGGCACTGAGATTGGCGCGTGCCCAGCCAGGATGCAGTACGTACTGTTGTCAAAACACCCAGTGACGAAATGATCAAATTGCGTCATCAATCTGTCAGTCACGTTTTGAGACAGCCAGTCAAACGTGCCAGAGATATCTGGAGAAAGTGAGCCATCATCGTTTCCCTACGCAGAAAGCGTTGTTATCAGGGTCATAAGCCTGCCTATTTGCTGGCTGGTTCACGGGGCAGTTATTCATTACGCTCAATGATGCGAGTTCCAGAGAGCTATCACCAAACTCATTGCCCTGCTGTGGCTTTGTTGAAAGTGCTGGCTATATAATGTCATCCTCGCCATTTGAGCCACAATCAAAACCGGGTAGATGAAGGTTAGTCAGGGACAATCCCAACCGTAAATAGCTGCGGCCGCCTTCTTAATCATTTGCATGGTTCTGGGTAGACCATTTTTATACCAGGTTTTGATTATGACTCGTTTTGTGATTTTGTCATCTCGTCACGTGGGTCATCGCTGTGGTTCTGCTGTGTTCTTTTCTGTTGCCATCGTTGTTGGGTGCCTTTGCAGCAGTCGCCGCTGCCTTAGGTGCAACATGGGCTGAACGTGATCTGTCATTCTGTGGATGGTTGCGAAATCCTGCACCACCTAAGAAACCATTGGAATCCATTGTTCGTTGGTATTCACAGGGGAATGATCATCCAGGGATTCTTATGTGGTGCAGGATTTCGTCCATGGGCTGAACATGATCTGTCATATGTTCGGCTAGTTTGGTTGGTTAGTGCGCACTTGCCGAGGTTTCTGTTGACACCTTGAACTTCGACTATGTGGTCCAGACCCAGGACCCGGTTTGCCATGTGACAAACACGTATGCGACAGCGGAGGAGAGCTGTTTTGCAAAGGGTGCCATTTTGTCTGCGATAGAATGATTATCAAAATATGTTTAGCCAGAGCTCCGGTAGTACTGGAACTAATTTAACTAGCTCGCTCTAAGAATGCATTTGCGTGCGATCTCGAAGAAACTACGCGTGAAAAAGCTAGGAAAAGGGAGCCCGCGAGAACCTGGGAATGGACGCAAGGACCTAGGCGTGAATTCGGCCCTTCCGTGCGCAAACCACCTCGGGCGCGACCTCACGGCAGCGGGCTCTGAGCGGTCTCGGAGACGGGGGCACTGGCGCGTCCGCACGAGCTGTTTTGCCACCATGAAAAGGCGAACCTTCTGCGGACTTTCGGCTGGTCGACCATAAACACGTGGTTTTCCGCGCTTTGAAAAAGAGGAGAAGCAAAAGAAGGAGCAAGAGAAAGAGCAAGCAACACATTGCCAATTGCGCCAAGTAGAAGTGGGTGCCAGCACTTGGTGCTGGGTGGACCGGCAACGGTTTTCCAACACGCCACCCTTCATAAGGTTTGAGCTCCTGTCGACGAAGGTAACCAAAATCGCCTTTGGCACGAGGGCTTTTGTCAGCTGTGCAGCTTGCTGACGTTTTAGTCCTGGGCGCTCCAGCTTTCACGGGCAGAGCTCGTGTGAGCGCGCTTGATTGCTTTACGCCCAACTGCAAGAGTTGTTAAGTGGCTGTGGGTCCAAAATAGGTACCTTGGTAAATGGAACCAAAGACTGAAAACTGCGGTCCCCTGGTGGCTCCAATGTGACCCACACACAAGTTGCAGCTGTCGCTGCAGGACTTCGGATTGGCAGGCCAGCAGTGGATTCAACAAGTTGCACGGGCAGTTTTGGAGATCAGCAAGTGGTACCCCGCCCTTCCACCATGTCTCACAAACGTGGACACTGGACAGCGAGGAAGCAAGAGAGCAGCGCAGCCTCTGAACAGACCAGATGGATGCGTTTTGATAGCGTAGCGTGAGAGCAGCAGGTTGGGAGAGCGGAGAGTTTCACGGCCGAGTGCCGTGTTAGAACAATCGCCGTCATGGGTCGCCTCGATGAATGCTCTCAGGTGAAGCGAGTTAAAGGATGATTGGCGCCAGGCAGATAACTGCAAGTGTTGGCGATGAGACACACGTGTCAGCAGTGACACTTGCCGTTCCAGCGCAAGGCGATTCTTCTCCAGTAGCTTTGGCAGTTGATTTCCTAGGGCGGCCAAAGCTGTGCTACTCCATGCTTTGCTGGGGCGAAGGAAGCGTAGAGGAAGTCTAGGGCTTGGGAGCGACCTTATGCCGCAGAGGTAAGCCCGTTGTACGCGCGCCGGCTTGCAGCTTCAACCCGCGCCTCTTGCTATTGAGGAGAAACACGGGAAACCGCTGCAGTGAACTGATCGCTCTGCGTTTCGTTGACTCCCCAGGGCTCTTTTTGCAGAACGTGGTGTGCCCGGAGGCGCCCAGGCGTCACGAGAAGCTCTCGCCTACAGAATGACGCAAGCTCGATTTGCCCATTGCCACGCTTGTTATTGAAACGCTTCGTGCTGCTTATCGCCTCACTGGCGATAGAGATGCTGTTTGATCTCCGTTCTCCAAGGCCGGGCGTGGGGAAGCTGGGCAGCTGAGAAACGACGTTCACGCCTGGCCATGCGTGAAAGCATCAGCGTGAAAGTATCAAGAACAGCCGCAGCCATAGTCCAGGGGCAAGGGGTCAGCCGCATGGCTTAGCTGGCGGGTTTGAGGGCAAGGGGCTGAAGCTAGGCGAAGCACCCAGTGTTCTAAGGGTAACTTCCCCATTCTTTCCAGGGATCCTGCTTTTCAGAAAACCATCAACACACCAGTAAAACGCCTGGTTTTCGAAAAGAACGATGGTTGAAAAGAATGAGGAGTCATTTTCTAGGTGTGTGTTCAATCGTGGGCCCCTCCGTAAACGGTGGGGTCGTTTGGGCTTCGCTTTGGAACGTGCGGGTGCCAGTCTGGCTTTCGAATGCCACCTGTCAGGACGAGGGCAGCATCACGGGGCTGCCCAAAGAAGGGGCCTACATTAAGAGCAGCTGGGCTGATCGGGGTGGGCGTGGTAGATGGTGCCACCTGCTTGCGTGACAGTAGGAACCTGATCTTCCGCGATCTTAAGGTTGCTAAAAACTAGACCCTCCTGAGCCCCAGGAGATGTAAGAGGCCAGCTGCCTCTAACTATGGCTGTTTCTCAGGAACATGGCTTAATACACTACGGCCCCAAGGTTCTTGGGAAGTGCTATGAATCGAGGCCCTGCCGAACGAACCTCCGCAATTAACAAGAAATGGTCTGGGAGTGACGTCAGCGTGACCCGATTTGTACATCAGTTTGCTTAAGAGTTCAAATCAGCCCTTCATTTGTCTAGAAAACGGTTTGGATGCGGCTTTTGGGGAACCACCGTGTAGGACATTGAAACAGAATAGAGTGTCCTAAAAAAGAGCCTACAGGAAGAGGAACAGGTGAAAATCCACCAAAAATGCATCCAAACCGTTTTCTAGAATTTGGTTGTGTGGCTTCTTGGGGATGGACCCCATTTTCGACCCATTTGTACGTCTAGCTATCGGAGTTCATTCTTGCTCTTCCTTGGCGCCTGGCATTCCAGACCAGCCCGATCTGGAAATTTGCCGGGGAGAAACGAAGGCGCCATTTGAGTGAGAAAAACGGATATGATGTGCCCCAGTGAAGCAGCATCCTCCACCTGAGCCCTGTTTTCTCTTTGCAGCAGCTCCACCCTTAATGACGCGAGCCGGAGCTGGATCAGACATGCACCAACTCGCATCCCAAGGCATGATCCTGGAAGGCGCGCAGCGGGCGTTTGCTTGGTGGATGTCACAGGGGTCCCGGAATTCCCCTTTGCTGGACCTTCACAAGCCGCAGTTTATCGGAACTCACCAACTTGTGGGGAGAGCCAGCGACCACTGGCTTTGACATGTGCCATATGTTCCATACGTGCCACGGCCATGATGTTGATGCCGATAGAGAGCCTCATGTAAGCATGAATCCCTCCATAGCCCTGAATCAAGTCTGGCTCCAACCAGATTAAATGGACGCAGCCGATCTACTGGTGTTGTACATGTTGTTGAAAATTCCGTTCAACATAAGGTGGCTGATTCTGAGTCATGTGACGATTTTGGGTTCGCGTGGCACACGCTGGGCAGGTTTTTGTTTGGACGGCAACACCATGAATCTGTTACGAGGTTCTACTCTGGAACTCCCTGGTTCGACAAAGCATATCTCGAGGTTCACCACAATCCTTTGCAAGCATGTCAGAGCGGATCTGGCTGCTCAGCTGACATAAACAAGGTGCACCTTGTCCCGATGGGAGTGAGAGCTAGAACTGCAGCGCCGACTTCAGTATTGGCCCATGACAGTCTCCCTTGCCTTGAGTACTTCCATCTGTCCAATACGTACTTTAGCGTGTTTTTTTAATATGAAGGCAATCCGCTCGACGGGCCAAACCCGGACAGTTCGACAAATTTGTGACCCCGTGGCCAAGGCTGAGGTGGGTATTCACCAGGCTGCTCCATTTCACAGACCTTGATCTGAGAATTGCTCCAGCCCTTTGCCACGGATGCTTGAGCTTTCGTTTAGCGCAGCGCACCATGAATGACACTGAGGAATACTCAAATACCTCGCCTGACTTTAGACATGTATGCACTCGCGAAGGCGAATTGTTTGGTCAGCCAGAGCTAAGCGCTTGTCTGTCTGAGGCCCACTTCTCTAACGACATGAGACATTGTTCTGACTGGGGACGAAATCCCTTTGCTTTTGAGTTTCTTGTGAGAAGCAACTCAAAAAGTGTTTGCTCACTTCACCCGGTCTCGTAGGTTCCTTCTTAAAAGTACCGTGGTTTGCAAAAATAGTCTCACCGATAGGAGCGAAGTGGGACAACAATGGCGGGTGCCTGGCTGACGCTGACACCATGGCACTCTTCAACCCCATGCCCATCGTGCCTTGGAGTGATAGTGATTCGAGACATGAGCATCAAACGGCCAAAGCTCTGTTAACAAATGCCAGCTTTTCTCAAGAGAAGAACCCAACCCCAATGTGCAATAATATCTCAATGATGAATGTCCACTGCTGATTCTATGCTCGAAGAATTGAGTTGGGTGCTCAGTCAATTTGGTCTGTAGCTTGCTGGGCCCAAAAGGCAGACGAGCGCCTTTTCTCTTCAATATGCCCAGCTTGCTACTCACAGGCCGTTGCTCCGATTTGGCGCCTTCTGAACTGTCTTTGGTGCTGATGCGTCCCAGCACCTCGAATGCTGGCAGCGCCTCGAACAACCAGGCATAGGACGATGCAGTGAAGCTTTGCAAGTTCCTCTGCCACATGAACTATCAATCACTTGTACCTGTATTGTTGCCATTGAACTTATGCTCCAACAACAATCAGGTGTAACAGCAGTGGGTGTGTGTGTGGTTTGTTTGGTTGGTTATTTGTTGGTTGGTTGGCTGGCTGGCTGGCTGGCTGCTTGCTTGCTTGCTTGCTTGCTTGCTTGCTTGCTTGCTTGCTTGCTTGCTTGTTTGCTTGCTTCCTTGCTTCCTTGCTTCCTTGCTTGTTTGTTTGTTTGTTTGTTTGTTTGTTTTTTGTTTGTCTGCTTGTTCTCTTGTTTGTTTGTGTGTGATTTTGAGTGTTCGCCTTGGGGGTTGTTTTGAGAGGAAGCTACACAATCGCAGCCGAAAATCGGTGGGTTTCCCCGTTTTGGAACCCATCCCAAGTCACGGCTCAGGTGCACTTCAAGCCCGTGGTTCGCAAGAAGGCGGCGAAAGGGAATGAGTTGAATGCATTGCTTACAGCATTGTTTGGGTCTTTGGTCTGTTGCTTCCAGGCTTGTGCACCTTGTGTGTTTGTTCTTGGTCGCTTGGTTGCTTTCTTTGCCGCCTGTCTGGCTTGGCCGGCACGATGGCAGAGGGATGATAGATCCAAAGGAGACTCGACACCTGGGTCCCTGTGGCCTCTTGCAGGCGTCCATGGACGGGATCTACCAGTGTCCGTTGTACCTCTACCCCATCAGGAGTGGGCCAGCGACAATTGCGAGCTACTAGGTGACTAGAACCTGTTGAGCCAGGTTGAAGGTCGCTGCGGGAACATGCAGCTGCTCTTGTGATTCTCTATACGGTTTGAGTGGACCGGTCAATGCAGAATGCCTGGTGCTGATGACTCTGTTGCAAAACCGGTGAAAGGACAACTGCTTGTTGAACAGTGAAGGATAACCGGTGAAGGACAAGTGCAAAACCGGTGAAGGATAACTTCAAAACCGGCAAATCGGTGATGACTCTGTTGCAAACCGGTTAAAGTTATTGAATAGGCATCAGGAGGGATTCGAGTTCCGAGACGCTTCAGACCTTCAGGTTTGGATAAATTGCCTATGATCTGCCAGCTGGGACTTCCCAAAAACCCGAGCGCACACAACCAGGCGTTGGTTTGGAGCCTTAAAGACCTTCCGCCAGACCAACATTTTGATGGAAGAAGTGTATTTCAGCAAAATTATCAGGTCTTACACTTCTGTCCAGATGGAACCAGAGGTCCAGGAAAATGGTCCGTGTAAATTGGGTCCATGAGAATGGGTCTTCTCGGGAAAATGACACCCAGCACCCCTCAGTCAATCAGTCAATGGTCATCCCATCCAAAATGTTTTCCATGTCGACAGACACACCGCATCTCGCAGGACGGGCACTCGCGAGAGGCCCTCCTTTATGATCTGGGTGGACTTGAAGCCGGGCTCTCGAAGGGCTGACGTTCGGAGTGAGTCCAGGTCTCGCTTGCCCGACCCACCCGGTCCTCTTTTTTGGGGGAGGGCTCCCCTACCAAACTAGACAGAGAAAAAGGGCGCCCTTACTAAGCACCGCTTTGCATCTTCTTTTTTTCTCTCTTTTTTTTTGGGGGGGGGTCCGAATCCTAAGAACCGAAAAGCAGCCGAATGTTAAGCTTCAAGGCGTTGTCCCCTGGGATTACACCCGTAGAAGCACACCAGGCTGGGGCAATTTCCAGATGAAACCTGACTGGATTTATATACATATAGTTATATACTTTACTATATTACATGTATATTGTAGGACTCCCCGCAAGTCCTGCCCCAAAATCAAAAAACATAAACATACATCAACACTGGAAGACACGGCTAAAACCTATTTTTGGTGGGGAACCATATATAGTACACACACACACACGTGTCCCTACACCCCGCGGCCGCAACATAGTTTAGCTGCGTTGAACAAATTGTACTCGGAGGTCACACGCGTATCGTAAAAGGCTAGTGACTTCAAGGCATAAACCTTGAATTATCCTAAGAATCGAGCCTTCTGCATAAGTTTCATGTTTTGGCTGGGAAGATCTGGGAAAGATTTCCTTCCGACTTTGAGTTCCCTGACCTTTCGCAATGATGGGGTGAATCCAAGGGAAAATACCAAGCAGTATAGCACATATTGATTCAATCCATGCATAGTACTACACTTCTGTACCACACAGGGGCGGGTTCACAACGATATTATATATATATATGTATATAGATATTTATACACATATTTCACTGCATTGGATGTTGGGTTTCAAAATACCACTGTTTGGATGTTTCTAGGAGGACCCCAAGCACTTTGGAGGTGTTCCAACTCTTAACATGGAATCTGGGAGCTTCTTTTCAGGACGTGCTGGCTGGCCTAGGTTTTGCTAAAAGACAAAACTCCGAGTGTTCCTTTGGTGTCCCTTTTGAACCCAAGGGAAAAAGCCCCACACATGTATCAGACCCGATATGAAGCAACAAGATGTCCACCCAACTTTGGTGTCCCTTTTGAAAGAAAAAGGTTCTTCCCTTGGAAAGCTGGATCCCAACATGTGACTCTCTTGGTGTCCCTTTGCTATCCCTTTGGTAGCCCCAAAGATGAGCTTAGGGCGGGCAACTTCTCGGCGGATCAGTGGACCAAGCGGGGCACCGCCCTCCTACTCTCAGCTGCTCGGCTGAAAGCGCAACGGGTCCTCTCAGTTCTAAGGGACACTTCGCCATTCTTTCCAGGGATCTGAATCTTTTCAGAAAACCAGCAGAATCCAAGGGGAAACAGCTGGTTTTTGAAAAGAACGATGGTTGAAAAGAATGGAAAAGGAATCAACCCCTAGATTAGTGCGTCCTGACAGGTTGGACCCCCCAACATGGCTTCGGTGATCCTTTCGATGTAACCGACCACGAAAAAGCGAGTACGTATCCCCAAAACAAGCGAAAGCATCATATGTTGCCTTTTCGGTGTGGTAGCATCACCTGTTTGGCCCAGGTGAGTTTTCAGTTTCCTTTGGGTGATGGGAGAACAAGGAGAACCCTACGGCACTGCTTTGCAGATTGGTGGACTGTCCACTTCGAGCTTAGAGCATATGTTTAAGATGAGCGGTTCCCCATTTGCTAAATTTCTCTCCATTTTAGGGGTGGTTTGTTTGATAATCTAAGCCCCCCAGTAGTGCTATTTTACCCTTTGTTGGGGGGAGGGTACTACAGAAAAAATGGGCTAAAGCGTTAACCGTAGGTGGTCGCTTGTCTTGACTCTTAATAAGTATCCACTTGGGCCACCATTTTGGCTCAAGTGGACCTTTTGATCTTTTGTCTTGTGATTTGAAATCTTTCTTTCCCCTACTCTCAAAGCCATGTACGCCCCCGCCTACGCTGGTGCCGCGGTAGCAGAGGCCAAGGCTAAGGCAAAGGCCTCCATGGCAAAGTACCTGGCGAGCCTCGTGAAGAGGGAGGAAGAAGGATGGACCGTTTTGGCTGCTGAGGTCCCTCAGGCACCTGACGAGCGTTTCTTCTCCAGCGCAGATGAGCTGGAGCAGGCCCCCCTTATCCCGGCCAAGCGCAAGGCAGAGGATGAGCCGATGGAAGATGCAGCCCCTGGGGTGGCGCAGGTGCCGAAGGCCCTGACACGCCCCCCAGGGGCGTTCCTGGAGCTCCTGAACCCGCCGGAGGAGGACGTGCCCATGGAGGAGCTCCTGGCGAAGGACGAGAAGGAGCTGCCGATGCCCAGGTTCCCCTCGGCTGCAGCCCGCTTGGAGGAGGCCCGCCTGGATGCCCGGGCAGACGCCAAGTGGCAGAGGCGCCGGGAGCTGATGGCGAAGGTCAAGGAGCAGGCGTCCTCGGAGGAGGATGAGAACCCCGCAGCCCCCCCGCCGGGGGGGAGCGTGTTCACCAAGGCCCTCAAGGTCTCGGAGGGCCTCTACCAGTTCAGCGACGACCAGATGGCGGGCGACTTCCCTTGCTTCGATGCGACCACGGCCACTAGGCTCCGCCGACTGCAGGCCAAGGACGTCCAGCGGCTCCTGCGAGGCTTTGAGGGCCCCCAACTCAAGCGGGGGGGCCTGGAGCGCGTTGTGGAGGCCTTCTACATCGCCAAGATGAAGTACGAGCATGAGGCCCGGCTCAGCACCCCGGGACAGCAGGTTGGCAAGCGCGCTGGCTTGGGGTACGGGGGCCTGGAGAACCGCCCCCTGGGCAAGGTGCCCACATCCTGGATCTGCCCCTGCTGCACCATGCCCTGGGTGAAGAAGGGCGCCACGAAGTGCATGGGGTGCGGCAAGAAGACGGAGCCCATTGACACGGCGACCAACTCGGCCACCCTGGAGATGGCGGGCACGCATTGGCAGTTGACGGTGGATGACCAGGGCAATGCGGTCTGGACGGCGGCCCGGTCCGCGGGTGCCGAAGGCCCTGACACGGACCGGGCCCGCGACCTCAAGCTCAGTGCCTCGGTGGACGTCAGCGAGCTGGCCACCGACCCGATGGCCTGCGAGAACCCGGACCAGGCCAGCTTCTCGGACTTCGTCCCCTCCTCGGTCCGGGCGGTGATCAGGAACTGCCCCATGGAGCTGGACGAGGAGTTTCTGACGGCCCCACCGGGGGAGAGGCCCCCATTGCCAGGCGACAAGGAAGAGGGCCAGGAATGCAGAGCCTTCCACCCGTCTGCGGTGAAGGCCTTCAAGATTCAGACCCGGCTCAACGCCACCACCATCGCCCAGGAGGAGGCCAAGAAGGCGGACCAGGTGGAAGCGGTGGAGCGCTCCGCGGCGGTCCTCCACGAACTTCAAGGGGGGGCCATTGACGGAGGAGGTGATGGAGGCCTGCTCCTGAAGAACCTGGACTTGGACCTCTTCCGTGAGAAGCTGCTGGACAAGCTGGGTGCGGACTGGGGGAGACCCACACCGGAGCTCCTCCAGGCCCAGACCACTGCGGAGGAGGCGAAAGCGAAACACCAAGCCAGACAGGCGAAGGGCTCCCTCGAAACCAGAATGCTCGAGCCCATCGCGCCTCCCTTCAGTGCGTGGCCTAGTGAGGTCCGGGTCGCCATTGAGACTGGGGTCTTCGAGCCGACAACGGCATGGAGGGACTTCAGTATGGACGACCTCACATCCCTCACGGACTCCTACCTTGAGGCCAAGGCGGTCATCTCGCTGGGTAGGAATCCCTTCCCGGCGGCCCTCCTGTCAGATCTGCCGGACCTGACAGGGATCCCCATGCCAAAGGCGGGGGGCTCTGGTGCGGCGCGCCCAGGTGCCGAGGGCCCTGACAGGCCGCCCACCATCCCCCCAGCCTCGGGCTCTGGCGTGACGAGCTCAGGTGCCGAGGGCCCTGACAAGCCGTCCGCCACCCCGGTGGGCCTGGACACCAAGGACCCGGAGGTGCAGCTCTCGGTCCTGCGCTGGATGATGAGCAAACGGGTCGGAGAGGTCCGTATCTTTGCGGGCCGCTGGGTCCGACGACCGGGCCCGGTACACGTCCCGGATTGGGCGAAAAACCTCACCAAGGTGAATCCGGAGGCGTTGGAGAAGGGTACGCATCCCAGGAACCACCAGGTGGGTGGACTCCCCTGGGCCAGGTACTCCGTTGATGAGTTGCACCAGCAGGCGAAGGCGGGGGACCGACCCTACCCTGGGGACCTGCGATCCATCTTTTGGGCTGCCCCCCACGATCCGGATGAGGACTTCCACTGGACGCGCCAGATCTCGTCCTGGACACTCCCAGGCCTACTGGGGATGTTCGGGCACAGCTACACCCTGCGCCAGCTCTGGGGAGTCTGGGAGTCTCTGCCACTGCTGCAGGGCCCTAGGCAGCGGGGCCCGAAAAACAAGGCCCAGAATCAGACCCGCCTGGAGGGCTGGGAGACCCTGAAGGAGGACGCGCGGTGCTTCCTGAAGGAGGAGGGCCTTCCGTTTCCGCAGACAGGACCGGAGTGGCGATTGGTCTACCGGGCCATGGGCAAGGTCCTCGCGGCCCGGGCCTTCCTCACGGACACCCCGGCGGAGGTGATGCAGCTCCCGGTCCAGGACGTGGCGGACTCCAAGGAGCAGATGATCCTGCGGGCGGTATGCGACGAGCGCATCTCGGTCCCGGTGGAGAGCCTCCAGCAGTTCCCAGAGGTGTACAAGGCCCTCATGGACCGCATTGGAGGCCCGGGGGCCCTGGCGGAGGTGAAGGTCAACTGGCGCTGCAACACGAAGCAGTGGTGGGTCGGCGCAGTCCCCGACTCAGTGGCCCCCTCCATCTACCGCAAGCTCGGCTACACCAACGACATGATCAAGCTGATGGGCCTGGACCCCTCCGCCCCTGGGTGCCGGACAGGTGCCGATGGCCCTGACATCCGCCCCAGGGGAGGCGAGGGCGATGAGGGGATCGTTTACCCCCCCATCACGGCGGACAACGTCCACGGCGTGGTGGGTAAGGACTACCGGAA